TGTACCCTCCTATCTCCTAGTAAATATGGCACTGACAACGCCATACAGTTACTCATCAGTGGTATTTGATCTCCATCATGGTTGAAAGATCAGCACAGATCCCCAGCCTGCCTGAGTAGATAAAGCTGGAAGAGAGTTCATTTGAAAGGTATACCATCCAGCTATACTTGAGCATCATCAACTATATTCTTTTGCAACTATTAGGTTCATATATTTACTGCCAAGCATGCCTGAATACCAAGTTGAGGAGTATTTTGCTGATATACTGGGACTGCATGCATAGAATTTTATGATCTAACTTGATATGATACTATGGGATGGTCTAGCACACCTACACCCATTCACGGCCACAGAGCAAGTGTTAGGGTCAGTCAATTCCTAAAGACCTTAGGTGCCATATAAGCTAGGATGCAGATGGGCTGTGAGGGTAGGGGTACCATTTTACAGGAGGTGCATAAGACCCCTACCAGGGGATATACTCAGATTTATGATATTCACAGAGACCAGCCCATAGTGAACTCATCATTTTTGGGATAGATAACACTGATAATGGTACTGTGAGAGATCCAGAATAGCTATGAGGTTAATTCAAGTGTTAGACAGGTTCATTTGAAGGTCTATAGTATCCTATGTTTAAGCCTTGTATCATACTTGAAATTAATTTCTGACCGGTTGTAATAGCGAAGACACTCTTTTCTGCTCTATGGGTACTTACCCTCTCTCCAGCTACCTTCTGTAACACATGCCAGGACCATGACTAATTACAGTACAGGGTCCTAGTAGTTATCCAAATACCACCATACATGCATCTCAATGTCCAGTACTGAGTCTATAGACCTCACTATTCATGTAAACCAGTTTCACACCTAACCTGTAGTTGAATGTCTGCCTCATTTCCCTATCCAAGTACAGACAATCATCAATCAGAGTATGTGGGTCTGTCTATATACCTCATTGACTGAACTTGACATATTTTGATCTATAATCAACCAGCAGATCATGGATGTATTGTCAATATATTGTGTCATAGCAGTCATAGGTATAATGAAGAATAACAAGAGATTCCATCAACAAAATGTTATAGAAGGCATTAAATCTCTCAAGGGAACTCCCCTGTATGCTTCCTACCTTTATCCCATTGGGGATACCAGACCTCTGAGTGAGTTATGAGGAGATTTTAATACTGGCATAGCTGACATATATACAGGCATATAGGATATTTAAAAATAGATATGTCTTGACAAGCTATTATAGAGATCCAACAGACTATAACACAACTTGTATTATAATTATCCATGTATTAGTGACCTAGATATCAAGTCATCATTGTTTTTGATTCAAATTAAGGCAGAAAGCCCATGGAAAAGTGGGATAACAGTGTAGTCTAGAGATATTGAACTATACTGATATCAGCAAATATCAGGAGGATATGACCACCTACCTACTAGTGAAACAATCATCTAAGTCCATGATGAACTGGTGGAGATATGGCTAGATCAAAATGTTTGATAGATGATCATGAGTTAGTATAGGTGTGCTGATGATCCTGTATTGTGAAGGATATTGATCATCTCATTTAGGTATTATTGGTAGTGCTGCCATTGGATCTCTATCTTATTTACTCATTGAGATATCATATTATCAGTCAGAGATCATGTACTGATTAACAAGTAGTGATACACCCATTTGGCTGGCACTATAGGTTACTTAATGAAAGTTGTTCATATGGTCAAAATATACAACTTTGATTTTGTGACAATGTGTGACATACTCTGATGACTGTATCATCAAACAGTGATTATTTCCTTTCTTTCAAGAATGCCTATTACCATATAGAATAGTGTATAACAGCATGGTACAAGCATCAAGAACAGCTCACATGTCTACTGGTAAAAACTTCCTTTTGGGACAATATGTCACACTTGTCATGGAGTATGACTGGCAAACTTGGTCTTGATGGCCTGTGTCAAATTATTCACCTTTATTCACCCCTACATGTTGGACTTAGCGAAAAAATAGCCTTGGACTTTGGAGATATTCACCCCCATCTCCACCAATTATTCACCACTTAGGCAAAAATGAAAAGACTGGCTGTTATCAGTGCCAACCCGCTGGGTTGCCACTGATAATGTACAGTGGGTTTTGAGATAAACAGGTGCACTCGAGGGCGTTTCCGTTTCCGGTCCCGGCTCTGAACTCCTCCGCGACATCTGTGATGCCCTCTCTGGTGAGCCTGACCTGGAGGAGCCCGTCGCACTAGCGGCCCGGCAACTTCTTAAGGTTCAAGGTCAAGCTCGAGGCCCCCGCTCCTCACGTTCTGACGAGTGGGCCGTCTCCGGCGGTCTTCTCCATTTCCGAGGAAAAATTGTCGTACCAAAGGACAAGGACCTCCGGAGACGCATCATCGAGCTCTGTCACGACACCCGAGTCGCCGGACACGCAGGTCGTTTCAAGACCCTGGAGTTGGTCTCCCGGAACTACTGGTGGCCTCAGATGTCTCGCCATATCGGCCGGTATGTTGCGACCTGTGACTTGTGCTGTCGCACCAAGGCACTCCGGAGACTGCCCCACGGAGAACTGCACCCCACGGAAACGCCCCGGACGCTGGCATACCGTCTCCGTCGACTTCATCGTAGAGCTTCCCGAAGCCCATGGGTACGACGCGATCATGGTCGTCGTTGACACCCTCGGAAGCGCCCCCACTTCTCAGAGTGTCATACGACGGTCGATGCAGTAGGGGCAGCCCGCCTCTACTACCGGAATGTCTGGCGGCACCATGGGACTCCGGAGAAGTACGTCTCCGACCGCGGCTCGCAGTTCATCGCGGACTTCACCCGAGAACTTTGGCGTCTAATCGGCATCAAGCCCGCCACGTCCCACCGCATACCACCCGCAGACAGACGGTCAGACAGAGCGCGTCAACCAGGAGCTGGAGCAGTACTTGCGGATCTTCACCAACTACCAGCAGGACGACTGGGATGAGCTGATTCCGGCCGCGGAGTTCGCCTACAACAACCATGTTCACTCCTCCACGCAGCAGGTCCCCTTCATGACGGACACGGGACGGCTCCCGCATGGGCTTCGAACCCGGAGCCCGTTCCGCCATGGAGTCAGTGAACGAGTTCCGTGACCGGATCGCCACCGGTGTTGCTGAAGCCAAGGCCGCGCTCACTAAGGCCAAAGAGGAGTACAAGTGCTACTACGACCGGAGACGGACTCCGTCTCCGGAGTTTAAGGTTGGCGACCGTGTTTGGCTGGATGCCTCTGACATCAGGACGACTCGCCCCTCGGAAAAGTTCTCCCATCGCTGCCTTGGACCGTTCAAGATAGTCGCGGAGATCAGCAAAGGTGCCTACAAGCTCGACCTCCCTCCGCTCTCTCAAGCTCCACCCGGTCTTCCCCGTCGTCAAGCTCGAGCTCGCCCAGGACGACCCCCTTCGACGGACGCCCCGGCTACGACCAGCCCCTCCGGACCTCGAGGACGGAGTCCCGGAGTGGGAAGTAGAGGAACTCCTGGACGCAAGGGTGAGGTATAAACGGCTGAACTACTTCGTCAGATGGAAAGGCTACGACGCATCGCACGACCAATGGGTCCGCTTCGACCGCGTCTTCGCCCCGGAGAAAATTGCGGAGTTCTATCGTAAGTACCCTGTGATGATCATACCCCCCTTGAAGGAATTCCCAACATCTTATGCCGCCCTGGCCTGCCCTCTGTCTCTTGACCTTCCACCAAAAGTACTTAGTCAGATCTGTCAGGGGAACCTCCCTTTCGGCCCGGAGACGCGCCCGATTCCGGTCCGACTCCGGTTCCGACTCCGGTCCGGCCCTCCATCTCGCCCGCACAATCACCGATCCGTCAACACCCTCCCGACGGTCGCCCTGGGACCTCGCCTGCGACGCCGCCCAAGCCTTCTGTGCCCGACAGCGGCAGCTACGGACAAGCAGTATATAGTCAGCTACCTAGCAGGCGGACCCTTAGAGTTTCTTCTCCTTGGATCCTCCCCTGCTAGGTCAGCTTCATTTGTATTCGCTTACCAATGTTCACGCTTTGGATCCTCCCCTGCTAGGACCTTGATCTCAGGCCTCCGGGGTTGCCCTTACAAGATCTATCATCTCCACCAACAAGCTGATGATTCTACACCATCAAAACCAAGAACTGCCTGCCAGAGTCAAAGTTCAATACAGCATCGCTAGTACTGTCAGCAATTATATTATGCCAGATGATATTTCCAGTATAATCAATTAAATATAATTATAATATGCTTTCTCCATTTAAGTTATCATCTATAAGAAATATAATTATGAATAAAGATGATTATAATTATATTATGCTAAGGTCATATTTAGTCATATCTTATCTTTTATGCTATTAGGCCCATCAGCTGCTCACAATTGGAATATTTTTGTCTATCATAAAAATTCAAGATGTGAGAACACAGACTGTTCTTATTCTCCAGTCAGTTAGAAGCAGTTAAGGGCAAATTTGGTGGATTTAATCCGTCCTGTGATTAATAGCTACATGACATATTGATTTATATATCAATACCAGTCATTCTAACATATCATGTATAGCCTTAACAAGTCCAATCTCAACCAATTGAGTCTTGACATGCATTTAGAGTGTTATAACTTCTAAGTGGGCCTGAAAATAATGAATTAAATTCTGAGTAGAATCAAAATATATACTCAATGATTATGAGTATAATACAGATATGAGTATATCATAATTATATTGATAATATTAATTTCACAGCACTACATAGGCTTTCCGACACAAACGCTGTAGGCAATTTTTGACGAGCACGGACACCGCTCTTCGGACTTCAGCTTGATGACAATTATTTCCACTCGACTATTACACTTGTACAACAACACTACCCAAATTAACAGCACTACAAAGGTCTCAAGTCCGACAAGTACATTAGAGAATTTCATCGATGATCTTCCACCCAAAACAATGCCCACCGTGACGACAGGGCTGATATCGTCGATCCTTCGCGCTACGCGAGGTCATTTGCGTGCGGCTCCGGCTCGCCACTCGCGAAGTCGCGGGAAATAAGGTCGTGGACATGTGGCTCTGGCTCGCCGCTCGCGAAATCACGAACAGCAAGATCGCCGGAATGCGGCTCGGGTTCTCCGCTGGCAAAGTCTCGCGTGGCTAGATCGCCGGCATGGGGCTCGGGCTCTCCACTGGCGAAGTCGCGGACGGCCAGGTCGTCAGCGTGCGGTTCAGGCTCTCCGCTGGCGAAAGCGCGGGGCTGAAGGTCTGCGCAACGTAAGCAAGCACATCTCGGAAGGGACCTCATTGATAGCTTACAAGGGAAACGAATGACGCTCGCGCTGGTCGTAGCGAGCAAGGAGGCGGCAACGATGACGATTGCGAAGCGCATGGTGTTGAGGAGCGGAGATGAGAAGGTGTGGGTGGCGCTCAAGGACGGAAATCGCGGCTGGGTCTGGGCACTGACTCGGACCCGGTATATATACGCCCACATGCAATCGGGACCTACGGCGGCGAGCATGGAATCATACCGAATCCGAAGTAGAGGGACGGCATCTTTGGAGGCTGTATCAGCGTGATTCAGGCGATTTGCGTGATCATTCTGATAAAACGCCGCGTATCATCGCCATCAAGCGATTAGTGGCGGACCGGTCGCCGAGTAAAGTGGAAGAAGGCGGGAACGGAGTCATCTGGACACCTCATACACCGGTATTGGGCAGTCAGCGGGAAGCAAACGGGCACTATAGGCTGTCAAATAACTGCGAAATAGCGAGTGCCAAAGTACAACCCGTCCAACAGTCCGATTCGGTCCCTATCTTCTGTCGCGTGGCTGTATTGCAGCCACATGGCGGAAAGTGCACGATGTCGCAATTAGGCCGTTTCGGGACTGGCGGGGGGCGCAGGGCTAAAACGGTTAATTGACGTTGACAAATGACTTCGCCAATCTCCATGGGCGGCGTCTCGCCAGTTGCCACATAACAACAGCCCGCCTTCCTCTTGTCTCTCCCGCCATGTCGACCGCCAACCACCGCCCCATCGTGTACTTCGTCATCGCCGGCCTGCTTTGCGCAAGCCTGACCCTCAACGTCTTCACCTACTCGCGCATCCGGCGCCTCCAAGCTCCCGCGCAATCGAATGCCCATTCCTACTACAGTTAGCGAGCCAGCCTGTGTCCAGTAAGGTTACTGACAAATCTTTGCAGGCGTAACTCCAGCAGACATCGCGCTTGCCGCCACCGTCCCCCAACTCCCCCTCACCGTCCAGCCCGCGACACTGAAGTTTGTCTTCGGGGAGCACTACAACATCACCAAGCCGGAAGAATGGGCCTCGCTGATACCACCACACGACGGGCGGGTCAGGCTCGGCGAGGGCGCGGAGTTTGGGGTAGGGATGTACCAGGACATGCGCTGTCTCGACGTTATCCGCGCTGCCTTTGTCAGAATGCGCGATACGGGGTCAACGGAGCGGGACGAGCGGGCAGAGGCGTGTTTTGGGCACATCCGCCAGGCGATTGCGTGCACGGCCGACATCACACTCGAGCCCGCCAAAGTCAAGTGCAGCAAAGACGAGGAAACGGGGAAGGTGGTTTGTCCGGTCATCTCGGCGGTAGCGACAGGGAATAGGGTAGACCACCGCTGTCGAGATTGGAACCAAGTACGCGCGTTTGTCGAGGAGAACCAGAAGTCTTGGGTGTAGTATCTAGAGTGTAAATTTATGGCTTGCGACTGTTGTCCGCGACCCCGCTGACGAGCCACTTGTTGCCCAGCTTCACGAAGCTCCATATGTTTGTCCCGACGTGGTCCAGCTTCCCGTCAATCCAAAACTCGTAGGGTGTCCAGGCCATCGCAATGTCGTTGTCAACGAGCACCGTCGCTTCCCCACTGATAACCTCCGCCATCTTCATTGGTGTGTCAAACGGAATACGCTCAACGACCCCAGCGAGTGTTGTGTGTAGCGGCTTGCCCTCGCGGAGTAATGTTGCGCCACCCGCGGGCAGAACTTGCTCCAGCATCAGCGCCTTGTCGCGTGTCTCGATACCACGGAGAAATGCAGCCGCAACTGTGAGTACGGCAAGCTGCTCATCATTGAATTTGCCCTGGGCAGTGTAGTCGTATTGCGGCATTATGAGTCGGAATGACAGAGGAGATGGTTTAGCTGGTGGCGAGGTCCGAACTATCCAAGTACGGATAGCTTCGCAAAACGGCGATGATGATGAAGTCAGGACAAGAGAAGTGGAAGATGCACAGCCCCCAGATTGACTCAAGATTAGCGTAAGATCTAGATCGTTGTCAGCCCCTTCTCCTCTTGGCCACCATGGCCGCAAACGTCGTCTTCCCTGCCCTCGTCTTCCTCACCGTTCTCTCCACACTGCTCAATTTTGGACTCCTGCATCGCGCCTACACCCTATCAGCAACATTCTCCAGCCCATACAACTCTGGTTTGTGAAAAAAAGATTTCACAAGCTGTCCTTTGCTCACACTTCGTCAAGACTACCTCTCCCCCGTTGCTGAGATCCCCTTCCCCTTCCGCACCGTCGTCAAGACCTTCTCCCAGCCCGACAGTGACTACCCGCTTACCAACGACGATATCTGGGCCGCCATCGTCTCCCCCAAACGCGGGTTCATTCGGCTGGGCTCTGCCGGCGACCCTGTAGCCACTGCGCTTAACCACCAGCTGCACTGCGTAAACGGCATCCGCTTCGCCTACCGCGCCACCCGCGACGGCCTCTTCAGAACGGACAAACAGCGCGCCGATGCGTTTGCACATGCCAACCACTGCTTCGACCTGCTCAGACAGAGTATTCTCTGCCGGGCAGACACCTCGCTGGTCAATGGCGGTGAGACGACACGGGTGTGTCGCGACTGGGACCAGATTCGCGAGTTTGTCGATGAGAGCCACAAATTCTGGGAGGGCGTGCCGTATGACTACGTGCCGCCTGCTGAGGAGGCGTCAAAGGCGAAAGGTTGGTCTGTTCTCGGTGCATTCTGCCCGTCGCTGAGGTGTTTCGTTAGGTTATGGCGAATGAATCAACAACGGTCAAGGTACAGATTGTCTCTGAGGCCACCATCGAGCTGATTGGTTTTTTCGTTAGGTCATACCGAATTTATCAACGACATACTATATGTCTTGCGTCGAATGGCTTCCTCGCTGAGGGGAATGACTATCCGGCTTATAGCTCGCGAACTAGAGTCTAGTGACACTCTAGTCTAATGGTATTTGTATTCCTAGTGTTCAAATGTTCGTTACGGGAATGGGATTCTCTTGATTTGTACACGTAAACTAGTCTAATACACTGATCTGAAGCTGTTGTGCTCAAGATAACAACAAGAGGAAATGCATCACAGAACGTCTATCCTTGAAATTGACCCTGCCATGACCATCGCAATCTTGGATAGTATCCACCACCATCTCCGCCTGACTGGCGCTCGCCTTGTCATGCGTTTCTCCCTCTTTCCGTCTTCCGAGTACCAGCCCATTGCGCAACACGACCTCAAAGAGCCCACATCTCCTTCTGGCGCCAACCTTTCTATTCCTTCAGTTGACCACCGCCAATCCTCCGCGACAAGCATCACCAAAGCCGTCGTCGCACTCTGCGTTGCGAACTTGCTGCTCGCGGCGATCGCACTCTGGGTTGCCTGGGACTTCGGCGGGCCCAGTTTGCATGTGCCCGTCTACCTGGTCGATGTCGAGAGCCTGCCGAAGCCTGACGCGTTTGTTGGCCTGAGGCTCACATGAAGCGAAGACTTATTGATGGCAAGAATGTGCTTTCTACCCGCTTCGCAGCATTCATAAATCCTCAGGTGTTGTTCAGCCACTCGATTGCTCGAGCCACGGCCCAGTGCCCACTACCACTTACTGCAACTCAATTGACCCTGTAATTTGTACTGCACCACCCTATACTCAACGCCATTTCTACCTACTGTCTTCTCGTTTTCAATGTCAAATTTAAACGCAAGGCAAAATCGCAAGGTAATGAATGAGGGGTGGTCGTTGCTCGTATCTATTGCTACAAGTGGGTAAGTTACGATAACTCGAAAGCATTTCCAAGTCTATAAATGCGAGTAAATAAAGAGAGATCAGTTTTTCGCCTCCTCCTCCTGCTCCAGGGGCATCGTCTCCTTCCACCGCTCCACAATCGGCTCCCCCTTGAACACCTCATGCAGCACCTCCTTCACATCCTCGACATACACCAGCCTTATGCCCTCCTTCACACTCGCCGGCACATTCTCCTCGATGTCCGCCTTGTTGGCAGCAGGCGCGACAATCGTCTTGATCCCCGCCCGATGAGCGGCAAGAATCTTCTCCTTCAGCCCGCCAACGGGGAGGACCTGGCCAACGAGAGAAATCTCGCCGGTCATAGCTGCAACATTCTCAGCAAGCAAATAACAAGACGCAAAACCGCCCACCAATGTCAGAGCTAATCCTCGTCTTGGTGAACAGCGACACAAACGCAGACACAATCGCCGTCCCCGCGCTGGGCCCGTCCTTCCCGATGCTCCCCTCAGGCATATGCACATGAATGTCGCGATTGTCGAGCAGCAACGCGGTTGTCGTCACGGGCGCCTTCCCGTCCTCGCTTGCACTGCTCAGCGAGGCAGCTGGTGGCGTAATGCCAAGCACGTCCGCGTGGCTCTTCACCCAGCTCAGACCGATCTGCGCACTTTCCCTGATCACCTCCCCGAGTTTCCCGGTAAGCTGGAGCCCGCCGCGACCAGGCATGCTCTGCATCGTCGTCAAACAACGAAGCTAAAAAGAACAGGGCCACATACCACAACCTCAATCGGCATAACAGCCCCGCTCCCATTGCCCAAGTACCCCAAGCCTGTGCTGACGCCTGGTGGAGGCTTCCGCTTCACGTCGTCGTACATCCGATCCTTCTGGTAAACCGGTGGGCCCATGTACTCCTTCAAATTCTCTGGAGTAATGAGGACATGAACCGTGTCGGGAATAGGAAGCGGTTTGCGTTCCTGCGTGGTCACCGGCGCAGTCGTTTCACTTGGAGTCGGCGACTGGGGCTTGGGTGATGCAGCTTCAGTGTCGCTGTCGCTGTCCGAGTCGCTTTCTGAGTCGCTATCCGAATCGCTTTCGTCAACCGGGACAGTCGAAGGCTCATTTGGCGAAGGCGTGGTCGATTCTACATTGTTCACTGGTTTTTCTGGAGCGGGTTCGGGGAAGACATCTTCGCCAAGGTCGCGAACGATGTTAAGTGCCGCTTTGCGATAGATCTTCCAGCAATTATGAGTATAACGCTATTTCGTGAAAAAACAATTGACACACCTTCTCGATGGCTTTCTTCAATCCACGGACACCACTCTCGCGACAGTAATCCTGAATCAGGACAGCGACGGCCTCTGGACTGATTGCGACATCGGCCCCACTAAGACCAGACGACTCCTTGGCCTGCGGGACAAGATACCGACTCGCAATGGCGGACTTCTCCTCCGTCACGTAGCCGGAAACCTCTATCACCTCCATCCGGTCGAGAAGCGGGGCGGGGATAGTAGAGAGGGTGTTGGCGGTACAGACGAAAAGGATGGAGGAAAGGTCGACGGGAATGTCCATGCTGAGCGGCTTGAGAATGACAAAATAACCAAGACAGGGAATAAACGCACTAGTGGTCCAAAAACGCGTCGTTCTGCTCGGGGTCCAGCATTTCCAGCAGGGCACTCGCAGGGTCGCCATTGATGCCCCTCCCAATCTTGTCGACCTCGTCAATGAGAACGAGGGGGTTAGACGTCCCCACGCGTTTCAGGGCTTGGATAATCTTGCCAGGAAGCGCACTATCTTGTTCGTCAGCATCAAGTTCAGTGTCCAGTATATCACCGACCCAACGTAGGTCCTTCGGTGACCCTTGATCTCTGCGATATCGGTCAAGCCACCAACGCTGAACCGGAAGAATTGTCGTCCCAACGCGCGCGCAATCGATTTGCCAATGGAGGTTTTGCCGACACCAGGCGGACCAGTAAGTAGAAGAATCTTGCCCTGGACTTTCGGGTGATTTGGAGCGGGCGTGGTAGTGTCTGAAGCTCGTTATTTCAGAGTAATGGAAGCAAAAGACAATGACATACCACCAGAAGACGTTGTAGTCGTTGACCCCAAAGTTCCTCTCAACTTGCCAACAGCCAAAAACTCGAGGATGCGGTCCTTGACATCCGCCAGTCCGTAATGGTCCGCGTCAAGAACTCCCTGAGCATGCTTGAGCGAGAAGTTCTCAGGCGTATGCGAGCCCCAAGGAATCTATCAACTTATTAGAAGCAAAGCCATAAAAACACGATAAACGAAAGCATACCTGAGTTATCCAGTCCAAGTAGTTCCTCGTCACATTCGCCTCGCTCGCGGCCGGCTCGAGACCCGCAAGCTTGTTCATCTCCTCCTCAAACACTTTCTTCGCAACCTCCGGCATTTTCAGCTTCGCTGCCCGCTCGCGGAACTTGTCGAGTAGCTTGTCCTTCCCGTCGCTCTCCATGCCCAGCTCCTTCTTGATGTTTTTAAGCTGCTCCATGAGATAGTACTCTCGTTGGCGTTTCGCGAGCTTCGAGTCGACGTCGCGACTGAGTTTCGACTGCAATTGCGCGTTGATCAATTCCTTCTTCAAAACCAAAAGCGCCTTTTGCAGCCTATCCGCCACGTCCAGGCTTTCCAGCACATCCTGCAGCTCCTGCACCGAGCCCGAGCTGACTGCAGCCGCAAAGTCGGCCAGACGATCTGGCTCGTCGAAGATATTGGCAGAAACTTGGTTTATCGAGAAGTTGGTAATTTGGTCGCGGAACATGGGGTTTAGCTGCGCAACGTCTTTGAAGACGTTGATGAGCTCGCCGGTAAGCGCGCGTATAGTGGGGGCGTCTTTCGCGAACGGCAATATCGACAAGTTTGTGATGGAGGCGAGAGAGATGGGATGATTGTGAAGGAACGACGTTTGCACTGGACCAGCTTCCTGAGTTTCGGCGGGAGGCGAAGGATTCTCGGGGGCGGCAGCGCTTTGCGGGTCCTCTGGAGCCGGCTCAAGTTGGGCTAAACCAGGCTTGTGCAGCTCGCTAATGACAACTCGGCGATGAGGGTAAAGAACAGCCGTCAGCCCTTCTTCCTCCGGCTCTCCATTGGGTCCTGGCTTCCCAACAGCGGCAAATACGCTTGTGATTTGCGCGAAGACACCGACTTTGTGGATGCTGTCCAAATCCGTAACGATATCGCTGTCGGCATTTTCGTCTTTGAGGAGGAAAGCGCCAAGATATGGCTGGCCGCGACGCATCATGTCCTTAACGGCTGCGACAACAGCGGGGTTTCGAATGACGACGGCTTTGTAGAAGCCAGGGAAAAGCGGTCGACGAGCAATGGGAAGAGCGAGGACGAGTGGGTAGTTTTCCGGTATGGATTGCTTCGCGAGTGTGTTGGGTGGAGGAGAGCGGGAGCTAGATGAAGGGGGTGCAGAGGGAGGTGGGTCTGAGCTCGAGTCTGAAGGGGGAGGAGAGTCAGAGCTGGAAGAAGAATCACTGGGGTCTCTTTCTCCCGAGCTCCCGCTACTCTCGTCTCTTCCCTCGTCGTTTTCAGACTCCGTCTTCACAGGTGGCTTCTCCGCGCCTTCCTCGTGGCCCTTGTCGTTTATCCATCGAGGATAACGCGCTACACGCGTAGGCTGGGCAAAAACGGTGGTCGTCGAGGCAAAACCACGTTTCGAGCGCGATTGGTGAGAGAACGAGCCCCGAAGCAGGTCTAGCGTGACCCTGCTCGTGCTCGCTGGCCGCCAAAGTGCTGACGAAGCAAGGCCGCAACTGGGGGCGGCCTTGAAAACAAGTCGATTCATCGTCCGGCGAGTCTAAATACTCGCGTTCTAACACTGCATGAGCCACACCCACACGCAGAACAAACACGTACCAAAGCCTCGAAAAATTTTGCTGGTGGTGGTAGTCGTCAGAGGGCATCGCCGCCAAGCCGCGGGGTCACGCTGGTGACGCAAGCTGCCCGTTTGGGACACTTTCCTCCGAAACTCTTCCTTTCGCGCTAATTCGCGCCTAACAAGCTTATACTGAAAAAGCATTCGGGCGCAAAGTACCTGTCTGCCCTTTTCTGTCTCGGAAACGAAGGAGCCTCGCTGCTTGCGGTCTCGTAAGTGTCCAAAGCCGTGTGCTTTCTCTATGAACATCCAACAGCCACCAACAGGTGCTGATTAGCAAGGGTTCTTACTTGCGCAAGGTGAGGTTTTTACTTATGCCTCCGCCGCGGCTGACCTCTGCTCATGTGGATTTCAGATTGGATCTTATAAGCATTTTCGACGGCCAAAGCTTGCATTCAAGCTCAGAGCCAACATCTGGACCATGACGGCGGACTCAAAAACTAAAACTCAGGCTTGGCTATCTTCACATTTACTGATTCTAAAACAAGTCGCTCTCTGTTACGAAGTCCGTGCCCAAACTTGAAAAGATCGACTACAACAGGCAACATCTTCAGAGCGAGACGTGTTTCTCAGCGGTGCGTGCGGTGTTTATCGCTTGATTCTATCTCAGACTCTCAGTCTTCTAGCAAGGGCGGTTGTCATTGAGTCCGAAGTCGTTCACGATCCTCTACATCGTCAATCTCCTCCAAATTTTCCACTGTCTTCGCCACAGTGGAGGGCCCCACGACCATCTAGCCACTTCCCCAGCCAAAATCGCGAAGCTGAGTAATGGGAGGCTGGTATGAGCATTCATTCTCCCTGCGAAAACTCGATAAATTCCAGTTCTGAAACCCACTCCGAGTCTGTTGCTCAAATGAATTGGGAAATGGTCTTGCCTATAAATCAATCAGTCGTACAATTCAGAAGGGTGCGTCAATGACTCTCAATTTCCCATTTCGAGCATACAGAAGCTTATATTTTGTTTAGTTTTCGCTTTTGCCCTTGAATAAGAACTATGGCCACAGTGCGCTTTGCCGTAAACCAGGCCTCTCCTCCTGTGGAATAACTTTGCGACTTGTCTTCTACTCCCATCTTGACTCTTGAGCGAACCCATCCTGGACCAAAACCATCCCAACAATGCTATCGTTCGGCGCTTCTACTAGTAGCTCATCCACTCTTTCTTCTCACTGGTCCTAGTGCAGTCCTGTTCAAACTCGGCAACATCGATATCCGAGTCGTCGCTCGATGTTCTGGAGAAGCGGACTCGGAGGTCGTTGTATCACGACAACATGGTGAGCTGACTCGCTTTCAAGTTCCGGATCGCATCGGTGGCTAAGCTCCCTTCCCAGAAAGTTCATCTACCGTGAACAACACAGGTCTTCAAATTAGCGTCCTGTTGGACTTTCAATCGCTGGGTTTAGGTTTCGTGTCATTTGATGGACATTGTCTCGCCACCACTGCAGCTCACAGAGTCGAAGGAGTGACTGTCGACCTACCCAACACTACCGTTAGCTATGTGCGCGTCCTTTGTCTAGCCCTGCGCATTGTCTGATGTCCTTTATAACCTTCTTACTAGTAGTTCGAATGGCGCTACTAGTACGGTGCTACATCTAGCCGTTCTCTTTCAAGAGATCATTATCGCGTGGCAGCCCCCCCCCATAGCGGCTGGAAAAGTGGGGGGTAGATAAGGTATACCGGGCTGAAGATTCACCTGCGGAGGTAACGATGAATCGTTGGTGTTGAGACGAGAGGACTCCCTCATATTTGCAATGATTTGCAAATTGCGAGCGCCGAGATTAGATACTTATTGTACTAATCCAAACATACTAGTAGTACATTAACCTAATCTAAAAGAGTGTTCGGCCATGTATGAGTTCGTCTTCCTACGCTTGACCACGCCGAATAACTCTCAGGCCCACTGGCAGTAACCAATCACTTCCTTCGGATTAATATGATTCCTTATCGTGCAGGTAAGTAGCGCAGACGTCCTATGCTTGCGTTGCCAACAGCTCAATGAGGATGCAGGCTGTAGAGAAACCTCTCAAGCTTGAAGTAATAACTCCTCCCGTTGTCTTCCAAGTTTCCTTAGTAGCCGATGCTGGCCGCGGCTTTCCGGGGAATGACGTTGGCCATGTGGGTTACCAATCTGATGGGTCCTGATTTTCTCGCCAGTTGCCAAGCCCACGTAGCCATGACCCGGGCATCCTTGGTCTTCCTTCCCCCACTCCCACCGCCCTCGCGGCTCAGAGTCTGCGGCGATGCCCCACCATTATAAGGACACCGTCTCGACCGACCAGGCGACCTTTATCGGCTTTGCCTGCGAGGCCATCTTCTACGGTGCGTCATGGCCTTTCATTCTGCCTTTCAAACGAGGCTAATTTGACGTCCAGGGATTTACCTTCTCCTCTTCGCGTCTGCGGTCGTGGTGCTGACTAGGAGGAATGCCCCCGGTACTAGTAACAAAACGATGCTGCTGGTCTCGTGCTGGATGTTTGCCCTCTGCACGACACATTTCGGGCTCAATTTCAACAACGTTTACAACGGGCTGGTGCGTCTTGTTCTGTCTCGACGAGTTACCCAAGCCGAATGACGACAGATGGTCCATCCCCGACCTCACATCTCCGAAGAGACCAACCTCCTTGCCGGTAACTTTTTGTCTCCAACTCCTGCTCGTTCTCAATGCTGCTTTCAGGCGCCGATATGCTTTTCAGCATCACAGACTTTTGCAGTCAGCTCATCCTCGTGCGTCATGCTCTATTTCCCTGCCTTGTATTGACTGGCGGTAGATTTACCGCTGTTACCTCGTCTGGGGCCGCAACAAATGGATTGTCATCGTCCCCATCCTCATCGCCCTCGCTGCTGTTGGTAAGCGGAACTCCATCCAACCATAATCGCTATTAAGCTCTTTTCAAGGCTGCGGTGTCGGTCTCATTGGGCTTGTTCTCACCATCAACCCGAGCTCCCCACAAGCCCCCGCCGAAATCGTTCCCGTCGGCGACGCCGCTTTCGCCATGTCGCTCATCCTCAACTTCACCGTCTCCTCACTCATCGTCTCCCGCATCTACTACATCACCCGCGAAAACCGGCGGCACGGGATCACCTACACGGACACCGCCATCCAGCGCGCGATCGGCATCATCGTCGAGGCCGGCCTGCTCTTCCTCCTCGTCCAATTCGTCTTTGTCGTCCTGTTTGCCATCGCCCACCCCGCCCAGGCCATCCTCGTGCCAATAGCGACCCAAGTCTACGTAGGCAGCGCCGTCTTGAGTCTGCTTTTCGCTCATCACTTCTCTGCAGGGCATCTCCCCGACGATGATCATCGTCCGCGTTGGCCTCGGCTCGCACCTCCCCCAAACAACCGCCCGCGGCGAGTCCGCTGTTAACACGCTCCACTTTATCGGCGCCCAAAACAACGCGAGAAGACGGGCAACACCCGCCGAGTCCCGGCTCACGGGCACCACCAACACCGATGTCGAGATGTCCGGGCAGGCAGGCCGGGAGAAGGACGGCGACAAAGATGGGCAGATCGAGCTGCGCTTGCCGTCGCTAACGTTCAGCGTTGCCGAGCGCAAGAGCGTGGATGTGTAGAATCAGTAGATGGACTTTTTTCTCTTACTTGGGGCTTCTTTTTTCTGGCTTTCGTTATAGACTTTTGCCGCATTTTGTACTCGTACTCGTTAGCATTCACAATACCTAGTTCATTTGGAATAAAATACCATTCGTATCTCCGACCAAGTAGTACTATATGACCATTTTCTAGGACGTGCTATTGGGGCTGGTTGTCTGCATAACATTTTCAGTCGGAGGACCTACGCTCACAGTCCAGCATAATCAAAAAAGTTGCTGCCAAAGATAATTTGAAGGCCCTAGCCTGCACCTTGTCATCAGACAACTTCCAGTCAGAGTACATTCACATTCGTAGGTAGCCAGTGTCTAAATAACTAAAGTACAATGCTCAACGGCAAGCTATTATCGTAGCTACAATATCTAAGTAAACTTTTTCGTGCAGACGTGAAGAAAAGGCATGGTACAAGTCATAGATAGCGTGGTCATAAGTAATTCGTTTGGTATCCAGAAAGAGAAGAAAGGGGGGTAAAATGCGAGGCACGAAGCGGGACGAAAGAAAAACAACCAAGAGAAAGCACCACTCGCTCGTCTTCGCCCCCCCACCGGCACCGCTAGCTAGCGCGACATATCGGGGTCATCCGTACAAGCCCAGCCGGCCCATTCGCCCCGCGACATGGTCAACGCTGGGCCCATTGATGCCAGAGGGCGGTGGAGCACGGTCATGCACCGGTGGAGAGATAGCCGCTTGAGCACGCTGTATTTGTTGTTGATTCCAATACGTCCACGGGTTATTCGGATGCACCCGCGGAGGCAGCGGGACCGGCAGCGTGTGTCGCTGCGGAGGCTGGTAGTGCGGCTGTAGCAGCGGGAGCGAAAGCTCTGACATTGAGCGGGAATGGGCAAGAGAGCGGGGAGAAGTCATGGGGGGAGGTACGTAAGGAGCCGGGGTCTTCGAAACAGGAATGAGTGGTGCAGAAGTCGTCGCCGTCAACGCCCTCGTGTGTCTTCTCGGCGTTGGCGACCTCGTTGGCTCCGGCTCGCGATCCATCCCGCCAGACATGAACGACGCAATGCTGTTCTGGATACCAGGAATAAATGGCTGCGGCATGGGCATAGGAGTCGAGCCAGCATCCATCCGGACAAAACTCGCGTCTGAAGCCGCAGTTTCCGTCCTAACCGGAGTCCTCGTTCTCCTCCTTCGTTGACGCGGCAAGCGGCCAGAAGTGCCCCACGTTCGTCGTCTCTCCTCCAACCAAGACTCTTCTCCATCGGTGGAGTCAGAGTCGGACCCAGACGACAAGCTCTCATTGTCACCGATATTCTCCCATTGCTCGAGCTCCTCCTGCGCATCTTTTGACCGCCGTTTGAATGGGAGCCACGAAGCCATCCGCCCGTTCCGCTTCTCCTTCTCCGCCGCTCGCCTCACATTCTCTGCCCATCGAGCTGGCTCCCTCGGGTCCCAGGTCGAAGATGGTGGCGGAATATATGGCGTAACATTCGAAGTAGAAGCATATGGGTTGCCGTATGGTGAAGACATACTTGTCCAAGCATTGGGCCAAGTAGTAACGGCCGTCGTTGCCGTTGTCGTCTCCTTCCTCTTCTTGTCCTTTTTGTGTCGTCGCGACGAGGATGGCTCGGGAACAACAGGCGGCTGTTGTTGTTGCTGAGGAACAAATGGTGGTGCATAAGCTTGAGGAGAGTAGAATGGTGAGGCCACTCTCGGCTGGTATACCCCAGAAGCGCTGCTGCTCGGTCTAAGCGGCAAAAATCCGCCCCTCCCATCGTCCATCACGGCCTCCGGGTCCCAGCGATTGACCTCGTCAACGACCTCGACCATGCGCTTCCGCATCGTTGCTATGCGCTGCGGGTCATAACCCGTATAGCCCATAGCCCAAGCTTGACCTAACAGCCACAGCTCAAGCCGAGCAGGCGTCCAATGAATCCCGCGAGCGCGGATCCCCAAACGAAGAAGAATGCATATGTCTTCCCTATCAGCAGCATTGAAGCGGACCATCTTCAGCGCCACAGTCCAGTAGGGCGTTACGCTCACTGCCATAAAATACTTCAGATCAGAGAACGGGGATCAAGGAAGCCATACCTAAGTGTAGCATGCCATTCTGCGACACGAAAACAGTGAGAGAGTCGGCAGATTGCATTGACGCAGAATGTATCGGGTCGTACAGTGCCCCGGTCGCAGGACTGGAAAAGATTATCAGTCGGCGACACGGTGACAACGTCGAGGTAATGACTCACTTTGTGGCCATTGGCAGAGCAACATCTGCATCGCTATTCATCCAGTCCGCGCCCAAGCCGAACTGGGCGGCGGTTTCGAGGATGCATTGCTTCAGCCGTTGCGAGCCATCATGGACACCATAACTGGCCCACTCGGAAGCAAAAGTGCGAAGGATGCAGTCTATGTCACGGGTAGTGGAGCGTTGTCGCGCGGAATGGGCGTCGGTGGCAGCGGTGGTGACTGCTAATTGATTGAGCTCTGCATTGAGGAGCATAACTGCGCCACCATGGATGACGAGCCGGATGGGGCGGATGGTACCGAAGTGGATGGGTATTCTGGTGGAGAAGAACTCGAGGACTCCGTGTAAAGCGTCTCTGTCGAGAGCGCGCATGTTTTTGGGAGGTATACTGCCAAAGGGAGAGGACGAAGACGGAGGAGAATAACGGTGCTGGATAGCCATCGGGTGGCCCATTGCTGAGAAACCCGAGTGACCATGAGGTGTGGGTGAGTGTGGGGGGCTGAATGTAGGAATGGCTGGCGCGGCGAGAGCGCTAAAGCCATACCAGGGCGGGGGGAGTGGGCGGCCATTGGGGAGGGAGAACGGACATGGATGTGAAAGCGACCAAGCATTAACTGCTACGCGTCGTTTATGAATGTGGCACGGACCAAAAGGACTACGCACCTCTTACCCGAGCAAAACCCTTCGCCGACTCGTCCGATATAAGTGCAGCACAGCAGCTGCCGCCTCGTGTTTGGGGCGTGGTTGATCTGGCGGGAGGGGGGACTGTCTGGCTTAAGACTGTCCACAAGCACGGCTTTGATTGTCAGAGCTTCGGGGTAAGAAGCAAGGGCCTTTGAAGGTCAGGACCCAAGCACATTCGATGAAGGCTGTGGAGCGGGCAAAAAGCGAAAACGAGGAGGTGACGTGACGGCGTCTATGCCCGTATTGGGCCGACATCAGCGTGAAAAAATAGACTTTAGTCCGTTTTGGAGTGATAAGTGGCGTTGTAGGATGTGCAGCTCTCTGCAATGGGACAAGCGCGATCCACGGTTGTCGCATGACTCGTGGCGTGCTTGATAGTAATGGAAGCTGCGTGAGGACAATCAACCGGTGCCTCAACAAACAACCTGCCCAAATCTGACTGTGGACAATGAGCGATAGCTAGACATAGAAACCTTTGGTTTAGAAGGGCACTCGAGTTCTGAATTGCCTAGTATGAGTGGCGAAACCGCGTTTTCATCTATCGCTATCTCCAAGTTCACACATGGACCCACAAAGAGGCAGTACAAGCGAAGATCTTGACATTAGGCGCCAGTCGTTCCCATCCGCATCCAAATTTGGGAGTCTGTTGACGTCGATTGCCCGTGAAATGACCGCGTACCCGACGCTGCCCACCTGCCCTCGCACCTGTTGTTTACAGTCCTTGCATGGACAGCGGCCGCGTCTGCGATACTGGCTCCACACAACGGCCGTCCACCGGCGTACCCGGGTCAGATCATCTCAACTGCAGGAATCCAGCCGCGTCGAACCGTCAAGCGCCTACGGGGAAATGATATCCTCGTACGCGGGCAGGGCGATAACAGGACACTTGACTCGGAGTCTCCTGAATCCACGTTTGTGTGAATCAGAAAGTTATCGTACTATAGCGCTGTTGCTGATCATGAGAAGCCGCGAGTCATATTCGGATGGCCTGTTGCTTGTTTCCGATGAGAAGTCGATCCTGATCGGAATCGCAGTTGCTGTTGAACCCGGATCGCAGCGGCCGCGGGGACACTGGTTTATCATTAGAGACGGGCCGTCTCCTCATTCAATTTCAAGTACACCCTCCCGGGCTATTTTAGTTCATCGGCTTGACTCAACATGGCTTTACACGAAGGACTCCAGTCACTCCACGGACCACGAAAAGCCGAAAACGAAAGTCCCGGGCCGTTGCACTGTAACTTGCTTGTAAGCGGAACTTAACGCATGCAATAGCTCTTACGGGGTAGAGTGTTGCCGGCTTGAAATCCAAGCCGAATGGAGAGGAGATGGACGGCAGTGTCAAACTTGTAAAGACCTTTTTTTTCAAGTTGAATAGCTTTCGAATTCGAACAGCCTGTTTGGCACCTCCGTCGGTCCGAGAGTCCAAAGACACCGAACTTGTGGCCTCGGGCTTATGACGCTATGCGAATGAAAGCGGTGAGAGGGCGGGAAGTGGATGCAGCCTGAGGGCCTCAGCTATAGCGAATCAGAAAACTTCGCGGTGGGTTGGATACCAAGCATTCAAGTAGAGACTATCGTCTTTGAGATAAGGGAAGAGAGCAAGTATTTGAGGAAACCTGTATAACGAGCGAGTGTACGTGAAATACGGGTGAAATGCGGTACAAAATGAAAAGCGAAGAGAATGAATGTAAACATTCAGGACCACCAGTGAGTTACCCCTCGGTTTCTTGAATCTTCACCCCTTCTTCCAAGCCAGTGCTAAATCCTGGGACGCCGTTTTTCTTGGCTTCGAGCAGAATGCATATGGCGAGAATAACGACGGGATGGAAGATGTCGTGTCAAAATTGTTTCCCGTGTAGACACGGCGCGACTGTCAGTGCATCCAGTTGGTCTTGCTTTTCACTGTAAGCATAGATTCGGCGAGCGACTCGATCCTACCCAGGAGTCAGACCGCGACGAGGATGCCGGGAGGATGGTATGGTAGATGGAGGTGAGAGTTTTCGATGACGAGGGAGAGTATTCGCGAAGAAGGAGAGACTTGGGTTGGCCAGCTGAAGACGCCGGAAAATGTTCCCTTGCATGGGCATCGTTTATCGCATCTGGCTTTCAATACTGCTCAATGAAATCTCAAAACGGACAGGCAAGCACGCACCCGTTTTCCCAGCCTGCATAGTGAGTCTGAATCCCCACCGCTAATGCCTTCCTGTTGGCGACCAACAGACGTAATACACCAGAACTTAGAAGCTCCATTGGGAGTCTCCCGATACCCATTCGCCATATCCACAACATTTCTTCGAGCGTTTGGTCATCTGTGCGCTTGCGCGATGGCGGAGGCTTTGCTCTTAGAGTATACGGCGCAGAGACCACAGAATTGGTGTGCTTTCACAATTCTTGCGCTAGTATTCGAGAGTCAGAAGCTGTGATACATTCAGGACACCGTCCACACACCTAAAGTCTTCCCACCGAAAGCCACCTGGCCATTGTGGTTTCCGTCGTCAACAAGGTATTGACTTGCTCCAGCTGTAGTTCTAGTAGTCCTATCATAAAGTTATTTCCGAGAGTGGGGTTCTGAAAAGCTATACCAAAGAAACGCTGTTGAGCGGTAACACAGATATGACGGGCTTGGACAGCGCCGTATGCTACGGTGTGAGAACCCGAGTACTGGACGGCGTCGGCTGTGTTGCTGGGATTGTAGCCATTGAGAAACTAAAACCATGACGGATAAGGGGGAGAAGTGTAGTTGATCGGGTGCACGTGCCCAGCTTGGTCTTAGCGTCAGTCCCCCAACAGTCCCCTCACCTTTCTGTTCCATCTCAACGGCGGTCACTGGCCCATCTCCACCCACACTGTAGGCCGCACAACACGAGGCTTTTCTCAAAACATTAACTAAGGCGGTGTCACTTCGTGTCTCTTCACCTTCTCTTTCAAGTTCGCGCTATGGACCGTCAGTGGTCCCCTCTTCCTCCTGAGCTCCTGCAACCTCTCTCTTTCGACAACGACTGACTTTGTACTCGTTATCCGATTTTCAAGCTCTGTTCCTTCACAAATACTGATGTCAATGTGTTAGTGTCTTCCCACACTGGACTAGTTCGTCGCTTATATCATAGCAATACATGAGCAATACCATTACTTTCCCAGTTTCGTTCCTGTTCCTCCCCCCTATCCCTATCCCTATCCCCTTTGTGCCATGTACTTCCGCTTTCGAGCCGTGAAACCTACAAATCTATATCGCCTTCAATATTCTCAATACATCGTCCAAATCGTGATCTCATCCTTGAATTCGAGTCCATTCAGCGCCTGTCCAATACCGTCATCAATAACATCAAGAAGACAAGCAAGCGTACCCCGCGAACGGCCTCCGTTGCAAGGATGTGGTCGTCATTCATGCTGAAAACCCCATACTCCAGCTGGGGGTCGTCTTCCGGAGGCGGAACGTGTCTCCGAACTTCGCGGTAAGGCAGAGCAGAACACACCGGCTCCTTGAACAAGCCAATCTCAGTGGCAAGGTCTGATGCGGCTGGCCAGTCACCGGCGAAACTGTGCTCCTCGGGTGACGGTGCGGCAACTGTCAGCGTGATTTGCAGCTCGCTGGCCGTGTCATGCAGGACACAGAAATTAGGTTGAGCCTCATCATTGGTCTGGCCATCAACCAAAGGACCAAAGTCGAAAACTCGAACTTGGATGCGGGCATCGGCAACAGTTGTGCTTACCATCTTTTCGCCGGAAACGTGTCGGCTGCACTTGGTCAACAACTATCGCTGGCGGATCCATGCAGCACAACTTACCTGCCGGGGACAAAGCCCTCCAAATCCATTCCGGGGAACAGACGAGTATGCATCGGACCCCATTCCGCCCATGGCTTAGTGCTCGCGACGTGGTTATCGGGTGCCCTCCGGTATTGTTGGAGCATCTGCAAGAATATTCGTATATGGACAACCAGGCAAATCAGCGCCTCTGGGTGCGGCTCCGTGTCGAACGCGCCGCCATAGGCGATCGTGAATGTAATGATGCGGCGGTCAAGCGACTGGAAATGAGGCCTGGACGGGGCATGGTGGGTTGTAAAAGGTCCAGCGCTCGAGGCGACATTAACTGGACCCCAACACAGTTGTGGCGCGGTCAGAGGCAGGGCGAAGATGGCAATGGCAGTAGCGTTCGGGGTAATGCCGAGCGGGGAGAAGGAATACGTCGGTTCGAATGTGTAAAGGCGGATGCTTCCTGCTATGGAAATGCTCGAGAAAGGTTCGCCGCGACAGACGAGGAGGAAAGAGCTCGGATCTAGAACAAAGCATTCAACCACGCCCAAGGTACAAAAGAGCGGCTCTTGGTGGAACGCCTGAAGAGTTTACGTTGAGCAAACAGCAAACGAATACGACAACTCTTACGATTGACAGCACCACCGTAGATTTGCGCCAATCGACGACGAAGAGACGGCAAGAACGGGAGAAGAAGACAGCAACGATGTTGTCAACTATTTGCAGAGCAACCACAGGTGTGTCCCAAATATTTTCTGAAGCGGCAGCCCGTGCGAATATCAATTGGGCGTGCATCGCCTGTGGGTGGCGCTGGGCAGGCCGCGATAGCTGTCTCGCATCCAAGCCCCAGCCTGTTAATGGACTCGGTGAGTTCGGTTCCGCATAGAGTACGACGAGGAGATCTTGCCCTGAATCAATCTCGAAGTCGTAGAAGTGTTGCGGAGCGATGCCCATAACGAATGTCTCTCCGACTTTGGGGCAGTGAATGCCATCCGGATCCGTACTAGAAGGTAGTGGAAGCGTGTAGAGCTTGTCCGCTCGTATGTCTCGAACGGCGAGAAGACCTTGAGTAAGCACATGCGCGCCGCAATGGTGTAGCGATTGGATTGGGGCCCTCGTTTGAGAGCACCAGTCGAGGTTCTGCCATGCCTTTCGACGAGCAAGCAGTTGGGCCAGAGATTCTGTGGAGGTCGCTTTCCCAGTCGTACCGCGAAGCCGACCGTCCCGCCATAGCTCGATCGCATATTGTAGTTCTGCTGACTGGTTTATGACTTGACACCAGAATCGACAAACCTGGTAAGTTTTGGTTAGCTCCGCAGGTGCTTGGGGCTGAAAATGACTCACGAGTTTCGAAGAAATTACATCCCGTGGGTGAGAGTCGCGGAGTACCGCGGTCAAGAGCTCGGGAGGAAGAGGAGACCAACGGTCCATAGCGCGAACTGAAAGAGAACGTGAAGAGACACAAAGAGCCACCGTTAGTTAATGTTTCGAGCAAAGCCTCGCGTTGTGCATACAGTGTGGGGGGAGGTGGGCCAGTAACCGTCGTTGAGATGGAACAGAAAGGTGAGGGGACTGACGTTAAGACCAAGCTGGGCACGTGCACCGGATCAACTGCACTTCTCTCAGGCCTCATCCGTCATGTTTTCAGTTTCTCGAATCTCGATGGCTGCATCCCAGCACACAATCGACACGGTCCAGTACTCGCGTCCTCACACCTTCGCATACGGCGTAATCCTGCCTGAGCCCGTCATATCTGTGTTGCCGCTCAACAGCGTCTCTTTGGTATAGCTTTTCAGAACCCCATTCTCGGAACTAACTCTCTATAATAGGACTACTACAACTACAGCTGGAGCAATCTAATGCCCTGTTGACGGCGAAACCGCCATGGCAAGCTGGTCGGAAGACTTTAGGTGCGTGGACCGTGTCCTGAATGTATCACAGCTTCTGACTCTCGAATACTAGCGCAAAACCTATGAAAGCACACCAATTCTGTGGTCTCTGCGCCGTGTATCTCGAGAGAAAAGCCTCAGACCATCGTGCAAGCGCACCGATGACCAAACCCTCCAAAGAAATGTCATGGATATAGCGAATGGGTATCGGGAGACTCCCATTGGAGCTTCTGGTGAATTACGTTGTTGGTCGCCAACAGGGGGCCTCAGACTCAATATGCGGGCTTGGAAAACTGGTGTGTGCGTGCTTGCCTGTCACTTTTGAGGTTTCATTGAGCAGTATTGGAGGCCAGATGCGATAAACGGTGCCCATGCAAGGAACATTCTCCGGCGTTCTCAGCTGGCCAACCCAAGCTCTCCTTCTTTGCGAATGCTCTCGTCATCGAAAACCCCCGCCTCCATCTATCATACCTTCCTCCCGACATTCCCGTCACAGTCCGACTCCCGGAGGAGAGCCAGTCGCTCGCCGAATCTATGCTTTTAGTGAAAAGCAAGGCCGGCTGGGTGCACTGACAGTCGCGCCATGTCTACGCGGGACCCAGTTTTAACCCTACCTCTTCCATCTCGTCGTTATTCTCGCCATGTGATTTCTGCTCGAAGCCAAGAAAAATGGCGTCCCAGGATTTCACACTGGTGTGGAAGAAGTGTGAAGAAACCGAGAGGCAACTCACTGGTGGTTCTGAATGTTTACGTTCGTTCTCTTCGCTTTTCATTTTGTACCGTATTCCACTGTTTTTCCTCCTCGTTTACCGTCTTCCCTAACTCCCTTGTTATTCAAGTTTCCCAAAGATATTTACTCTCTTCCCCTTTTCTTAAAGACGGTCCCCACTTGAATGCCTGGTATCCAACCTGCCCTTCGAAAAAGAAACGACTTATCCATTCGGACTTGATTTGCACTGCCACTCGTACCTGCTCATCGTTCTTGTCTTCACACGTCCATTGTTGTGGACATGGATCGTGGGGGCTCTCTGCCTCCAGAGCTGCTCGCTTCGGTGCTTGGTTGGGCGGACCCTCGAGATGTAATTGCTTCACGAATGGTCAGTGACTATTCAGAAGGCTCGAGATGCTACAGCTGACTCTGAGTGGAAATTTTATGTAGGTTTGCCGATTCTGGTCTGCGGTGGTGAAGCACTCGGCAGAGCTACAATATATGATTGAACTATGGCGCGACGGACTGCTTCGCGGCGATAATGGACAGTCAACTTCTGTGGAATGCATGAATCGCCTGTCCACACGCCGGACAGCCTGGCACAATCTCCAATGGAGCGCACAATTAACAGTTCAGATGCAATCACTGCGAAAATGCCAAACCTACGAGCTTGTTGACGGCCTGCTTGCCCTGCGAGACCAACAGGTCGACAAGCTCTATATCCTTCCCTTACCTTCGGGTCCTAGGCCTGCAAACCAGCCGTACATCAGATCTACGGGAATTACACCGTTCAATTTCCAGAACTTTACAATCGACCTTGGACAGGATCTCCTGGTAATACTTCACCGTCTTACCTCACTTCCTGACTCCTCGACGAGCTGGGCTCTGGATGTCAGACAACTCTCATATCCAAACCGTCGTCATCCTCGTGCCGCTCTCAAGACACTGCCATTCTCGCCTGTCTCTCCATTCGAAGCTCCACCCAACCGGCCGCATATCACCCTTCAAATTCTTGACGATGTCGTGGCTATATGGTTCATGCACACCTGCCGCCTTTCTCTCGTAAATTGGGTGAAATCAACATTGATGCGCTCCTTTGTAAGTGCCGCCCTCGTCCTTGACATTCTGTGCTGACACGTCCATCATCAGGCTTTCCACCAAGACCCACTGTATTCCGAACTTATAGTCCTGGAATGTTTCATGCTGGACCCGCATTCCTTTCTCCTCATCTGCCAGAACGAGCCTGGGCTGCCCCACCATAACGGAGGCAGTATCCGGCTATATCAGATGTCGGACGACGACCAAGTAGTCGCCCACGTCGCCATTTTCGCTTTACCCCCCGTTGCGCGCCTATCCGGAGCGCTGCCCAGGCACACACAGACCATGGCTGGCCCCTTTCGGAAACAACATACGCCTGCGAGTCCACACCTCCAATCGAATGACCGCCGCATTATTTCGCTCGTCGTCTGGTACCGCCCCTTGGATGAAGTGCCCAATGCCGGTAGCAAGTTCGGAATCCGCCTGGTTATCCATATTCGCACATTCACGCAAGTGCTCGCGGAACCGGAAACAGAGAGGCCGCTCGTGGTGAAGGCATGGGATGAATGGGGACCTAACCAGACGCGCATTTTCCATGCTAGCGAGATGGATGGCTCGTGGGCCCGGTGAATAAACTACGCACTTCTCTGCTGCTGATTCACTCACTGCGCATGCTAGACACATTCATGGCGAGAAGATGATATTTGCGACCGCTGACACAACACACCTTCCTCTACTATACACGGGCTTTTGTCTGTTAGACTTCAATCCTGCATACGAAGACGCAAGTCACGGTGTCAGCGAGCTCCAAATTCGAGTCACCACGCCCGACGGCTACGAAAAAGGCCACTGGGACCTGTCTGGCCGCTTCCACCCAAGTCGAGTTACTCGCGGCATCACTGTTGGCTTATTTGAGCATCGGCTACGCTCTACCCTACCCTATCGCGAAATCCACAACTGCATCGTTCCTCCGGAGGGTGATCCACAGCCCGAGTACGATGTCCTTCCTGTTGGGTATGGGATAAATCGCCGCCCACGCCGCCTGGCTGCCGCCCCAGTGCCGCCGCCCCTCAGGTACAGCCGCCCAAGCGTGACAGGCTGCCGCCCGCGTGTCGTCGACTGCCGCCTCAAGTATTTCATCGACTGCCGCCTCAGGTCTTGAGTGCTCCACCACACTGCCGCCCAAAGCAAGGTACGCCGCCCATCCATACTACTTAAGGTAACAGCTTTATTGACTACTTTTTCGACTTGTTTTGCCCACGATGACGCTTCCCCTTGACTTTGCGTCGCTTCAACACCCTCCTCACCAATTCCTCTGGTGCTTCAAGGTCCTCTGACACGGGCGATGGGGTGCGAACACGCTTCAAGCTGCTTGCATGCAACTCTGAGTCTGGTCGCTCGGCGGCAACTTCAGGGCTCTGCTCGATGTTTTGCTCGGCGGAAACAGGAACTTCGCGGGTGATATTGACGGTTAGTGGGATTGGAGGAGCAGGATAGCTATCGGATTGAAGTCGACGGGTGTAGATCCTTGGCTGATATCCATTGGGACCCACGAAGTGTGTACGCAAGCTATTATCAATATTATCAGCAAAGCGTTCGGCATCCCAATACCTTTTGTGTGAAAGTTCATGTGGTGTGAGCGAGCGAAGCATGGCCATAGCCGCCTCGGCATAGTCAGGTGGCTCAAACAAAACTGGAGGTAGGCCGTAGGCTGGCTGCTGAATATCGAGGAATGTGTCGCCGTTGAGATTGTAGGGCTCATTGAGCTCATATTGAACAACAAGTGTTCTGAGCAGGGCGTTTCCAATGCTATGAACTCGCACCAACACCTCTCCCACCTCTAAATCAGGTTGGTCTTCGGAAAGCGCTTGTTCGAGGGCATTGAGCGGCTCCTCCAGAAGTGGGTCAAGGTTGTCATATCCATCGGCAACCAAGTTTGCATGTCTGAGCCAGCGAGCGACAGTGCCGTTCCAGTCGCGATACGACAGAATGACAGGGTGCTCAGATGTATCGTATGTTGCCAGAATAGCGGTTATTGGTGTGATAGCAGCGGAGAAAACAACTTGAAGATGAGGCGCGGCTGAGCTCTGAGGGTAGAATTGGGGAATCCGAATCACACAAAGCTGTTAATAAACGTCAGCCTTAGCAATAAATCACGATAATATTACCTGTCGCGGCTCCAACCTGGCTCGAGCGTTCATCATCAGGGTGCACTGCGCCTCCGAATAGTAAGCCGGCAGCGGTGACGAATCCATGTCCAGTGGCCATTGGATACATTGAAGCCAATGAAAGGAGAATTTACGACGCGATGCATTTGCCAGCATCACTCGAGCTGGATACCATGTGGTAGTCTCCGAATTCCACTCAAGCACAGGAATGCGAGGGTCAGGAAGCATAACGACTTCTCTCGGATAAAAACTACAACATTAAGATCAGCTCTCGGATTGCCAGCGTTGTAAGACTTCAATGCACTCACAGTTTCTCGGGACGCGGGGCGCATTTGCGGCACTTGAAGGAGACATCGGGATCTCCCCAGTCTGTGTACGCGTCAAAACCAAGATATTGGGAAAGGCATGCTTCGTGAGTCCAGAAGCCACAGTCCTCGCACTGGACCGCTGGCTCACTATCGCCGTCTGTCATCGTGCCGCAACCATAACAATTCAATGGACACGGTGTTTCGGGCCCTGTTTCCGTCGAAACATTTGGATCCAAGCCTTCTGCAGCGGGCGGTGTGTCGAGGGTGTCAAGCAGTAATTTTGTAACAGACTCGTCGTGACTTGAATTCGATGGAGTGAGGTCGGACAGCTCCGAGAGTGGCTTGCTCGTTGCTCGAACAGACTTGTCTGGCGCCATATCATCGGAGTCGGAAGGTTCAATGAGATCTTGAGTACTTTCTGGTTGTGCTCTCTTCCGCCAGACCTTCGGCTGACGCCTTGCTGGTAACTTCTTTGGTGAGTCATTTGCAGAACCAACCTGATACTCAGCTGTATCTCGCCGATGGGCAGTGGTGGTCCATTGCTCCCGCAAGTCCTCATCAACAAGGGACCACGTTGGATGGTTGGCAGCCCAGGGGAAACGCGGATGAGGTGATTCAGCAGTGTTGAAGGTAATGCCATGTGGAGCTTGGCGGCGCCGCTCGTTCTCGAAGGTACGCTGTGCTTGCTCGGCCCCGACCAGAACATACACCAGACCAACAAGGTAATAGCCTTCGGGAGTCTCCTTGAGTGATTGAGAGTCGCCGGTTAGCCAACCGCTGATAGTTTTCGCTTTCGGGCGGTGGACAGCATGCCCACTTAGCTTCATCCCATCGTAGTCAAAAATAAGACCATTTGGCGTGCGATACCGGCAAATAAAATGATCGCCATCGGAGAAGGCAAGTCCTATGATATCGTACCGGACGCCTACCATCGGTGCCTTGAATTTTTTCGCCTCAAGTGGGAATAGTTCGGGCGGTATCTTCCAAGACTTGCCTGCTTCGTGGTTGAACTCAATGATCAAAACCATTGGAAGCGAAAGAATGTAGTCGTGAAGGAATGCCGTAGACGAGTCGCAAAAGCGATCCGAGTCACGCTGGCGCCAGCAGGCCACGCTTTCAGTATAGTTTGTGTTGATTTGACACTCAAACCACAGTTGAATGTCACCTTTGAGTGCAGCATGATACCCAGAATTGACAACAAAATTGTGGCGCCAGCGGGGATGGGTTATCTCGAAGTGTTCCTCGGGCCAGAGATCGGAGCCTAAGCAATGCCGAAAGACCGACGCGTAGGCACAATAATATGAGAGTGCTTCGTAGTCAGCGCTCTTGTGCGTTTTGCGTCCCCTCAGAGTCTCTGAGTGCAGTCGCATAAGGGCTTCATTGAGCCATCCCTACGAAACTCATAAGCTATCAGCAGCCTTGAGAGGCGATTTCTTACAAAGAGTGCGTCACGCTTGCCAACACCAACAGCAAGTTTCTGGTTGATGAGCTCTGTTCGGAAGTTGTTTCGCTCCCGAGTGATATTGCGGCAGTCATTGGCATCGAACTCAATGGCTGTCGTGTTTTCGGACACGTAGAATTGGAGCAGTTTGTGTAGTCTTCCCAGAACGCTGTCTTGAGGGAGGTCGGCAAATAAAACGGTCATATGTGTTGCATGATAGAGTATATACGCGGATGGTGGGAGTGGGACTCGCGCCAGTCCCACTCTGCTGGCTGAGTGCCACCAATCAACATGTTTTAGTGGGATTCACCCAAATAAGTGGGACCAAGTTCATTTAACGTCACCCCGGCCAAGTGATCATCATCATCACTGCTTGATTAGACTTGTCAAATATGTTTTGAATCATGATATTTATGTACACATCAATCCTCTTCGTAATATGCCAACTGTTTCAATCTCCGACTGTCCTTCCGCTTTCGCTTCTGCCCTTCTGGTAGGATCTCGGACTCACTTGTTGTGGTAGCAGCACGACGACGCTTCCGAGGCTCCTCTGGAGTTGTGTCAGAGGTGGACGGGCCCGCAGGGTGAGCAGCCTCTGTCAGTGATTCTGCTTCAGTCGGTGCAGCCACGATTCTGGTGTCAAGAAGACCAACAGTGTCACCAGACACTTCGGTCCGGCCATCCGGAGACGAAAGTGATTCCAAACCGCTTGCATCCATGCGTGGTATGCCAGTGTAGCCGCCATTAGGCTCAGATGCTGCGGGCGGCATTGCTACCATGCTCGCAGGGGCGGCTAAGGTCGCCAACTCCGACGTGAGCACAGCCCCGTGTTCTCTTTCATACTCGTCCATTGCACGTGCAATCGCCGAGGCCGTTCTTGGACTCATTTGAAAGTCTGCCGAAAATCAGTTCACAGCTCTATTCTGGATTGGAACTTACCAAAATCATCGATTGCGGCCATGTCCAGTGTACCTACTTGGAGCGCCGTGCTGACCTCCAACCCCGAGCCAACCTCTAAGCCGGCGTCCAAGTCCCTTCGGGCCGGAATTCGCGCTCCTCGAAGCTCACCCTTTCGCAAAACATCAAGTGCTTCATCAATTTCTCCTCTCCTCGCCAGCCACCGACGCCTCGCAGTCGTCTCCTGTTTGATTTGCGCTGTCAACGCGGCTTGCGCATCCTTAAGCTCTTGTCCTTTGAGCTCTGCCTTGAGCTGAGACTTCCTTGCCTTCGCCGCCTTTTCTCGCGTCAGAGATGCTGTCCACTCATCATTTCCTTCCTGCCGCTCCTTCGTCAACGTTTGGAAGTCCTCGATCATGGCTTCACGCGTCGCATGTTTTCGCATCTTCGAGACAAGCCGTTGACCAGCTCTCTTTTCGCGCCGACCAATGGTGTTCCATCGGTTTGCCATGATGGCGTCGGGTCCCCCATCTTCGAGCTGAGTAAACTCATCTGCTGTTCGATTCGCTTGATCGCGAGCCCTGGTCAAGGATAGTGAGCAATATGGAACACCAGGGAAGTTGCTTCAATACACTCACGTCAATATTCCAGACAGTAGCGGCAGACCGATTGAAGTTTCCGCGTTACGCCCCGCATGGGCAGTTTCGACCAGATTAGAGTCGTTTGGGGTAGTATCAAAGTCGTCGGGATGTAGAAATGAAAGAACCTTGTTGAGCGAGGGCAAAAACCATGGATTGTTGAGTTTATGCTTGTACCAGTCTACGCGGCGGCGGCGGCGGCTGTTTAGCCCGAATCCCAATAAAGTAGAACAAAACACATACTTTGGATAACAGTTTCAGGTCGATCTCGAACAAATTCATGCCATCCATCTATTTCCTGCCGGGTTGCGAGCCCCGGAAAGGATCTAAGCCGTGCTTTCACGGATCGCGGGACCGACTCCGGCATCTTGTCAATGTGTCTGAAGTAAGTGTTAGAAGTTGGTGCTGTGCAATAGTCAAACATCACCGATAAAAATGTACCCTACACCCCTTGAATATATGCAAAACTAACTCCTTCGGATCACGCGAGTGAATGTTACTCAGCGCGGGGTCGTTATATTGGACGAGAAACTGTCCCAAACCGAGCGCCTGCGCTGCCTCACCGTCCATGACAATTGCGCGACATGTGCCCTCGGGGCGGAAACCGCGTAAGGCTAATTCAGTGCCAGTTAGCCTCTTGACGACATCGAAAAATTCCGAAAACAGATGAAAGAAGGCATCTGTGGTGTTACTATCACAGTATAAGCTCCCGAATGATACACCTGCATATTGTTCAGCACTGACATTCGAGTTTGAGAGGAAACTCACGCTTATTGAAACGCTCCAGCATCCCAACAATCTCCCACTCGTCCATCGACCCATCGATCCGCTTGAATGTGTAATCGATGCAAAGTGCCTGGACTCGATGGATATACTGAGCGAGAATCGGATGCATCGTAACGACAATGCGGAAGTTATCTTTCACAATTGCTGTGTGAATGTAACGCTCCGATGGGTCCAGCTTAGGATGAATCTCTGTTCGATAATGAATAACCCCTGTTTTGGACGGTTTATCACAGCATCGGAACGAAGATGATCACGCACCAGCCCATCCCATGCCAAATGGATATTTGCTTTGGGTTTGTGCTTTGATGAAGTCTTGGACCCGCCGTGCATCAGCAAAGGCAGGACTAGCCTTCCCGAGACGTTCACCGTTGTATTCAGCAATGGTTAACGGATCTAAAACGGTCAGCGGAGAGTTCTGTGATGCGGTAAGCACAGACGATTTATCAGCCTTTGCACCGTAAGTCCTTCAACGCCAATGGCATTGATCACTGCCTCCAATCGCGCCTCCTCCTCAACACTCGGCTTACTGTGTGGATGCGCTGGGTGGTTGTGGAAATTGCGAAGGTAAACTAAACAGATATTGTCGAGCCATGCGGGTGGCGCAACTCCTTTAAATGGAGCAGGAATGAACATGATAATTTCGGCGAGACATGGCCGCGGAATAATCTTGGGGACTATCGCAAAGCCAATTACCGAGTGTCCCGCAGCTAGAGGCAGGTCATTAGCATAGGCGGAGCATGTATGGTGAGACCTACGGCAGACAGACATGTGCACGCGCGGGTGCGCAGTGATATAGCATGTGTCTGAATCGGTGACCGAAAGCCCCGCCGGAAGTTGGCCGTTGTTATCGAACATGAATTTGAACATGGTTTCGTTGATGTTGGCGGGAATGGGAATGTATATATGCTCAAACCGCTGCGATGGATGCCATTCCGAGCAACCAATAAAGTAGATCTTGCCGAGCTGATTGGGGCCCTGTTGCAATGAGTCTTGCGGCAGCTCAAATAGCAGCATCATGCACGTACATGGGAAAGGAGAATCATGATTGCATGCCCCGGACAGTCCTTGCGCTTACACTTGGTGTTCATGACACGGGCATAGAACCTGTTTGAAACTGTCAGTTGAGAGTAAGCAGTAACGAAATCCACCATACCGCAATAATAAACTGCCATATGATGATGCTTCGCGCTCTTTCGAGTCAAGCTCATGCTGCCAGAGCTCTCGCATGGCGTTTACATCAATATCGTACCGCTCGCAATCTGCGAAAATCTCATCGGGTACGAGTTCGCATACATTAACCCCATTGCAATGGTAGCTTGATCGTCGTGCCCACACCTCGACATCCAGGTCATCGGCAAAACCTGTGACCCAGACGTCGCCATCCTTGTGCCCTGCACTACCGCCTCCCCACGAGTCTTGGTCCTGGTGGCAGATATCAGACTTTTGTCGTTCTGAGATGTAGCTTCAATCCTTACCTCGTGTTTGATATACCCATCAATAGTCCATTCCTTGGCCTTTTGGCGTTTTCGGTTTGTTCCCTGCGGCACATTTGGTGGTTCAGCGAGTTTAAGACGATAAACCGCATCGTCCCGCGGAATTGACCATGTGGGGGGTACTGAGTCGATGTCAATGACTCGCTCAATGCTGAGCTCGCGCGTCATCTGGAAGCGCTGGCCAGCGTTGGGCTGAGAAGCTTGCGTGCCCCTTCGTCGGCCTGGGAGATATCAGCCTGGAGCAGTAGAACAAACAAAAAATCTTACCTCTCCCACCTGTGGAAGGTGACTTCTTGCGCCGTACCGGAGAGTCGACCGTTTTTGGCACCTCGGGGAGAAGAACGCGAAGGGGAAAGGCTGCTCCGACATCAGAAAGCGACATCGGAGAGAACACTGCATACCTGGCTCATTTTTGCGGTCGGGTGACCCAGATCGGCTGCGCGACTGTCGCTGCTGGAAGTAACCATCAGCGGATGGTGACCGACGATGATGAAGGCAGGGTCAATTGACGAAGAACGAGGAGATTTGGCGGAGTCATTGGAGAGCGATCGACGAGATGACTGGCGAGAGAAGCTGCTAATCGAGGCCGCTCGCGTTGGGGGTAAAGAGCTGCCAGTACCGACCGAAGGAGGAAACCGCGAGTGGTGGCTAGCACGGGAAATCGAGCGTGACGGAAGAGCGAATTCGGAATGACGGGAGAGCACTGAGGCGGCGCGAGACGACGCTGATGAGGTCCGCGTACGAGAGGGAGCTGGAGATGTTGCCTGGCTAGATGCATTCCGGCCGCGCTGTCGAATTAAGGCAGGCCGGCCACGCTGTCGGGAGTTTGAAAACGCGACGTATGCCGCATATGCGGTCGGGAGGACCCAGACTATCGCGTTGTCCAGCGAGAAGAACTCGTGGACTGCATATTCGGGAGGCAAAATCTGAAGACAATATCATCAAAGATTGAAAACAGCGACTCGTCGGTCAGACATACCGTGTCACGGAACGATATAAGATCATCGCCACGGATTGCTTCGGCGTCAAAAGCGGCGACGTCGACCTCGGAGTCATCCCAGAGGAGGAACAGCTCGAGTCCCCACGCTGTAATCCACAACGCGGCGTTCTCCAGCGAGAAGAATGGCTGGTGTGTTGCGTTGCTGATTTCGGTGGAAACATCTTGTGTCTCTGTCAGTTACCGCACATGAGTGGAGGTAAATAGGGCCGTCTGAATTCCCGGTACGCCCGGCGGTCTCGCATTGAAAGTTGAGCAACAGCAGCACTTGTCTGATCGGCCATCGTATTTTGGTAAGTGTGGCGAAAGGCTTGGATGGGAGTATGAGTGACTGGATGCAACGATTTACCACCCAGGTTATATACCTAGAAGACCCTACCATTAGATTAGGATCGATCCCCGTCCTTGGTGTTTTTTCGAGCGAGAACGTCCAGGAAGAAGCGGAATTGAAGAAGAATGGCGAATGGAGATACAGCATGTGTGCGTGCAGAAGTCAATGCGTTGAAGCGCGAGACGACCCTGACTGATGCGGCGTTAGTCCTTGCTTGTCAAGCTTGCTGAGCGGCCATGCACATTGCTAGCCACTGCCACGTGTACTTGCATACGTGGCATGTCGAGAGTCAAATCGAGCGTGTCGGCGAGGCTGAGACTCTAACGTTGTCGAAGAGCCATTAGGCTTGCTTGTCTGTCCGTTCGGACCGTCGCCAAGCGGTGGTGGTAGGTGCATGAGAAGATTGCCGTCGTGGCGGTGCCTGACAGCGGTGTGACAGCTCGCATCATCGCATCATAATTCCTGCCGTCGGTAAAGCATGGCCAACAATCTTCCAATCCCACAAACTTGGGCTAAGCCACACCAATCAGTCATCGGATGGGCGGGAGTGGGACTGGCACGAGTCCCACTCCCACCAAACTCGTGTACCCTCTGCATGATATGACAGTGCAGTGGACAATAGCTGAAGGGAGGTATCGAGCCAGCAGGAGTTGCTGCTCCACATTGCACCACGCTGATACAGCTCGCGAGACGGAATTGATTTGGGGGCTGACGACGGTAGCGGTGGCGGCCTTCGCAGACTCGAGCGGCGCTGGGTTACGAGATTCCAGACGTTTGTTTGCGCGTTGAAGCTCGTACCATTTGTTTGGAGGATTAGCGTCCGATTTTTTAGGCGCTTTTTGACCCCGTGGCTTCAAAGGACCTTTGCTCCGGCCAAAGCGGAGCTTTTTCGAGACCCAAATTCGCTCCTTACCATAACGCAAACGATAGCCCGCTACGAAAATTTGAGCGAGAGAAGTGTCTTATGATAAGACAAACCTAGACCGGCCTTGTATTGCCGTTCGAACGTTTTTACGATGGCAATTAAGCCTGGAATTCCTTTGTTGAGCGATAAATGACGGCCGACCATTCGATATATCCGGTGATGCATTGCCTCCTCCGCATTTGTGGTCTCCGGCAGTGATTTCCAGAGCTCTGGATGCATACTGCGCGCACACACTCGAACAACATCACTGCGTGGGCAGGCCGCATCCACCATTCCACCCAAGCTTTGGCATGCGGAAAGTCGCGTTTGAGCTCTGCGACGGTAATGTTCAGGCTGTCCATGGTGTCAGCCTTGAGTAAGCTATATGTCAGCTTCTTGAATTCCGATTTTCTGTCCGGTGCTACCACCCCTGACACCTTCGATAGGCGCTCGACTTGGGTTGCAAAATGTTGCTTACACCCTTTGAGAAGGCTGGTGGCAGCTTGGAGGAGTTGTGCCGGAGTGCGACCGTCTGCGGCGTGAAGAGTGCGAAGGTCCATAAAGGCCTCTTTGAAGCCTTTCGATTGCGCTTCACAGTGATCAACAACCTAGAATACGAATTGTCAGCGCGTCAGTGGATAGAATTTTCCAACTGTACATTGGCAACCATTGAATCAGTGAATGGTCGATTGCTCTGGATGGCGCTGCGAAGTATACCACGCATCAACTTGAGAAAATGGATTCGATAATGCTCCGCCGTTGCACCATTGGAGTAAGTCATGAGAATGGGCACCCAGCACTTCATAAACTTGGGCTCATAGGTCGAGCTTATGAATAGAAGGTCCTTGCCATTAGACCAATAATCATGGCAAGCGTCCAGAGACGATGCCATTGAGGGCCTCGTGTTTGATCTGGTCCTTGATGCTCATTTTGCGCTGCCATTCGGACTGGAACATGATCATATGGATCCGTTGGTTCCAATGAACTTCGATGGTCCAATCGGGATACTTTGCACGAAGGCCATCAAGAAACTCCTCGAATCGTTGATATCATCTTTCATTCGATTGGCGGCGACAAGGGTTTTGCGACGTTCATATTTCAGACGGTCAAGATTGTTGAGGACAGAGCTGAACTCGGCAACTGATGGTCCAGGACCATTGATTGACGGTAGACCCGTCAGAAGCATTGCAGGTCCGATTGTAGGGTGTTCTGTGACGACTTTGGCCAGCTTGCGAGAGGCTTTCGGCTCCATATGCTTTTCGGGTGGCTTGATATGGTGATGGAAACCCTTTTGCTCGAAGATTGTGCCGCCAGAATATATGGTGTACTCACAGCTCGCATCACATTGGACTTCTTGCACTGCGCTCCCACAGGCACGGCAACCTTCATTCTTCTGCCTAGCGCGGTCTTTGCGCTTTGTGAGTGGACGAATAACTATTCCGCACTTTGTGTTGGTGCAGAGGTAGATTCCGATGCAGGAGCGCACTCTCCGATGACCATCGGCAGCATTAGGGGCATCCATGCTTCGGTGACGGTCAGTGTTGTGTGTCCCCTTGGTCTCTGAGGCCCAGTGAATGGCGAACTTATTCTTTTCGAAGAAGCCATGTGATGCGCGACGTCTCCAAAAGCCAGTCGGCCAATGGTCCCAGTCATCGTCAGAGCCAAGTGACGAAAGAGACTCGATGTCGGTATCTCTAGTTGTTTTGACTGGGGCAGCCTGAGAGTCTTGGTGGCGCGCTTGTTTTCGTTTTGGAAGTGCTGGCTGTAGTACACTTTTCCGAGTTGGTTTAGGTGGTACATTGATGCTAGTCGGGCCGGTCGCTGCCACTGGTACTTGCACCTGGGCCACCGGTTGTACTAGTTTTGGGGAAAGCCACATGATGTGCTACAGTACTATGTTAGTGGTCTGCCTCAGAGGATGGTCTGAAACATACCAGTAGTGCTTGGAGCATGCAAGGAATAGTAACCTGGTCCATCATGCTGCGGAACAAAGATGGCTTCATCAGGCAAGTCATCAGCATAGACTGGTGATTTATGAACTGAGGCCTTTCAGGTAGAAGCTTGGGTACATACCAACTGGGAGACTACTATAGTTGGACAACATATTGTTGGTGTCCTCTAGCTCAGGAGTTGGGCTCTTGAGATGGTGCTTAAACCAGTGTTTCACTTTGCGCTATTTTTGTTTTTGTAAATCTAGTAAGCAGCCATAGACACATATATAAGGACCACTCACAGCAAGTTCCATAGCAGCTGCAGTGTAAGAAACAAGGAGGGTAAGACAATACCCCTAATAGTGGAAATTTCATCATGCTTAGATGATGATGATGAATAATAGATCATATTATTTCTAGATTCAATTCATAGCAAGTTTTGACTTCCTTGTCACTGTTTCTGTTATGTATTCTATTCTATTTCGTTTAATTTGGCCGGATCTGAGGATTTGATAGGTATGCTATTTTTGCTGCTGGATATATTATTAAGGATACTCAGATGTCTAAATGGAATTAGAGATCCATTTAGCCTTCAAATGTGAAAAAATATTGAATCTGACAGCCTTCTACAGAAGGGAAATCAACCAAGCAGCAATATAGTATTCTGTAAATTTCTTCCTCTGCATAAGCTTCTAAGTCTAATGACTGGTCCCAGTGTGTTCTATGGGCATTTATAAGTACTTCATACAGCCAAAATATATACCCCCAAGCAATGCCTGGCCCTCAGCAACTGTTGTCTCTGTGTTGTGACACTGATGTGTTGTGACACTGATGTCACATTTATCACACATTGACTGGAATTTACTCACTATGCATGAACTTCTAAGTGTGATGGCAGGTCTGAGATAACCCTACATGAACCTCAATATGTTGCCCAGCCATCACAAGTGCCCCCAATGAGTGCCTGCTTTACAAACCCACTGTCTCTATTTTGATACTGAAGTCACACAGTGTCACAACTGCCGCCCAACAGTGCACGGCAATTGCCATAAGTGACTGTCTGCAGCAACTGGCAGTTCAGCTGCTCTCTCCTCTAGTACTAGCCTGAGTACACTCATGAGGTCTGATATACTGACATTAGCATAGCCACCAATGTCAGTTCACACGATTTTTGATTGCACCTGTCAAAGCTTTCACAAGGTATAGTGAAGCAACCACTGGATAGATAAGCTTAATATTACAGGAGGATATGGTCCAACAGTATGAGAGTTGTCTCACCAAGATACAAGGGGGGTGGACAAGAAACCATTGAGATATTCACAACATAGTTTCAAAAACATTTCTAGGGCCATTCTAGCTAAGGGTCTAGTCTCTACCTTAGGAAATGGAGGAAGGTAGAAGGGCTTAATAGGTTCTTTCATTTTGTACTTGCCTGATCAAATTGGACCTAGAAACAAGCAATAAAAGACAAAACATTGCTGGGCCAATTAAATCTAAATATATTACTATTAGCATTACACAACGGCTCATAAATTTGTTATTGAGTATGGAACTGGTTACAAATATGTAAGGCCTGTCAGCTTGCCAAATTCACAGTGCACATTTGGCTGTGACTGCAGTCCAAATAATGAAACTCTTGCTGATATGTATATAAATATCCCAAATTGCTAACAATCATCCATCGTTATCTGCCAAAGGGTCATCTTCCATCTCTTGCTCCGACCCACTGTACAAATCTTAGACGTTATTAGTTTTTGTTATCACAACAATAGAAATCCTACCTGTTTCCATCACTTCTGCCTTATGACCTCTACGACGACGGGTATCGCTCTTGGATTTCAAGTCTACATGTTGCTGATCAATGCTACTATGGGTGTATGAAAAGTAAATGACATACCAGTTGGCGACTCAGCAAGATCTCTTGCCTTGTCACGAAATGCATCAGGTGGGTGCGAGGCTGCCCAGGGTGGCTGACTGGTAGTTGATTCATTGTGAGTACCCAGGAGGATTGGTTGTCTCCGAACAAAACGCTGAATGCCATATGTATCATGAGAGCCAACCGCAAGTGAATGGGTGAATGTTGGATGAGTGTGAAGACCACCATTTTCCCAGAAAGCTCCCCCAGCAAAGAAAGTCACCGTCCATTCAACGTCACAAGCGCGCCGAATGAGCATTGCACCGCAGAGACAGGATTGTTGAAGCTGCTTAGTTGTACCGTCACTTGACGTTCCAGCAGGTGGGATTGTCACTGAACATGAGGAACATATAACGGCACCAGCACAACGAAAGCGGTGACTGGGTCCCCTTTGCAGAGTTGTCGCCTCCTGGGAACCACTTCGGCCAGGAAGTCGTGTACTGGCCCAGTGTACTGAAAGTTGAAATGTGTCTTCGACCTGTTGCCGGGTAAAATGCTGCTGAAACAGACCATCTGGGAAACCGTCCCAACTTGCAAGAGTGCCAGAGGGATACAGGACAGACACTGCTGGGAGAGGAGCACTGAAGGGGATGGGTGCACTGCCGGGATGGTCAACGCCCACGGGGCCTTCATTGCTCAGGCTAACTTGGCGCAAGGCCAGCTTTTGGACATGTCCTTCCAGAGAGAGTCAATATCATGGTCGTGCACTTGATTTTTTGCATACCATCAGCACCCCTGACTTCATGGAGGCGAAATAGAGTTCCCCTTCGCCGATTATAATGGGGAAGATGCACCATAATCAAGAGGTAGACCAGAATAAGCCCATAGACAGTGTTCAGTTTGTTGTCGACCAGCCAGGAGTACCAGAAGAAAGTCAGTTGTGTTGTCATCCAAGCACGCTGTGTCCAGAGAAGCACAAGAATCAGAGCGACGTTGAGCGTCACTTGGATCGTCGTTGACATGACAGGAGAAGCGAAGTCTCAGAGCTGATGCTTACTCATACTGCCGCCCGCCGCCCACTGCCGCCGCCGACTACCGCCCTGCTGCCGCCCGACTACCGCCCTGCTGCCGCCCAACTACCGCCTCACTGCCGCCGACTACCGCCCACTGCCACCGACCGCTAAAGTGTGGCAGCCTGCTCCTCCACCACTGTGAGCTCATTGTCACCCCGCTGCTCATATTGTGCTGCAAGTCATATACTAGTATATCATTCAGAATCAACATACTTACTTCCCATTGACTGCCTCAGTACCGTATGTCCTGCACCTCACCATGACATGATTAATGACTTCAAGTTGTCCACTACGACCTACTTGACCGCCATTGGGCAGCTGCCGCCCAGAAGTTTTGGATTGCCACTCCCTTCTAGAGAAGTGCCGCCCACAGTGTGTGACTTGCCGCCCAAGCTTTGTGACGCCACCACTCTGCCGCCCCGAAGTTTCAAGATACCAACAGATATGTTCCAGCCAAATTTTTGGAGCCTTAGGTGCCGCCCGCGTGACGCCCAGATGCCGCCCATCAATTTTAGTCCTTTTGCTGATCTACTGACAACAAATACACGCGACTCCTTCCGTGGTACACTAGGTGCGTGAATTCACTTCTACATTAAGTCAGCGTATGACTCCTTCGAAGATATGTTGATATTCACAAGACAACGACAAGATAACTCGTTGCAAGCCCGGCGGTCAGACCTGGTGTGCCGCCCGACCGCCGCCCCACTGCCGCCCAACCACTGGGCGGCGATTTATCTCTGCCCTTCCTGTTGAATGGTGACCATATCCTGGCGAGCGAGTTTATCAGAGGGGTATGTCTGCTCCCTCCACTCACAATCGATTGACAACAATTCGAATACCAGGGGCCCGGGGGTCTTTTCGCGGAGTGGAGAGACCAGATTACCGTCCTCGGCATGTGTTGAATAGCCGACCGAATAAACACAGAATGTCAGTTGACTCCGAAGTGTTAAATATTGCAATGACGTTTTCTTCAGCAACTATGTCGCATTCACCGTCAATTGACTGCCTACCCCCGGCGTTCACACCATCTATGCCTTGAGTAAGTAGTTGTATAAAGTTGCTGGCTTGATCCTTTGCGCTTTCAAAGTTTTTCCGAACGATCAGTGTACACTGTGTGGTATTTCCCCATGTACTTCTCGCATTCATAAGACTTTGTAGTGTCGCAGTGGCAGTGTGGGTAGCGGTGGGGATGGGGATGAATGAAGAAAGAAAGGACATCAGGTAACAAACAACGGAACGAGTATCAATGCAAGTTCATCGTCCCCCCCACAAAACGTATCCTCGAGCCAGGATCGTGGACGGCAAGACATAATTGTAGGCTTGATGGAGAGGAGAAGTGGGTGGTTTGGGCTGTGAACGTGGTCCGGAAGGGTTTGTCCATGCATATGATGACCATGGACTTGAGAAGAAACTGGAGGTTCTCGGTTCGCCATAAGTAAGGCGAGCGGACGTCAAATGAAATGTCGTTTCAATTTTTCGACTTTGCCAAGGAGATCAAGAACGGATATCGACATTACTATCGAGCATTATGAGTATCGTCAAGTAACCTCAGAGCCTACTCACAGTCAAGGTATTTGCGACGGACATACATGCTCCTTCATTTGTCTCAGCATCGGAATTGTGTCCTTGACCATTAGTTTCGAGAATCTACAAAGCAGATATAGTTATCGTCAGTGACTCGGAAAACCCAGAAAGAGCAGCAGAGGCACAGAGGCACCAGTCAAAACATATGTAGGGAGTGTATTGCTCGACCGTCATGATGCATTTATTGGCGGTGTCGATGACGGCGGTGCCAATGACGATGTTGTCGACAACAAGGTGAACGTTCTTTTAAGGATAAGAAACCTTCATCTCTCATACGAGGACTGAAACACCCAAGCATGAGACATCGCTGGTTACAAGCGTCAAGAACGTCCGTGGAGGAACGACTATCCGTTTTGCCGCGAAAGCGGAAAAGAAGGTGCTCGACGAGTGCCTTTCTGGACAAAAGACAACCGTTGAGGGTGAGGAGAAGGCCCTTGACCAAGGCAATACGCCCGATAGAGGGTTGACTATCGCAAGATTCGGTGCGGGAGTACTAAGGGATTTATCGTAGAGGGAAATATTGCGGCTAGTACAATGTATGCTTCTTAGTCGTTCTAGTGTTGTTGAGCATGTTTGCAAATGAGAGCCAAGCGGAAAACTAATATTGTACCATTTCAGCGATGGTGACGACAAGTACATGAAAAGCTTACCGAGCGAGAGCGAGTTGTCGGCGAGTTGTCCCAAGTGGAGCGATTGGATGCGGAAAGTACTCTGGTGATATCTTCCGGGGACAACCGCGCGAAAGAGAGAGACGGTTTGTGTACTCGTTCAAGAATCCCGAATGATGACGAGGATGTAGAAGAAGAAGGGTCGGAAGCCGTAGGCCCCGGGAAGCTCCACCAAATGGTGATTCAAAAATTTGGGTTTTTGAGGCCCAAAAATCGCGATTTCCTTGTCCAAAAAATGGGTTTTTGAGATGAAAATTCTGAAAACCTTCTTCAAGATATGGGTTTTTCAGGCCTTGGGGAGGTTCGCAGGAAAGTTTTAGACTGGCCTGTGCACCAGCGTCTCACCGAGTAACAGATGCCTTTTTTTGAGAGGTGAATCACCGCAAAGAGTGTTAGTTTCAAGGTAAAACCGCCGCAAGACACTTTTTGATACCTGTAAAAATTACCATTTTTGGCAGGTGTCACGCAGTTACATGTCACGATCCTTCTTCAAAAATGGGTTTTTGGGGCCCAAAAAATTGGGTTTTTGAGGCCAAAATTCGGAAATTTTTTGAAGCACCCTTTGGTGGAGCTTCCCGGGGCCTGAAGCCGTAGACGCATATGCAGCAGGAAATGACGGTCCCAACGGATTTCTCAACTCGAAATGATTCAAGTGCGGTACAGGAAAGTACATGGGAAGCCTAAGCCCTGCCCAAAACTCGAAGGCGGGATAGTTTATGGCGTTGGAGACTTGGAGAAACCGCATTAGCGTTCGTCATGAGGAGTAGAAAGTATGACACACCACTTTTGCTACTTTTTTGCTGCCCTTCCCGATGGATTTGACTGAAGTACGTTAAGCTGTGCGTCGCAGAAGCCTGCAAGGCTGCGCTGGGAAGGACGATTTCGGACGTTGGACGTCTTTCATGTCATGGCGGGGGTGGTAAACTTCAGGCGAACCATAGCGCTATGAAAATGAGTCAGAAATACTGGTAATCAAGTAGAACGGAGCGAGCGCACCCAAAATCCCGCGTTAAGCCCTAGTGCGAGTCTGCTCAAGATTCGATACTACTTGACTGGGAAAGACTGAGTGTCCGAGTCATACCATAGCTTGTGCATCCAAGCAGCTTTTAGGTTACGGTCATGTCGACCACAGGAAAGAGCATGGTTGTGTCGACGTTGCTCTTCGGTGCCCAGGCTGGGACAAGATGTGGACTGACATTGATCTCTGATCTCTGACGTCAGCACCTCCTCCTTTCCTTCGTGATATCTTCGGACCGTCCTGGACTTTTGCTCCAGCTACCATTCACATGCTCTGTCACGCCGGTGAGCATGGGCTGCATGGCTACGGCGCTTGACACTCCCCGTAAAGTATCAAGTTTCTGACTTGATTGTCAATTTTCCACTGATTCTTGAGTAGATCAACGACTGCTCAATCTGAATAACAGCGCCGAGCGCCGAGCCGCCGAAGAGCATTGAACGGCACCCAACAGGTCACTATGGCGCCGGTCAGAAGAAGCTCTTACTCTCACGGTCAGCAACTTGAATACTTATATCCGACTCGCACTTGGAGATACCCACTTCAATGGACTCCAGAGAGCCTTTCGACATTCTCCCGCCAGAGCTCTGGGAGATCATCGCCTCAGTATTATGCTTCAAGGACCGGCATCGCCTGAGCCGCACATGTACCACGCTGCGAAGGCTTGTTCTGCGTGTCCTGTTTTCCCAGCTCCATCTTACCTCCTTGCCCGACCATGCATGGCTTCAGCGGTACTTGGATCCCGACAAGCCACTCCACCCGCCGGCCGGCGACGGCCCGGAAATCAAATCGCTCTCGCAGAGGGGTCGGCGGGACATGCGGCGCTACCTCAGCATAGTTGCACGGCGAACCCTCTCCTCGCAGGTGAAAGAGATATACTACCAGTTCTGGAGAAGTCCGGCCAGCCAGGGCAAGCCGCGCTACCCGGAGTACGTCCTCAAGATGCTTCCGCGCTTTGCCGAGCTCACAAAGCTGACCCTCTGGGGCATCGAGCCCGACCATATCCACCTCCACGCCGACATGCGCCCCGCAATCGACTCTTTACCGCTTCTCCGCCATCTGGCGCTCTATGGCATTGCGTTGGACGATGGACGGGCACTCCCTTTAGAAACATTCGAGTTCCATTCATCTACCACCCCCGTTGACGAAACCTTACACATCGTGGATCCCATTACCATCCGTAGACTTGTCCTTACCGGCTCGTCCAAGCTCCGCCCGCTTCTCTCTGCACTGCAGAATACAGCGCTGCCTGCCCTGCGCTTCCTTAAATTACAAATTCCCGTCACCATTGACCTGACCACGGTGGCTGCTGTCTTGGAATGCTGCACCGCTCTGGAGTCGCTCAACATTTCCACCACCAATGACGACAAGTTCTTTCCCGACATACCACAACCACAACGATCAGCACATGTCGCCCGAAAGCTACCATCTGCCCTGCCGCGTCTCGAGAGACTGTCCTGCACCTACCCCTTTGCTGCACTCGCCCCGGCTGCAACACTTGAGCTATATGGTGGTCCGGCAACCGTTGAGGCTGTCACCGCTGCACTCTTTGCCGCCCGTGTTCATGCGGGCACAATCCGCGAGCTCCGCATTCTCGACGTCTTCTTCCCCGACGAGCTGGTTACCGTGTTTACTGCAGTCACGGCGGGATACCCCGGGCTACACACGCTCAGCGTGAAGACTTGTGCAAAGAAAGGCGCCGGTCCCGACTCGGAGCTCCCTGCCCTCGTCGAGCAGCACCGCCTTCCCCTGCCGCACACGCTGGAGACCCTCGACATTCGCGCCACAGACACACAAAATGTGCTCTGCAACCCCACCATTCAGCTTCGGGTTGTGCACGCACTGGCTGGGCAACACTGGCATAGCGGCCACAGGCTTTCCACAATCACGTTTTCTTGGTATGCTCGCGAGGGGGAGCTCCCGGAGACTGAACGTTTGATCAGGCACACTGGCACATATGGCAAGAGTGTGGACGGCGATGAGTGGGAGCAGGTAGTCCATATCACACAGGTAGTACTATAGTATTACTCAGGCTTACTACTCCCGGCTTCAAGTCCTTCGTGGCCAGTGCCAGCAACCGGTGTCTTGACAGTGAATTGCATCTCGCCCGCAGTGCCGTTGAAGACACAATTTGCCAGTGGAGTCAGGGCATATGTTACTAGCATCGGAACATGAAGTCATTTTTCATTCCAGCAAAGGCATTTCAGCACATGCCCAACCCACGAGCCGTCTATCTCCTCACCAGGAAATATACGCATTTCCGCGGGGCCCCATTCTGCCCATGTCTTCCTGATAGGAGTATTGACACAAGCTGTCCTTGATTGCTCGAGCACTCAGCAGTCGATAAAATGTGCGTATGTGAGCATTCAGGTACTCGGTATAGGCTTGCAGTGGTTCCGTGGAATTGTTCACCAGCGGTCCATACCATAACAAGATAGTATACGGTAACGACGCCACAGAGAATGTGTAAATTGATCTCTGTCTGACGAGTGAGGTTGGCCGGAGGAAATTGGAATCTCAATGGTCATTGTTTCTTTTGTGTACTGTTCATCGGTAGTCGGGCCCAATGGAAGCATGTAGAATCTGTGGTCGTGAGGGTCCCGGACAGAGAGTAGGCCATCGACAAGCACATAGCCCCCACAGCCATAGAGCGACTCGGATTGAATTTCGACCGGTGTTTGGGACCTCCATTTGAGGTTTCGCCAAGCGTTGCGACGTGCGAAAGCTCGAGACAAACATTCCGTGGAGGAGAGCAGTCCATTATAGCCGCGAAGGAGTCCGTCGCGCCAGAGTTCAATCGCGCATTGCAGCTCTGCAGAGTGTCTAACGACTTCAAACCAGAATCGAAAAACCTGTGAGGCATTAGATTAAGCGACAGATGCGATGTTACTGACGAGTTGGAAAGCAATGATATCTCGCGGATGTGTCTGACTGAGCACCATAGTGAGCAATTCCGGAGGCAGGGTTTCTTGGCCCGGGGAGCCCATAAGTACTTTGCAACTTGGATTGTACTGTAATATGTACGGCGTCAAGATTAGAGCGATGAGGATGGCTTCGGGTTCACGTTTCTCTTTGGCAACTTGAAGACTCGCGGTAGGATTACACGCCCAGTATCAGTTGGAGGTGAGAGGGAGCCAAGATTAGTTTCACGTGCACAATGATTCCCGTCAAGTCAGCCTCGATGGCACCGATACCACCAGCAACGGCCACAGCTACCACATCTCGTATTCGACATGACCGCAACCTGGAGGCGCCTTCGATGCACAAGTTGTGTTGTTGATATGCCGCTTTCAGACCCTTCAAGATTGGCGCGGCTCTGAATCTTGGTGGCACTAGCGCGGAAGTGGGGCTTCTTGGGTGCGCTCTCGGTCAGCTCGAATCTAATATCGACGTTTCTGACTCATCTGCACAGTGTTACGGTCGGCTTGACCTCTCCCACCACCTCCCTGTCGGTGCCTCCTTAACCATGACATGAAGACGTAGTGCGAAACGGTCCTTCCTCCCAGCGCAGCCTTGTGGGCTTCCGCAACGCCCGGCGTAAACACAAGGCACACGAGGAAGGGCAGCAATAGACTGGCAATGGCGACATCTAGACTGGTATGTTATGCTGCGTTTTACTCCTCCAACACAACCTGACGGCTACTAGTAATGCAGTTCCAGCTTTCAAGTGTCCGACGGCCATGATACTTCTCCGTCTTCCAGCTTCATGCAAGGCTCCAATCCCCATTCACTTTTTCCGTGCGACTGCTTGTCTGTGATTCCATTCCCCCGGTGCGCGGTCGTTTGATGATTCACTGCTGTCACTCATTCGGCTTCAAGGGTGTTTGTATAGTACAGCGAGGCGGAACTGGACAGAGGGAAATACAAGAAGGAGATCACTCAAATGAACAACTGCCGTGGCCGTTTTCCGGTTGGGCTCGGTTGGAGGAACCGCTTGAGAAAGAGGCCCTGGAGACGCTTCGCTGCTGTACTCCCTCTATACTCGCTCAACGTCAATCACCGCTCGCCCACCACTTCCTCTCCCATTATTGGCCATATTCTTTCTTACACTATTGGGCTTGCTTATTCGCGTTGATATAGGCATTTTGTTTGTCTTGTTTTAGTTCATGTATCGTTAGCCTTGCCATACGAAGCCAAAGATGATCAAGTATAGTATTGGTTAAGTGGCTTATAATCTACGCATGAGTCGAGTCGAAGAAATGTTCTCAGATCCTTCTATTGGCGCAAAGAAATGTTTCTATTGGCGTTAGGTCAAGCGAAGATGCTCAAAACCTAGACGCAGACCGGGAGTAAGACTTGAGGCAGCAAAGAGCAACGGGTACATACCACTGCCCGCGTCACCGATTTCGCGTCCGCGGCAGGTTGTAGGCAACGACGACTGGGACATAGTTGGCAGGATATATCAAGTTATAGTGTTGAACGAGACTCACGTTGGTTCCAGGTCGTGTCGAACCCGACGGTGAGATTTCCGTGGACAGCTGTCATGATGGTAAGTAAGTGAGAAAAGTCCTGAGCACTATAGTGCACTGGCCGTTAGATGGATCAGCTGCAGGAAGAAACTCGTCAGTGGTTATCAACTTTGAAGTTAAAGCAAATAAAGACGCACTCCAGACCGGCCATAAAACCTGGCGCCCGACTGCATTCCAGAGGCTGTAAACCATCGTCTGCGCGCACCATTCACGGAGAACGTTGGAAGGGCCTTTGCCGCAAGTAGTTTGCGACAGCGCAGCCTTGGGATATGGGCCTTCTGTAGTTATCGTCAATTTGTGTCCTTCTTCAAAGTTATCAGGGAAAAATTTACGGGGGGCACCGTCGGTTGCACAAAGCGCCAGCCACCGCGAGTCTTGGTGCTGCAGCCCGAGGCTGGTTGCCTTGCAGTTCGTCGTAAAGAGCATTGGTGCCAGGAAGGGCACGGCGGGGTTGAGTGGGTTGGTGATCCTGTTTATCGGTTAGAGCCGCGCAACCCGGTGGAAAGCAACTTGCTTGATCTCAGCGGGGCCGCCGTCGTTGCAGGCTTGGGTGTAGGCTTCCACGGTAAGATAGTTGCTGACGTTGGCGTTGGTTTCGAGCGCTACCGAAGTTTCAGCGGGATATATGATGACAGGTCAGAGGACGAACTGAGAATGTTCTGGGACGCTGGGCTTATGGCTTTTGCCTGGATGCGAGAGTTAGGTTCGGAGGATAAATATGACAAAGAACGTACAACAGCTCCTACGAAAGCACCAGTAGTCGCGTCGTAGGCGCCCAGGTATCCGCTGTTTCTGCATCGTGCGTTAGAGTGAGGAGCTTGCCAGTGAAAAGACTGTACAAGAGGCACTGCGCAAGCGCGCTGGTGGACAGCAGGAATGTGAACGCGAAAGTCTTCAAGTTAGCTGAGAACATATGTGTTGTTATCTTCGAATTCAAGTCTTTGTTGGTTGCTGGTGTCGTCGCTCTTAATGTCCAGGAGTCGTTTATAAGCCTTTTTGAGACGGCCATGAGCCGCCGTGTAAGGCTCATAAGCGTGCTGCAGCGCTGCGCCTCCGGGGATGGCGCCGACCCGGACAAGGAACGTTACCTTGGGTAGCCACAGTTTTCGACTAGCAATACAACGAGCACATGGGGCAAGGGTATCAGCATGCGAGAGTCAGGAACCGTTGGCTGAGTCCACGGGATTGGGGCGTAGGTTAATTGGGCAGATGTGGCTTGGCCGCAATGGCCCAGAAATTTGAAGAACTTGATACTGGGGATGAGTGGGAGGGTCCCGGAGGGAGAGCTTCGCACATTCCGGCCGCACCTCGAGTGCCTTCAGTGGAGGCGCCGAACTTGCTTGAGGAAGGTCAAGGATTGGTTTGGGACAAGCTCCAAGTTGGCACGTGCATGTCATCAACGACTTTCCTTCCTTCTTCTCCCCATCACCCAGTCGGACCAGTTCTTCAGTATTGGTACAGCCCTCCACGGCAACAATGCAGCTAACGGCACCACGCAACTGTCGCGTCATGCGAAACTCCGAGGCCCCATTGCGACTGCTGAAGGAATAATTTGAATGCGAAATCGGCTGTGATTCCTCAAGCGCTCCCTTCCCTTATACCTCGGGCCTGACATACTCGTAGCGCGCTGCCCAGCATAGTCCGCAATGGCGCTCATATGGACGGGTTGGGTTGGAAGAAGGTCAATAAGCCCGGTTTTGGGTGGGCTTGCTCTTGCGAATGCTAATGCAACTCGGACTGACCTCTTTCTTAAAGCCTTCGACGCCCCAATTACATTGCAAAAAACACCCGCGCTTCGATTAGCTGTCGACGCAGACCAACAGAAGAGGCTCAGTCGGTAGAGAACGCCTGGGCTCAGCAAGGTCCGTCTACTTTACACCATCCCAAGACATCTTGATTAACACGAACTTATAGTTAACCGAAAAATCATCCCCCGACCATACGTTGTCAACCTCACTGTGGGCTACATTCATGGCATGCAAAGATAACCCCGCTCAACTCCAATAGACCGTCTACCTGCTGATACGAGCTTTGGATCCAACTCACCGGGACTACCTGAGACTGCTTATTGCTTCGCCCCTGGCCATGCTAATAGATAGTGACCAGGATTTACACTCTGGATGTCTCAAAACCCGCAATCATATCATGAATGGGCTTGTTTGGTACGTCCGTGGTACCACTGTCCTTATTAACTGACCTCCAAAGATACGTCATACAGTTTCCTCGGGCAACGAGGCAACAGCGGTTGAGGAAGGATATCAAAACTACGAGCAGCGTCGCCCTAACCTTCCTTTCGGCGCCCTCACAGAACCTTCTCGCATTAGGACAGCGCTCTGCGATAGCTTCGAGCTATTGGATAATAAAACCAGCCTAGAACCCAGAGTTCTTAGCGCCTCCGATTCAGGAAGCGTATGACAATCGGATATCATCCACAGTTTCTCGAGTTCGATCGGGGAAGCTGGTCGAGGAAACCGCCGGAGTCTTGGGCATCCTTAGCGTCGAGAAAGCGGCGGATACGTCTTATTATGATGAGCTGAAGAGATAATAAGTAAAGTCGTCCGAGTTGTAGTTTGGGACCTGATCTCGATGTGAGTGGACATAAAAGGAGGCTAAGGTCATTCAATTTCTTTGACACATGACATGACAGTTTCCGATCCGGTCAAGACATGACGTGGAGTTGCTGACCTCTCTGCGCCATCGCTGACTGTTGCGCCGCATCACACCAACCCTCTCTCGTCAGCGCAATCAGCTTCCGTCTGCGCGTCTGCCACGGCCGGATGGCTTCGGTTGAAACAGGGTGTATAAAGCCCAATACGTCTCTTGACCACCCGCCAATAACTCACAATGTCGAAAGTCATCCTCGTCACTGGCTCCAACGCTGGCATCGGCTTCTCCCTGGTGCAACAACTCGCCGCCAAGGGCCACACCGTCTATGTTGCGTCCCGAAAAGAGGATGCTGGTAACGAGGCTGTGTAAGTGCGGTTTGCCGATTTTGCAATCGAGAGCTGATTCGGCTTAGAGCGAAGATAAAAGCGGCGAATGCGAGCGCGGCCGTGAAGCTCGTCCAGCTAGACGTCACCGATTCGAAATCGATTGCCGCCGCTGTGCAGAAAATCACCTCCGATGAGGGGAAACTAAATGTTCTCGTGAACAACGCTGGTGTGTCTTGTCTTGCCCATGGCCCCCCTCGCCGTTGACCTCTTCTATAGGCGTGGCCGACTTTACCGTCCAACACAACGCCTCGACGCCCAACCTCGACGCTGTCCGAACTGGGATCGAGACCAACCTCATTGGTCTGATGGCGGTCACCTCTGCATTCCTCCCCCTCTTGCGCAAAGCCCACACCGCCGATGTCCCCAGTGTCATTCTCAATGTCTCCACCGGCATGGCCTCCAACACCGTCATGTCGTCATTCACCCTCCCCGCGTTTGTCTACCCCGTGATCGCCTACAACACGAGCAAGGCTGCAGCCAACTCGTACACGGTCGCATTGGCGTTCGAGCTGCGCGACGAGGGCATCAAGGTCAACACCGTCTCGCCAGGGTTCACCGCGACGAAGCTGAACGGCTTCGCTGCTGGCGGGAAAACAATCGAGGAGGGTGCTGCAGTTTTGCTTCCGTGGTGTTTGCTGGGTAAGGATGGCGCGACAGGTGAAGCTTTTGTCGTCCCTTGTCGTTGCTCGCGCTTATACTCCGTCCAGGCAAGTTCGCGGATGAGAAGGGCGAGCTCCCCTGGTAGATGCTGTTCGAGTAGATGCAAGAATACCAAACATGTACTTAGAATCAGTCAAATTAGCATGAACACACCTGCAGACCAATCGCGAGAGTTTCTACTTGTCATTGGGCCTACGTTGGGCGCACACCCCTGTCCTTTTAATCCAGATCAAGAAGGGGAAGACATCGCATGTCCAAGTTAATGAGCAGAAATAAAAAACTGAACGCTGCCGTCTAAGAGTATACGGCCCGTCTATGCTTCATATCGCTGGCAACATCTCATGCAAATCTTATTTGCAGCAAGTAGAAATTGTCTCGAAAAGCGAACGAACTCCTGACGCTCAAGCTGCTAACGGCTTGCGAGACTTCGAATCTCAAAAGCACTTCTGAAAGTGATGACGAAATCAATATGTGTCACGCACGAAATTCGTTGTCAGCGTTTGTCAGCAGGGCCAGCTTGCTCCTTTGACCTTCCCGCCAATAGCGTCGTTGTCGTGAGTGCCTCAGCCATAGTGAACCCCTGCCGCTGCTCGCTGACTTGCTCTTATGACAGAGCTGTCCATATAAATAGTCCCTCTTCGACGATGTCCAACCCATCGCACTTTCCCCTGCCTCCAATCGAAAATGGTCCTCAAACTCTACTGCGCTGATCGCGTCGCCGGTGTCGGCTCCGTTGTCGCTGTCTTCCTTGCCAGCCGCAAGATTCCCTTCGAGCACATCGTCACCGTTCCCCCGGCCGGCCAGCCCAAATCGCCCGAGCTCCTCGCCAAACAGCCCTTTGGCCAGGTCCCATACATCGTGCGTCTTACAATTCACTCTCCCGATCTGTTCTGATAGTCTTTCTTCAGGACGACGACGGCTTCATTCTCTATGAATCCCGCGCGATCTGCCGCTACCTCAACAAGAAGTACCCCGGCAGCGAGCTCACCCCCACGCCCGGCGACATCAAGGCGGAGGCGCTGTTCGACCAGGCGTGGTCTGTGGAGACATCCCACTTCCACGCCGCGATGCTCAAGCTCGTCACTTTCGTCGTCTTCTACCCGTGAGTGGTGTTTTTTCACTGCCAATCTTTTCTCTGACCCTTTTCTCGCAGCTTCTACGGCCGCACCGTGGAGCCCGAGGCCCTCGCTGAGGCGCAGAAGGAGCTCGAGGCCAAGCTCGACGTCTACGAGACCATCCTCAGCAAGCAGAAGTACATTGCCGGAGACGTGTGTTCTCTTCTGGTCCATTGTGATGGTTATTCTGACTATCTTGCAGAAACTCTCGCTGGTCGATCTGTTCCACCTCTCCCACGGCCCGCTCCTCACCCGCTACGCGGACATCCGCGTCATGTACGACGAGAAGCGCCCGAACGTGCTCAGATGGTGGAAGGAGATCACCGCCTACCCCGAGTGGGTCCGCCTCGAGAAGCAGGAGGCTATCAAATCCATCTTGTCGTACTAAACGCTATCGCCTGTCGTCTCATAACAGTAAAGCAATAAAATTGTAAGCATACCAGAACTTGTGGAGCTCTGGAGCGACGGCCTACTAGTAAGGTGGTAATCTTGAAGCAATTAGGGAGAACGGACGAATTCCTTACAACAGGGGCAAGTGGCATCCACAACATTGGTTTCTACGTGGTCAGATAACCTTTAAGGGTGGGAAGCGATGGCGAAATGGGAGCTCGTCTGGGAGTATGGTCACTATGAAAGGCGTGCATCGTAAGTGTAGCCAGTTCATCTCGACGATAGAAGGCTATACCTTCTCCTGGCGCGACTCATTTTCCCTCGTGGGTCTAATTAATTCATTTTCCCTCAGGAAAAAACGCTGACCTTTTCAGATGCAGACTGACATCGAAGGTGACGGACTTTGCCCATCGTGTGTCCGGTATTACCGCAAGCCACATCACCGAGCCTCCTGAGCCATCTATAAAAGAGATGCAGGCAAGGTGCATGACCAGTCAGAGTGCACCTGGAAATGTCTGAGTTGCCAACCTTGCCTGCCGACCTCCAGCCATACCGCCCACGCCGCATCGACCACGAGGCCAAGTTCGCCGCCTTCATGGAGTTCCTTGAGAGAAGCAATTTGGCTGGGACGACAGGGGACGACGCAGCGCGACACCTCCGAGTATGCCATTCAGGTAGGCAGCTGGTAGCTTTCTAGATACGACACTGAGAAACAAACAGCTCGTCAGCCAAGTCAACTTTGGGCCTCTGCTCTCAAAGCGCTTCTTCGCCAGCGCGGCCCTCGGCGAAACACACGGCTGCGACAATACTGCTGCTGCAGGGGCATTCGTGGAGATAAACGAGGCGCTGATGGTGGAGTGGAATATGAAGAAGGCAAACTCATTCAAGAATTTCAAGAGCGTGTCGGAAAATCGATTCTACGAGATGAATCTGTACATGCGCGACCCAGACACGAAGCACCACTGGAGGGCAGACATCGCAAGACCGGCAGGGCAGATCGATTTGGGGGCCTGAAGAGCATATGAGGCACTAGTCGTTACGAAAGAAGTCCTCTTTATTCCAATTCGCAAAGGCTACATCCAACTTGAAGAATTCGAAGCCATTTTCGTGTTTGAGCCGTGGGTGTGTAGATGAAGGACCAAATTTGTCATCATTTGTGGTGACTAAGCTCTAAATGCTGACGCGAGGAGTAACTTGCATTGGAATTGAACTACACTGTCGACCGTCTAGCTTGCTTGTAAATGTCGGTAAATATCCTAAGCTATCGTTAAATACTCTAGATGAATATGACGCGCCATGTGTTCATACGTAGTTCAGGAGAACTCCTCCCAATTCACGCTCCTTTTCCGCACTAAATTACTCGGCTGAATATCCACCAGATGGCGCATTGTCGGTCGCCCATGCGGGCAGTTCCACGGCTGGTCCATCGTCCCCATATGTCGCACAACCTACAAATAATCAGCATAAAGGCTTCAAGTTAGAGAATAACACTAACCGAGGTCATTTGCGACACGGTCAGCGGCATCCCAATCATCACACTTTTCCGACAGGCCCGCATGGCAAACATTGCTTGGGCTTTGGCGCAGCGAGGAGTCGTGCCGGCGGGGGCGTCCCGCATACATAATTTTGTTTCACACGCTGTTGCCATCCCCGCACTTCGCCCTCCAGACGCTAAGTCGCGCTCGCTCGCCAAGTCGCGCGAGCGAGGAGCCCTTCTAATATACCCCGTTGGCTCGCGCACGGACCTATAAACAACGTCATGTGAGTGAACTTGTGCGTCGAGTACCGGGAAGAAATTTTGGGTTTGGGGCAGTCAACAGCGTGTTTTTCACGGGCTTTCCGGGCTAGCAGTCTCGGGTAGGGTTCAAAGTCATATATTTAGTATTTCTACGAGACACGCTAATTAACGACGCGTCGCGACGCGTCAAAACGCGTCATAGGCTCCAATCCAAGTCCACCCGCCACAGACACAATAAGTATGCCTGCGTGCGCGCGCGCTGTCTAGGTCATCCGCCCCATCGACTCCTCCGTGTGGCCAACACACAGCCGATCCCTTCCCGAGTCCAGCCCCGCGTTGGCCTCCGGCGGCCCGGACCTTCAAAAAAATGAGCCTTGAATTCCGCCAGAGGCGTCCCAAAATCGCGCCTAAGAAATACCATCAAATCCCGCGCAAGGCACTGCAGCGCGACTCAGAGAACTTGCTGCCCACTGGCAGAGGCATGACGATCTCGCTGGCCTTCTATATCGGCCTCGGGCAGTGCCGGTGGCGGTTCGTACTTCGAGTTTGGCGGCGGGCGGGTAATGAGGAACTTCAGAATGTCGAGGGTGGCGTAGACGGCGTGCGACACGGATGATGAGGGCGCGAATAACAGGGGAGCGCCGTTTGACGGTCTGGGAAATAGCCGTGGGTAAGCAGCAAGGGGATATGGCCCCAACGAGGAAACGATGGCGGGGAGACGGGGCGCAACGCGGCTGGGGAGGCTAAAACCAATGGACACTGGTGTCAACTCCAGCGGCGCAAACAGGGGTGTGGGGCAGGCATGGACGGGCTGGTGACTGTTGAGGGCGTTAACGATGGGGAAGCTGGTTTGCAACTTTCGGGCCACGGGCAACCGCTATCATGCTTGGCAGCTTCACGGCCCTACATCGACTCGCCTCAGGCAGGCAGGCAGACCAGGATGAAGCGATGCCGAGTTGATCGAAGCATCGGTGGGGACGTGATGCGCCAGGACGCCAGAGTAAATGGAACGCCGGTGGCGAACTGGCCACTGGTGGCACCATGTCCCGAGCTCGGACGGCAGTGGTGCGGCGTTGATGCGACAATGGTGGTGAGATAAACTCTGGCATTGACGGCAATCTGGGCTCCGCAAGGAACAACGGCAGGCCACCGAAGGAAGTCAATGCACCCATGGTGGTGCCGACGAGCGGGTAATGCTCCGAGTGGGCCTGACCACCTTTCTGGGCTTCCGGCATCACAGTCCACAGCCAGCTGGTTGACGGGCCATTGCAATGGCGGTGATTGCTGAGTGATGCGTGTGATGAGGGCCGCCCGCGCGCCGCCAGACAGCGTTGGAGCCCAGATTGCCTCGCGTCGGTCACCACTAATTGATGCGCCGTGATGATATGCCTACGATGGCTTGGCCGCGACAATGGCCGGCGATCCGAGCAAGTTGATGTGCCGCTGGTGGGAGGGCGTGATTGTGATGCGAGGGATGGGGGAAGGGGTGGGCCTGATTGTCTGGCTCAGCCTCGCCAGATAATCCGCTGATTGACGCGATGATGTGCCGGTGATGGCGGTGATGGCTGATGGCGTGATGCGCCGGCCGACGGGAGCGGGGAGGACAGTGGCAGTATTAAAGCAGCCAGGAACAAAGCCCTGGCCCCGAGGGCGTTGAAGTCCAGAACAGTGCTGGGCCTCCGGCCGTCAAAATCTTGGAGAAAAAGTGAGCTTTGGAATGCAAAAAATGGCCGCCAGAATGCTTACGTAATCACCAATTGATCCGTCATTTCAGCATCAAAACTGCCGCTTTTCTACCAAGACATCAATGTAAAGGCATACCAACATGCGCCTGGGCAATTGCACGGCCGCACCAGCACCGCCTGAAGCCCCGACAACGCTGGTGATTCGATCATGCGCCTGTGATGCGGCATCATGATGCGCCATCACGGTGACAGACCGGGGGGTGGCGGCGGGCCAAGCGCAGCCAGGAGCAGGGCCCTGGCTCCGACAGCGCTGAAGCCCAGAACAACGCTGGGCCTCCGGCCATCAAAATCCTGGAGAAAAAAATGAGTTTTTGAAGGCCAAAAAGTGTGCGCCAAATCGCTTACGTAAGCGCCAATTGATCCGGGATTTCCGCTGATTTCCATCAAGTTTTTCGCTTTCTGTGAAAACAAGTCAGTCTTGAAACTGAACAGATGGAGAAAGACATACCAGCATGTATATTTGCCCAGACTATCGTCATGACGGTGCAAATCTGGGCAGCACATCAATATCATCTCAGCGAACACAACATACCGACAAAGATTCTGCATACGAGCAGAGGTTCCCCATACCGGCATGGGTTCCTGCTCGACGCACAGACAAAGAACCTGTTCAAACGGGTCAGGGATGTCAAACGCAAGTGAACAAACAAACATACGAGCATAAGTTCCGCAGCGGCTGCGCTACGACGGCGAAGTGGAGAGTCCATGGCTTGAGACGCAAGAGCCGAACTTGAAGCGGTGGTCGATGGTGGATAGTGAAACGGCAAATGGCCCGGGGCTTCTGCGCTCGAGACAAGGACACAAAATCTGCAAGCGGTAAGTGAAGGTCAAGGAGAGGTAACTGCAGCCATACCTCCGAGTCGAGCGCAATGCAAACACGCAGGCATGGTGTGGAAGTCTCTGCTGAGGGAGGTGTGCGGGCACGGCGGGACGGAGCGGCTGGCTGCCAGTTTCAAAGTTCTCTGGAAGGCGAGTTAAGCAATTGACTAAAGACAATGTAAAAAGGGAGCAAACGGCCAGACTCACCGCGGTGGCCCTGGGCAGCTCGGTGATACTAGATGTCGAAATGTGGGGCGGCGACAGTAGAGGGTACGGCGCAACCGATACGGATGGTTCTGGGAACGGTGTGAGTAGAGAGCGGAAAGTCCACAAGGCTTGTGGACGCACGGACATGGCGAGCGCGTCGAGCACTACGATGGTGCCAACTTGAAGGGATGGTCGTGGAGTCAAGTCAACCAGGAGTTGATGTGACGGTCAAATCGTCACGTCAACAAACGAAGCAGCGGTCGAAGGGCGGAGCGCATGTGTGGAGGGAGTTAGAGTGGTAAGCTTGCGTCACTGTCCCGGCTTGCCCGACATGATCGCACGTGTCGAGAAGCTTGCGGGCATGGTGCGGACTCGTGGGGTGATAAGGCGGAAAGCAACACAGTCTGAGGAAGTTATGTTCTGAAATAGTGCTGCCTGCAGTGAGTGGGGGCTGTAGCACAAGGTGGGTGCCAGTCTGAGTGCTGCTGGGCGCTTTTTTCACAGACAGCGCCATCACACCGGAAGTGCCCCCGACTCGGAGCCTCAGCATAATTAGACTCGGAAGGTAGTTGACTTGCGCCTCGGGGAGCAATCGGGCGGCGGAAGAATGGAAGTGTGGGCGTAGTGCGGTTAAAGAAGGGAAGTCATGCACGTTGCGAGATTAGTGACGTGCTTGTGGCAAGGCGGGCGATAGGTGGTGATATGGACCCCTTAGCGAATGACCCAGCAAGTCGACCTGGCCTGACTGGCGCCCATCCTTTCCGGTTAAATTCTTCAGCTGTTCTAATTCTCCTTTTGTGCAACGCACCCGGCCACTTTTTTTTCCGGTAAAATTTGAACTCGATGTGTCGCATACTAGTACGAAGGTCACTCGCCTCGCTTGCATTCCCTGTGCGGAGACCATCACGCGGCTTCGAAAGCGCAGGATCATACGATTTCGCCATATCAATTCAAGTTTCTGCAATCATATTACCAAACCGCCGCACTTTGTCCACTTGACAGGTGGATCCCTGTCGCCACCTTCGATGGACACACTTCTCCCGATGACGTGTGGACATCTCCGAGAAGCCGCTCTTTGGCCCCACCGCTATAAGTTTGTGAGCTTCCACCATGTTCGCAAAACCACTCTCTACCTTTCCCCCCCATCTGCCTTCCCCACTCCCTCCCTCCCTCACACTTTCCCCCAGCATCGTCGTCGCCCTGCTCGTTGAACGCTCCCCTCGCTCGCCTCCAGCTTGCATCCGGCCCACTGGCCGAGCATCACGTGTGGTTGACTTTACACTCGTTGTCGTCATCGTAGTCGTTGTGCTGACCTTCCTAATCCAGGTCGTCGTTTCCTCCGTCTCTCTCCTTGCCTCCACTCACTGGTGAATCCCTGTTCGTCGTCGCCTCCCCGCACTGACTTTGGTTCTGCTGTAGTGCTCATCGACATCGTTGACATGGTCCGCGAGCTGTGGGTGGTAAGTATATGCATCACATATCTTCAAGCCATGACTTACCGAGCGCAGACATGAAGCCTACCATCCTCCCTCTCTTGCTCTAATGTCCCCAGTTCTTCCATCGCTGATTCGAGCTCATGTGTCGACGCACCCTCATTCGAAGTTGTTGCTGACCGACCTTCGCAGGTCACTCTGGTCCACTATGGCCACCCGTTAATGTTGACGCGCATGGGGCCGCTCGTGACTGTTATTTTGAAGACTGCGGGAGTCAGTCCCAATCTCGCTTGCCCTCAGTCTCGTTACTTACCACCTCCCAGAACGCTTTATTCCGCCCAAGACCACTGTCCATCCCCAGTTTGCACAGTATCCATCGTGTTTTCGTTCTTGCTGACCGAGTTTTGCAGGTTTGTCGCTAGAATTTGGCCAGGCGCGATGCCTTCGCGATAGACCTCGAAGCCAGCGCGATTGATTCGGCGATGGCGCGATTGAGGCCGCGTTAGACGGCGCAATCGCGGCCTGCTATTCGCAAGACTGCTGTGGTCAGTTCCAGTCTTGCTTCCCTCAGTCTCGTTACTTACCACCACCACCCAGAATGATTTGTTTCGACCCAGACTGCCGTTTATCTTCAGTTTGTTGGAGATACATCTTGCTTTTGTTGTTGTTGACCCAGCTTTGCAGGTTTGGGGCTGAAATCCGGCCAGGCCATGCGCTTCTAATAGACGTTGAAGCCAGCGCGCTTCATCTCGCGAATGGCGCGATTGAGGCCGCGCTAGACGGCGCATTCGCTGCGGGCCATTCGAAAGACTGCTGGGGTTAGTTCCAGCATCGCTTGCTCTCAATATTATCACTTACCACATAACAGAAGGCCTGTTTCGCCCAACACTGTCATTTATCCTCAGTTTGCTGGAGATACATCTTGTTTTTGTTGTCGTTGACCCAGTTTTGCAGGTTTTGGGCTGAAACTCGGCCAGGACTTGCCTTCGTGAAAGACGTCGAAGACTGCGCGCTTGAGACCGCAATATGGCGCGCTTGAGACCGTGCTAGACGGCGTAAACACGGCCGGTTATTTGCAGGCCTGCTGGGGTCAATCCCGGTCGCTCGTTCTCAATACTGTTGCTTACCACCACCCAGAACACCTTGCTTCGCCCGATACTGTTGGCCATTCCCAGTTTGCCCTCAAGTCGATATTGCTGACAGATTTTTCACAGAGATTTCGCTAGGAATCGGCTAGGCGAGCCGTCCGTGATGAACGCCGAGCACAGAACGTTTGGGGCCGCGCAGAGTGGCGCAATCGCGGCTGGTACAGGCAAGACTGTACTGTGGTCGGTTAGTCTTGCGCTGAACGCTGGTCGTTTAGCGCCGGCCTTGACAGCAGCGCTACCCGGTCTGAGACATCCCGAGTTCGAGTTTCCGCCTTATTCGTTCTGTTTTGGCCGGTGCTGACCGAGCCTTTGCAGGTATCCGGCACTGGCAGGTATTCGGCCAGGCAACCCGGTTTGGGTGGCGCTTGGATGTGCCGGCTTGCCGGACTTCCGAGGTCGAGCTGAAGCGACTGTTAGGGCTCACCAGACATAAGTATTAATTACCGTTGCGCTATCCCTTGTCCTTACTAATCTTCATTCGCAGTGAAAGAGTCAGCAAGCACAATAGTTGTCAACGAGTTGTACCTTGGTGGTCCTCTACCCCTTTGCATTCTCATGCTGACTATCTTTTGCAGCTCGCCGCAGACGTTCCGTTTGCGATTTGCGCCCAGGCAGGTGCGTGTGCCGCTCGTTCTTGCCATTGCAATTTGCCGCTGACCGGCGCGGTCTTTAGCGTCAGTTTCTGAAGGCGGGGCCGAGTTTGCTAGCAGTTCGGCATGGTGCGGGGTGGCTTTAGCGAGTTCTGGACAGCATAGTGAGAGTTCCGGCCCGGGGTACATAGATTTTGAGATTTCGCTGCCAAGCAAGCGGTCCAGCTTGCCGGTTGAGGCAGCGCAAGCAGCCTTGCATTGAGGCGGGACACGGCCTATGTTGCCAGGTCGGCTCGCGGGCGGGCGGGCTGGCTGGTCGGGGAGCGAGCGGGAGGAGGAAGAGAGAACCGGAGTTGTTGGTCAGCGACACGTGCTCGGGTAACGGACCGGCCGTTGTCCCACGCTGCCGCCTGCCTGGCTCTCACCGCGTCGACCCAATGTGCTGCCCCTGTGCTGCACCATGCCAGTAATGTCTCTCGTTGAGCGTTACTGCCGCTTACTCACCTTGTTTCCAGCATCTTCTGGTGTCACCGCCGTTGTCGTGCGATGGGTGGGGTGTGCTGCCTCTGACGTGGCGCTAAAGGCAAGATGGATGAAGACGGCTTGGCTTGATGGTACATCGCAAGGAGTAGCTGCCGTGACCTTTGGTCAAGTCCCATACATCGTGCGTCTTACAATTAACTTCCCCGATCTGTTCTGATAGTCTTTCTTCAGGACGACGACGGCTTCATTCTCTATGAATCCCGCGCGATCTGCCGCTACCTCAACAAGAAGTACCCCGGCAGCGAGCTCACCCCCACGCCCGGCGACATCAAGGCGGAGGCGCTGTTCGACCAGGCATGGTCTGTGGAGACATCCCACTTCCACGCCGCGATGCTCAAGCTCGTCACTTTCGTCGTCTTCTACCCGTGAGTGGTGTTTTGTCGCTGCCCATCTTTTCTCTGACCCTTTTCTCGCAGCTTCTACGGCCGCACCGTGGAGCCCGAGGCCCTCGCTGAGGCGCAGAAGGAGCTCGAGGCCAAGCTCGACGTCTACGAGACCATCCTCAGCAAGCAGAAGTACATTGCCGGAGACGTATGTTCTCTCCTCGCCTGTTGTGTTGTAATGGTTATTCTGACTATTCTTCAGAAACTCTCGCTGGTCGATCTGTTCCACCTCTCCCACGGCCCGCTCCTCACCCGCTACGCGGACATCCGCGTCATGTACGACGAGAAGCGCCCGAACGTGCTCAGATGGTGGAAGGAGATCACCGCCTACCCCGAGTGGGTCCGCCTCGAGAAGCAGGAGGCTATCAAATCCATCTTGTCGTACTAAACGCTATCGCCTGTCGTCTCATAACAGTAAAGCAATAAAATTGTAAGCATACCAGAACTTGTGGAGCTCTGGAGCGACGGCCTACTAGTAATCAGAACTAAGGGTGAGCAATTAGGGAGAACGGACGGATTCCACTTGAGATAGTGAGTACAACGGGGGCAAGTGGCATCCACAACATTGGTTTCTACGTGGTCAGATAACCTTTAAGGGTGGGAAGCGAGGGCGAAATGGGAGTTCGGCTGGGAGTATGGTCACTATGAAAGGCGTGCATCGTAAGTGTAGCCAGTTCATCTCGACGATAGAAGGCTATACCTTCTCCTGGCGCGACTCATTTTCCCTCGTGGGTCTAATTAATTCATTTTCCCTTAGGAAAAAACGTTGACCTTTTCAGATGCAGACTGACATCGAAGGTGACGGACTTTGCCCATCGTGTGTCCGGTATTACCGCAAGCCACATCACCGAGCCTCCTGAGCCATCTATAAAAGAGATGCAGGCAAGGTGCATGACCAGTCAGAGTGAAGCTCGAAATGTCTGAGTTGCCAACCTTGCCCGCCGACCTCCAGCCATACCGCCCACGCCGCATCGACCACGAGGCCAAGTTCGCCGCCTTCATGGAGTTCCTTGAGAGAAGCAACTTGGCTGGGACGACGCAGCGCGACACCTCCGAGTATGCCATTCAGGTAGGCAGCCTGGTCGTAGCTAGCTTTCTGAATACGACACTGAGACACAAACAGCTCGTCAGCCAAGTCAACTTTGGGCCTCTGCTCTCAAAGCGCTTCTTCGCCAGCGCGGCCCTCGGCGAAACACACGGCTGCGACAATACTGCCGCTGCAGGGGCATTCGTGGAGATAAACGAGGCGCTGATGGTGGAGTGGAATATGAAGAAGGCGAACTCGTTCAAGAATTTCAAGAGCATGTCGGAAAATCGATTCTACGAGATGAATCTGTACATGCGCGACCCAGACACGAAGCACCACTGGAGGGCAGACATCGCAAGACCGGCAGGACAGATCGATTTGGGTGCCTGACTCTGGCTCGAAGAGCCTACGAGGCAGTAGTCATTACGAAAGAAGTATTTTAATTTGCAAAGGCTGCATCCTACTTGAAGAAGCCATTTTCGTGTTTGAGCAAAGTCTTGTGTTGAGAGGAGCAAAGTTGGTTGTTATCATTTGTGGTGACATAATCATGACTAAGCTCGAAATGCTGAAGCGTGGAATAACTTGCATTGGACTAGCTTGCTTGTATGGTAAATATCCTAAGCCCTCGTTAAATACTCTAGATGAATATGACGCGCCATTTGTTCATACGCAGCTCAAGAAAAATCCTCCCAATTCACGCCCCTTTTCCGCACTAAATTACTCGGCTGAATATCCACCAGATGGCGCATTGTCGGTCGCCCATGAGGGCAGTTCCACGGCTGGTCCATCGTCCCCATATGTCGCACAACCTGCACATCTTCAGCATAAAGGCTTCAAGTTAGAGAATAACACTAACCGAGGTCATTTGCGACACGGTCAGCGGCATCCCAATCATCACACTTTTCCGACAGGCCCGCATGGCAAACATTGCTCGGGCTTTCGCGCAGCGAGGAGTCGTGCCGGCGGGGGCGTCCCGCATACGGTGAATCAGCTCCTCGAGGTCTACAAAGTAATCAGCATGGAGCACGCTATCGAAAGAACTGACCAGCCTTTCATATCGAAAACCGTGTCCTTGCTCACGGGCTGTGCGACCAACGCCAGCTTAGGAGTCGTTGCTGGCGTCTCCACCGCTTCTTCTTCATCCCCAAGTTCGACAGCCTCCGTCTGAACCTCGACCTCAAACCCATTCTGCCGCAACACCTCGATTTTCTCCAACGCAAGCATCTCGTCACTTGCCGTCAATTCCAGCGGTCGTGGTCTGCATAATGTCAGTGAGGAACAATCGCAACACATGAAAATAAAACACGCACCTAAATAGCTTCTGCGACTTGATCCGCGTCGTTTGCTGCAAAGTCTCGAAATTGTACTTTTCGTCAGCAGCATGTTGATCAACGATAAACAGGTCGTCCATCGCCGGAGACTCCGCACTTGCAGCAACTTGCCGTCGAACGACCACGAAGCCAAGATTGAACTGCCCGAGAATGTCCATCGAAGCAAAGTCAGACTTGTTGATCGTCCGCGAAAGTGCTTGAGCAGCGAAATCGATGTCAGCGGCTCCACTGCCGAGTCCAGCTGCTTTCAGGATTTCGTGTGGATTGGTAATGTTGGGCATAACGTCCTGTTCCCCATTATTCTGCAACTCCATCTTTAACCTCTCCCAGCGAGCTATGACGTTATCGAGCTCGACTCGCAAGACCATCTCTCCCGTCCCATCTTCGTCAAGAGTGCGGACAACTTCTGGGCGGAGGACTGGTGCGCTAGCACGGGTAGGAGTGGATGGGTTGAATGGAGTCGTTTCTTCATCATCGTCCGAGTCATTATCCATGCTCAAATCAATGAGCTGAGAAGATTGGGTTTCATCGTCGACCTCTATATGTTGCTGTCCATCTCCATTTTCCTCCTCCTCCTCACTAGATTGAAGTTCATCCTCCCCTTCCTCTGAAACCGCTCGTTTCTTTTGACTCGCTGCAGGACCAGCAAAGGTAGCGAGCATCGTCCTCAGCTGCTGCCGCGGTCCTTTTTGCGTTGCAGAAGGCGTTCTTGGCTGTTGACTCGACGACATAGTTGTCTGTTTCGTAAGGGCGGGATGTGGGGAAGAGGCTGTCTCCTCAGTATCCGCCTCAGGGTCAAGCTCCATCTCTTCTTGTTCTTCGGGGTCCAGATCATCGTAAGATTCCGAAAATTCCGACTTTTGTCGCTTCAAAGGTCTCTCGGAGTCACCTTCATCCTTTTCTTCCGACCCCAACGGGGAGCTTTCTTTCCGCTTCGTCCTACTCTCTAGACCCAATGCCCGGCCCCAAGTTGTTTGGGAGGTGTCCATCTCCAACGTCACGATTGACTCATCATTGCCCTCGGGTTCAGAATCCGGTGAGCTCACTCGTGAGGAGCCTGTTGCAGAAGGAGTTTGTAGCGCTCGTTGGTTGTCTGTCGCTGGAGTCGGAACCACAACTCGCGATGTCGAACTCGAAGCATTCGTTTTGACGGTGGCGGATGCAAATGGCAGTTTCGTTTGCAGGGATTTGCCAGTTGCCTTCGAAGATGTCGAGGCCTTTGTTGTCGTTTTAGTATTACGCGCCGAAGTAGCTGCAGTCGAGATGGGCTTGAGGAAGGGACTATCGTTGGTCGTGGCCTGGCTGTCTTTTCCCCGCGGAGCCTTAGCGCCACCCTCTAGATGATGCAGTAAATCTGGATGCTCCTCTTCATCTTCTTCATCTTCATCCCCCTCCTCATCGCTATCTTCTTCATTATCCAACAAAATAGGCTCGTTGCGGCTGTGTCCCTCACTTTTCGGCCGAGTTCTGGTTCTATCTGGTGCCCGGGCTTCCGGAGTATTACTTTGGGTTGACGAAACGCCAAATGTAGATCGACCCGGGGCGAAAGCTGCCTCCAGAGCCGCCTTGGGTACATTTAGACTCAGTTTTATGACCTCGGAGAGTAACACACCTTGAGCCCTTCAACGAGCCCGATTTCATGGTGAACGTATATCGTTCGCTTGTCGGGGGACACATTGACATCGTAAGCGTCTATCGATTCATAGTGAGCAACTGCCGCATAGAACGAGCCCAATGTACCTGTTGGTAGCACCAAATCTGCAATGACCACGGGAGCTTGCGTGCCAGGGGCATTAAAGGTCCGATAAACCTCTGTTATGGTCTTTTGAACCTGTTTTCAATGTGTCAGTGATAAATCATAGCCATGGGGAAATAAGAACTTTGGGGAGTAAGCACGGTCGGCCGTTGACGTAGAAGACTTGTCGGTCGGGCCCTGGACGTCCAGAGCCAGGCGCAAAAGCGGAAACAAGTCCACGTAATGACGCCTGGATTGGGGTTTGGCATGCGGTTGAGGTCTTGGTGGAGAGACTGCGTAATTTTTAGAAACCAGTAAACTCGCAGAGTGGGGCACATACCGCTTGACTGCATGCTTGTCGCGCTCGATCGCGAATGTGATGTCGAGATCGACAATGTTGTCCAACGCTCGCGTCCCCCATACTGCTGTTACAACATCGCGAATGCTTTGGGTCCCACTCGTCCGGAATTGTGTAGATTTCTGGCTTGACCTCCATTAAGTAGATTCATCAGACGGAAATAGTACGCACCCTTTGTCTGGCTGGTTGCTTACCGCCATCTTGACGCCCTTTCGTGCACAGGGGCCCAGAGCATATGCATGCAGAAGCGCCACCGCCTTCCCAAACTCTCGTTTCGCGTGTCTCTCCAGCTCTTTCCGTCTAACGGGAAGCGGGGAGAACAGTTTGTGTAGTGTTACTGTTGTTCCACGCTGGAAGACGATTAGCGGTCCGGAAAATGGGGGCAAGTATAAACACACACTTGTCTGGCGGTTTTGCTCTTGCCCTTGACTTTCCCGGTGGAGTCAAGATCGATGGTGGTCCCCATAGGCGGCTTCGTGGTCGTGGACACGGTGACTGACTCGCACAACGCGCAAAGGGAGGAAAGGGCTTCTCCACGAAAACCGAATGTTTGTACTGTGTCGAGGTCCGCGAGAGTAGCCAGTTTCGAAGTATGGTGCTTCAGGCCTAGAAGTAGGCAGTCAGTCATGGCATGGTGGTCGGAAAAAAACGGCACCTATAGCATCCCAGTCGCCCTCCTCGATCCCACCCCCATTGTCCACCACCTCAATCGAATTTAGGCCATGATTCTTGAAGCGAATGTCTATAGGGAAGTCAGTGAGAATGTGGAAGTATGAGCTAGAGACATGCCAAGCGTTGTTGCCCCCGCATCGAGGCTGTTTTCGACCAACTCCTTGACGGCGGTTTGTAGGTCAATGACAACTTGGCCGGAGGTGATATGGTGGATGGAGCTCTTGTCAATGGCACGGATGCCGCTCGCTTTACCGGGACTCATGGCATTCGTGCCACTCGAGATGGATGGAACTTGTCGGTGGTAGACAAACGAGTTTCTGATGGGCACGTGCATTTTCCTAGTTTTGCGGATTCTCGACTCCAACTCTTCATCTGACGAAACTGGATTAATATGGAATAAAGTTATGAATGACTACATCTGCTCAAAAGCCAGACTCGAATGAGTCGAATCATCGATATTACTTGTGCTAAAAGTAGAATTGCTTTTGTCCGTCGGACGCGCCCAGTAGTGAAGTTAAGGGTATGCGTTCATCTCTCTCTCTCTCTGATGTCAGGGTTCAGTGCGTCCATTTGACGAAGTCGAAGAGGAGTGGTGGTTAGCTCGCCATTCGTTGCCGTCCTCATCCAAACCTAGAAAGCGGAAATCTGAGCTTGGCTTGAGTTGCGTGAAGAGTCATACCAAGAGTGTAACTGGCCCCGGTCCAGAATACTATCCTCGCTGCAGACAACGCACATAAATCGCTGCGAGAGGCTAAAGCTCTACATTCGTCGGCCGTATACAACTGCTCCGCGACGAGCCAGGCGAAACCCGTAGTCCGTAATAGAGTATAAAGCTCGAGCGATTCAGGCAACCAGCAGATTTGTTGGAAGTCCAATACGACGGGATTTCCGGCCGTGTCAACGCCAAAATTGCACGCGTACATATCGGACTGAGTGAGAACTAGCTTCTCATTCGATATTGAGAGTTCAGGAAGACGCTTGAGCTTGGGGCGTTGATATAACTCCAGGGCCTGATTAACAGGTTGAGCGCGCAATGACCGAATTAACCGAGCAGACCTTGTTGAGATATTTCTCCAGTGCCGCAGTGGTATTATATTTGCATGGTGCAATATGGTCCCTGAAAACCTGGTGACAGGGGCGGCCACCGCAGAGTTGGCCAGGCTGGTGAAGCGCTGGGAGAATCCTGTTTCGGAGAGCAGCTCGATCGCTCATACAATTGTTGCCCATATCGATAATCTTCGTGGGGTACAGAGGACTGGGGACTGGGAGGTTGTCGAAGAAACGCCTTGGCCGTGAATTCGCTACTTGCGCCTTTTGAGCAACAGGAGGGCAATGTGTACGACCATGGCATATTACTCTCGCTCGGTGAAGTAGTTTCGAGAAGGTGTATGGTAGGGACTGTTTGCGAGACAAGAACTTGAAGTATTGCGCTACTAAGTCTATCTCTTCTCCAATAACAAGGTCAGCACGCGTGGAGAAACTTGACGCAGCACCCACCCAATCCCAATCTCGCCTTTACTCCGAAGGTTTGTGTAGAGCTGTCGAAGAAACTGGCGCCTGTTATGGCGCGGTCGGCGCTGCAGGTATTGGAGGGATCTGACGATGGTGTCATTCGCGCAAAAGAGGCAAAAAAAGCAAGCCACGTACTTTCTGCGTGCATCCAGCTGCTTTAGCTTTGCTCATGTCCCTTCCGCCCGACTCCACTAATATCCTCCTCCGGCAAATTTGAGGCATTGAAGCCAATTTGAAGGTCGTCTGTCGTCGCTGTAGGGTGCTGTAAGTAATTCCCCAGCCAATACTTACAGGTGTTTCTAACAGTTTTTAAAAACAGGGGTGTTTATAAACAGTTTTTGAAACAAGGGGGGATTACTTAATATACCTTAGTGTCAATAATAATTATTCAGTAGGACTAATTCTATGACATGGTACCACCCTATCATTAGACTGCCCCTTCATAGCAACAGTATTTTCCATCCCAACAACTAGGTCTCTACTATCCAGAAGGAAATTACTATATTTGGTAGTGTTGATTGTGTGACTGATGTGACTGATGTGATATAATGTCACACATGGCTGTTTACAAACACCTCCCACCTCCAGGAATTAAAAACTAACACTGTTTTTAAAAACACGTTTCTAACTGGTTTGTAAACCAGATCAACTTACAGCACCCTACGTCGCTGCCATCCTTTTTGCAAGCAGAGAACCTTCACGGAAGAATACGAGACTGCCGTGGCTGTCGTCCATCGTGATAGATGAAAGGCCTGTGGCTTTGAAAGACCATTCAAGGAGGCTGGAGGAAGAGAAGAGGAAGAAATGATTGCAATCTTGGGTCACGTTCTTTCCAGAGGCGACACAACTCGAAACAACTTTTGCTTTCTCTCGCCACTCTTTACACCTTGCTCGCCCGTGCACTACAAGTCATTGAGGGTACCATGGGCGACCAAAGTACTATCGTCCACTAAGACTACTAGTACAGGGACACTCGCCTGAATGGCTGCTTCACGTGACTGGTGGTATATACGCAAGCGTGACTGGTGGTATATACGCAAGGGAAGTTCGGAGCAATGCGTGTTTACATTGTAGGATACTGAGGGAAACCGCTATGTAAGAGCTCCGCGTCGGTTAAGCCTTCAGGTAGGATAGCGAGAAGAAGGAATCTGGGTGATGCGAGGGCTTGAAAGCGATAACGCGATGGACATGTCAAGATTCGACCGTTTATCCACGCCATCTGAGAACAAAGATGTCTTTTCGTGTTCAAAGCGAACGAGAATAGCTTGACAGCCTTCTGAAGCAACAAGATGCGAGACAAGATCAATTGCCAGGGGAAGATTGTCTGTTAGCGCAAGAACTTGATCGACTTCGCTTTCGTTGTACTCGGTTGTGTCAGTTGCGATTTGCACGAAGGTTTGGCGCGCAGCTTCTAGGTTCAGGGTCTGAAGTGGTGGAAAAAAAGGTCGAGACCATTTGACTTTTGCTGGTCTCTCGGCGCCGCGCATTGTAAGCTGGACAGTCGACGGAAAATTAGGCTTCATGACAATGAACTTAGGGTTAACGTACAATGAGAGCTAGATGCACGATATCAGTCAGGTTAGACAGGAGATTTTCGATGTCGTTCCGAGAGCTTGACTCCCACGCAGTTTCTATGTTGTCAAGCACCAGGAGAGTGGGTGGTCCGTCCGCAAAATGCCGAATAATCCGTCTTGGCATCGATTCTGCTGCGCCAATGTTAATATGTGACCCGAGCAGTATACAAAGCTCGGTATGGTTTGAGGCCGATTCGCAGGCGATGAAGATTCGACAGTCACCGTACTTGTTTACTACGTCGGTGTGGTGGAGGGCCGCTCTGGCCAAACTAGTTTTTCCGATCCCCCCGGCACCCAGGATAGTGACAATACGGGGTGACTGGTTTACGAAGGCCCCGATGATTTGTGTGAGCTCTGAATCACGACCGTTCGGAAGGGTGCAAAGAGATGGAAGTCGAGCTGATGGGCAAACGAGTCAGCAGACTGAATAACAACAGCGTTGAATTAGAACCTCTTGTATGATGCGGAGAGTGTGCGCGTGAGCTGAATGGTACTTGGTATTCAGTTAAGATGACAAGGAGTGTTCATTGGACGAACCATAGATGTCACATCTGAATCTCCGTCGATATATTGTAAGATCTCCTCCTGATTGTGATTCTCCATAGCGCTCAGGGAAATAGTCGCTTGAAGAAGCGCTGCCCTATTGGCCTTCGAAACCGCCCTCAATGACGCCGACCCAGTAGATACGATCGACTTACCTGGAATATCGCGATGCAACCGTCAAGGGCCTGCCGACAGTCGTTGATTATCGCGTTAGTCTCTCCCTTTCGGAAGAATTTGGCAATTCGGCTCCCCTCTCGTTGGGCGCTCAGTGCGGAGTGTGCCTTGTGCAAGACTCTAGGGTTTATGGATCAGCATTGGTCTTCCGGAGCAAGCCCGACGTATAAAGAGACGAGTATCATGAGGAGCTGGTTTATCTGTTCGAGGAGGAGTAGCTCTGCTTTATTCGACGTCTGCGTAAGTTTTTCAGTTGGAGTGAACGATGAGAAAAGGGCAGCAATTAGTGCCTGGGTGATGTCCAGAATGGATCGCACGGTATGTGCTATGGGGCTCAAGAATGGTGTTTGCAAAGTGTTGGAGAGCGCTTCCACTGGCAGGGTGTCGGCCGCAAGCACAAGGGCATGCTGCAGGTTTCCTAGTCGATGTGAGGTTCGTGTGGACGGAGTTGAAGGCGCCATACTGTTTTTAGCCACCGAGCTATCTCATGGCGGCTTTGAAACTTGGTGGTGAGGTATAAATTGTCAATTTGTGTCGTCTTCTGACCCACGAAAAGTGATGACACCGCGTTTTCTAATTGACTTGAGGAAGTAGATGAAGTGCCAGCATAAGCAGTTGGGTCGCTGTGAGTAACTTCGAATTCCCAGATTGTTTCGCCTGCAGAACTTGAAGGTGGATGTTGACCATTATTAGAATCGTCACAAGTCACGTATGACGAATCACGTCGAGCACTTTGCTCAAGCTTACACGACGGGACCGATAGGCCCCAAGCCGCAACCCTTCACAACCTATACCCATACCAGCGTCGGGTGCACCCCACATCCATTCCACCGCAGGCGAGCCAGGCTCTCTCTCCCCCGATGTACGATTGCTAACGTTTTTAATTTGCACCAGCGGCAAAACGCGTGCATGGCTGGGGACATTCCTTCGCGACGACGAAAACAGCGGTCGAGGCATGTCTCTAGGGAGCCTCCCAAAGCTAGCTTCGAGGATGGCACGGATTTCATCCCCCTTGACGGCGACGTGGACGGCGAAAAGCACGCACGAAGGAAGGGCAAGCAGCGGAGCCGTTCTCGTTCCAAATCGCCACCCGTGAAGAGAATGCGAGGCATGGATGGGCAGGAGGATGCGAAGGCAGGCCGACGAGATGATCGCATAGAGGGAAGTAGCAACGAGCGGGAATGGGACCGAGGCAAACGCTCTTACCCCCTGGTATTCGACTTCGAGGAAGGTTCAGCCTCTAAAAGGCGGAGGGTGGAGCCGTCGGAGCGGTTTACGCCTTGGATTGACCAGGTGGACTGGAAGAGCTGCAAAAGTCCGGCTGAATTGTGCGTGTCATGGGTTTTTGACTTGTTTTTCTTACTAACTTTTCTCTCAGGTTTCATCGTGAAGTCGAGAGCTTCGTCAACTGGATCTCCCCGAGCCCACAAGAGGACGAAATTCGCGGGCTTGTTGTGAAGATTATATCGCGTTTTGTAACCCAACGCTTTTCGGACGCGGAGGTCCTCCCCTTTGGCAGTTTTGCCACGAAACTATATCTGCCTACTGGGTGCGTGGCCCCCGCAGATATTCCTTTCCTTACTTAGTCTGCTTCAGCGACATTGACCTCGTCATACGATCTCAATCCATGGCTTACTCTCCTACCCAAATCGTGCTCAGTGCACTTGCCACTGTCATCCGCCGCTCTGGATTGACCGACGGCAAAGTCACCGTTATAGCCAAAGCCAAAGTCCCCATCGTCAAATTCGTCACCACCGCCGAGTATGGCCACTTCAATGTCGACATCAGCATAAACCAAGACAGCGGTCTCGCGTCCGGCCAAATCATCAACAACTTCCTCTCCGACTTTTCGGGCACTTCCTCAAGAAACTGCCTCGCGCTCCGGGCCCTGGTCCTGCTGACCAAACTCTTCCTCACGCAACGCCAGATGAACGAAGTCTATACCGGCGGACTGGGCTCATACGCGATTGTGTGTCTCTGCATATCGTTCCTGCAAATGCACCCAAAGATTCGCTTTGGACAAATCGACCCGGACACAAACTTGGGGGTCCTCGTTATCGAGTTCTTCGAGCTTTACGGACATCGCTTCCATTACGACGAGGTCGGTATATCTTTGCGGAATGGCGGGCAGTACTTTGGGAAGCGACAGCGGGGCTGGGGCGACTGGGGCGGTAATCGGAGAGGCTCAAGTCTGTCGATTGAAGATCCTGGTGACCCATGTAAGTCGGTGACATTTCATTTTCTATCCTTTTTTGACCCGTTCTTCAGTCAACGACATTTCCTCTGGCTCGTATAACTTCCACAACGTCCGACAAAATCTTGCGGGTGCCCATGACATCCTGCTGACCGCCGTCTTTTCCAAAGCCGGCATTTTGGCTGCGAGAAAGAAAGGGACTGCGACTTTGCTGAGGGCCGAGTACGAATCAGGCGACATGTCGATACTGTCCGCCATGCTTGGAGTTGACCAAAAAGTGCGTTTTCGTGTCTATCCTTTGCGCAACTGACGCTTTGCCAGACAATCAATAATCGATTGCTCGTGAAGCAGGTCTACGAAAGCCAGGCACTGCACAAGCTTCTTGGGGTCGAGCCCAAGCTTGTCGATCCTCGTCAATCTCCACTCCCGACGACACCGTTGCATGAAATCAGCAGCGAAACGGCGTCTTGCAAGAAAAAGAAGAGAAAGAAGCCTAAGAGCAAGAGTGTCGTGGTGGTGCAGGAGGACAGTGGGAGCAGAAGCGGGACGGGGAGCGGGCCACAGTCGCGTGCTGCGAGTGTGAGTGTTCGTGACGCATGGGCTGAAGCAGACAGAGAGGAGGAAGTAGCGCACGTTTCTGATGGAAGCGATGAAGCGGGGCACCAAGCAGACGGGCGGTATTCTGTGGGATCCCCGTCCAAAAAGCGACGGAAGTTGGAGGATCGCATTGTGGTCTATACGATGGATTCGGAGGAAGACACCGACGAGGAGGGACTTGTCTCCGTCAAAAAACCGCCAAGCAAAAGCACAAGGAGGGGTATGGGTAGCAGGGCTTCCAGCGGAAGCTCATCGCTGGGGTCTGCGGAGAGGAGGGATTACTGGTTGTCGAAAGGGATCGGCCCTAGCGAGGGGAGCAGTGATTGATACGAAATGATGACTTCCCCTTCCTTGTCTCCCTGTTTGTTGGTGAGGGTGAATGTGGTAGACGAGTTACTCTGTAGTTGAGGCTGTGGTATTAGCAGTAGTTACCTTTGCTTTACAAGGTCCTGTATTACCTTGCTTTGCAAGGTTCCCCACCCTGGCAATTGCCATCAAATTTCCCATCAAAAATCAAAACTGCTATTTGGTACCAACACTATGGATTACGGCTTAAGCACCCTTCCTTCTCATCTTTGAGGCAATATTCCACTCTGAATTCTCAAAACTAAGTATGTTCAATTGGTTGCAAGAAATGAAATTAAACATGGAAAAGGCGCAGATAGTGTTACCTACATACCTATTGAGAACATCCAAATTTATGAACTTTACTAATAAGTGTGGAGTGGAAATGGAAAAAAAAGGAAATGATTTAAATTCCTTACTAAGAGATCCACAGTAAAATTATCAATCTCTGTTGGAAAGATGGAAAGATAAAATTATAGAATAGGGTAAATTGTGCACTCAGAGTAAAATAAACACAATTGATAAAAAAAAATTACACATTTGCAAGTTCAATTAGATCTAGTTCTACATGATGAATCTATAAGCCAAGAATACAGATCCTTGTCAGCAGTAGTCCTACAACAGAAATTTCAACTGCATTTACTGGAAGATGCAGAAATAAAGAGAGGCTGTATATCATGCTACAAATGAAAATTTAAGAACTTCTAGTTGGACTAAGTCCTTGAAAGGATACCAGCAGAAAGATGAGATATATGAGTTTAGCAAATCAACTTATCAAGGAAAAACAGTAGAATATGTGTCTGACCCTAAAATCATGAGTCAAATGGCAAGAGATTATCATAATTCTGTCCAAACGATAGATATTGACATAGATGATAGAGGCTATGGTAAACTCATGAAACACAGATATAGTCCTGGAGGATTGCAATATTCATCTTCCTTAGGATGAGTATAAGCAAATAGACATAGATTTTAATAGAAATGATGTCCAACAAGCACTAAAACTCTCTAATAACAATAAATCACCTCGTTTAGATGGAATCTTATAAGATGTTAGATATTAGGTATGAAAAACTCAAATCTCAAGGTCTTCCCACTTTTGATATAATGACATTCCTAACTAAGGTATATTCACTCCATTTTGTTCAATATCTTTAAATACCTGTGTCCTATTTATAAAAAAAGGGATTGGTCTATAATTTCTAATTATCATCCTGTGACATGTTTGAATACTGATTATGAATTGAAGACAAAGACTTACTCTCTAAGACTGATAAAGGTTGCTGAAAATCTGGTACACCCAGACCAGGCTGGATTTATAAAAGGAAGGAGAATTGATGATCAAGTTAAACTAGCAAATTTTTTACTAGATTATGCAGATGTAGCAGAAGAAAATGGAGTATTGGTGGCCTTGGACCAAGAGAAGGCATATGATTGAGTTGACCATGAATATCTAAAAAAAAGTCTTGATACATATGGGATTTCCTCCACACTTTTATAACTGTGTTCTAAATTTATATACTAGAGCAAAAACTATGGTTATGATCAATGAAGAGTTAAGCTCACATTTTAATGTGACACGAGGAGTGCGTCAGGGTAATCCTTTATCATGCTTATTATTTAATCTTGCAATTGAACCCTTAGCATGCATATTAAGAAATTCAGACCTGGAAGGGATTAATTTTTTGAAGTACTAGGAACTGAACGTAGACTTCTCATCTTGCTGTTTGCAGATGATACAACTATATATCTATCTAGCTATGACTCCTGGACTTTATTGTGGAGAATCTTGGATACTTGGTGTAAAGCCTCAACTGCAAAGTTTAATATATCCAAAACTGACATTGTACCATTTGGGAAGAGTGAATATTGAGCAAATGTTATAAATCAGAGAAGAATTAAACTCACCAAAAAATATTATCCCAGATTCAATGAAAATCTTATATGAAAGTGAAAGCTTTAGAATGTTAGGTGCACATCTTGGAACAAGGGGTATGTGCCGGCGCAAGCCAAGACGTCAGGGGGGAGGGGGGTGGTCTGGTGGCCTTAATTCACTTTTCTTTTGTAGGGTACAGAGTGGCTGGGAATGCTATTAATGGTCTCAGAATGCATATAATTGTCATTGAAAACAGATTTTGGGGTTCTTCTGAGGCATGTATAAACATTTTAATAGGAATTTCCTGTTTAGGTGGTGATGACACAGCCATGTCACACCCAAGTCACACCTGCCAGCTATGCCCGCAGCCAAAATTGGTTTTATAATTATGTCTGCAGGGTGAATGTGGGTGGAGGGCACAAGAAGGGACACTATATATAGAGGAAATTAGTAGTACTGCATAACATTTTCACCAGTTTCTGGCGCCCATCAAGGAATTGCCTTTTTGGGACATCACGTGCAATCACATGGCGTGACGTCACACAGGGAGGGGGGTGTCCAGCAGTAGCTAATTCACTTTTCTGACCTGACGTCGGGGGTTTCAGGTATGCATACCTCTTGTCTTGGAAATAATCTGAAGGAGTATTAATCCTTGGTCATCCGTGCTTGAAAAATTAGAGGTGATTTAGGACGTGCTATATGGGCAAGTCCTGGACTGGAGGGTAAGAGACATATCATAAATATGAGTATTGCAGGAAGAACACAATATCCAACCCATGTTCAAGGGATGCCTGAGGAAATTGAAACAACATTACAGAGAATGCAACATGCATTCTTATAGGACAACAAAAAAGCAAGAGTGGCTCATGATACAATAAGACCTCCTATTGAGTTACAAGGTAGAAGTATATTTGATCTTGAAACTGGAAATGATACAATTGATTTGAGGAACCTGAAAATATGTCTCTCTCAAGGAGAGTCTAGACCATTCTGGTGTTACTTCGTTGATAGTTTGATAGATTTTGTTTGGACGCAAAGTTATCTTCAGAAACCTGAAGGGAAAATGATTAATCTATCTTACAATCAATGACCTTACCTATTTCTAAATCTACTAAGCTGCCTGAACAAGTTAAAAGAACGATCAAATCTGCAAAAAAATATAACTTCAAGATATATGGTCTCCAGATTGATCTAGATATTAAACTACAGATGCCCATATGGTATCATATTGCCCTAGATGAGAAAACTTGTAACTCAATACACCATTATAACATTATTGATTGCTTGAAATTCAGTGCAAACAGTGGGAGATACTTTAAAATTAGTGAACAGAAATACAATAGCAGGTGAGAAACCACATATAATAAATCTCTCAGGTATTTCAAGGCAGAATTGTGGTTTCAAGGCATGTTCATATGATAGGAAAATACTAAAGTGCAATTATCCAAAATAAATTCCTTCCAAAAGGGAGTTTTACTCTCAGAATATATTTGTTACAATATTACCCAGCATTGCAGGGTTAAAACATTAACCAATCTGTAACACTGACAAGCCAGATCATGGATAAAAATACACATAAACTAAAGCAAGGTCTCAGTCTCAAGTGCAGGCATAGGCGCCAGAGGCCCTTGCACGGGTTACAGCAAATATATTATAAGAGTACTCTATTTTTGTTACACCTTTGCTTCGAGAACCTCGGGCTCAATCGACTCTCCTGCGTCTTGCGCGCGCCTGCCGTCGAGGGTCTTGACCTCGACAGCGTTTTGGATCTCGAGCAGACGGAAGTCTGATTCAAATGCGTCAGCAGCGAAGAAAGGCTGGGGAAAACAATGACTACCTTTGACGAAGAACGCTGCTGCGAGGGGGATGAACGAGACGACGAGCCCGGGGATAAGCAAAAGGCGCATAGTCGAGCCATAAGCAGCCACTGGTAAGGATGTCAGCCATATGTTAAGACTTTGGAAAGGGAAAACCGCACCCATGTCCTTGTAAATCTGCCCTTCTAGTCCCCTCACCAGCGTCGGCATCCCCACGAAGCCCGCAATCTCCGTGCTGTTCAGACTCGGCACGTGGTTGGCGATTTCGACGGGCAGCTTGTTGACCCAAATCGCGCCGGCCGCGGCTGTCCCCACAACACCGCCGACTTCGGCCGAAAGCAGAATGGCGGCGGTGGCGAGGGCGACGTCTTGGTGGGGAACCGCGCCCTGGGCCCCGATTTGCGCGCTGGTGGAGGCGATACCCCCGCCGAGGCCCTGGATGATCTGCGTCATAACCAGCGCGGCGGTGTTGGCGTGGGAGCGGGCATAGAACATTAATCCGACACCAACGATGCTGAAGAGAGTGAGCGAGGGTTATAAAGCCCATCGGAAGGACGGACCGGATGGCGAGAGCCGCGATGAGGGAGTATTTGTATCCAGTTTTGAAGAACCCGGCAAATGCGGCCCAGAGGAGACCGAAGAACTAGAAAACTGGTTAGCTGATTATGATTTCGCCAGAAATCAGACTAACAGTCAAGGACAGCGACTGCGCGTTGCTGTAGTAGACCAGCTTGCCCAGGTCCCATTTGGTCGTCGCGGTAACGAAGCCGTACAGCTCTCCGTAGGTCAGGTAGAACGAGACCTACACAAATAAGTCAATCGTTCCAAAGGAGCAGGGAAAACATACAAAGTCGAAAAAGTCAATTGCACACGCCGCAAGGATGGTGCGGTTGCGCAACAAGCGCCAGGGGATGACCGGGTATGCGGCCTTGCGCGCCTCCCAGAAAACGAAGAGCGGGAGGGCGACGAATGCGCCGATGACCATCATAGCGGGGACCGCGGGGTTGTGCCAAGTGGTGGTGGCGTAGGCACCGCCGGCAAGGACAATTGGAACTATAGCACAGCTTTTGACGACAGCCAGACACGGGAGGCGAGTGCTCACGGAAAATAAGCGCTAAAGTCGCGCCAAGAAGGAGCAGGCCCACAGCGTCAACCTCGGTGAAGAACTGGCCGACTTTTGTGCCAAAGGAAACACTGAATGCCGGCGTTGGCTCGAAATTGTGGATCTTGCCCAGTTGCTTGGCGCGGCGTTTGGCCCAGAGAAGAACGAGAATCTTGTGAGAAGGTAAGAGGAGGAAGTTGAATGCGGAAAGCTCGTACGATGGGCAGCAGGGCCGGAACATAGCAAATGGCGTAGATGCCATATCCCCAGCGCCAGCCCAGTCCTCCGGGCTCGGTGAGCTTGGTCGTAATAAGGCCGTTGACGTAGAAGTTAATGCTATGTTCCGGGACTCAGTCTGAGGTAAGGAGAGAAAGATGGAGACGCACAAATACCACCCGCCAGTCGACAAAGAGGAGATGATGGGCCTCCAGCGTAGCGTCGTCACATCCGCAATGACAATCTGGAGCGCAATTTGGAGACCAGAGAAGCCAAGAACCCAGATGCAACTGCCGGCACCTAGGCCCGCCATGTTGGGCGTGGAGGCATTGACAACGTAGCCGAGCACGTAGAAAAACAGAGCGACAGCAATGGACTGGGTATCGTCTCAGCGAGCAGAACGACAGCGGTCAAGTTTTCACGCACCTCTGCACGCCCAATAGCGTCTGTCAGCTTTGCAAACAGCGGCTTGCCGATGGCGAGCAGGATGGAGGTCGCGCATTGGATAGCGGCGAATTGCTGGTAATGTCCGAACTGGATGGTGGCATAGCTGCGGCCAAGTTAAGTGTCTTGGAGAAGGGAGAAGACGGAAAGCGGACCTCCCCCAGGCCCAGTTCGTGCCGTTGTCGAGGATGTACATGTACCTAGCGCCATGTCAGAGGAAGTAAGAAGAAGAAGAAAAGACACGTCACGCACGAGGCCAGCGCCACTGATATCCACAGTGCGATCTTCGATTTGGTTCCCCATACCTTTAGGGTATAGTGAGCACATACTATTCGACCATGAAGCCCCGCTAACCGACTGCAACGCTTCTATAGCGCGAACGCCGCCCTGCGTGCCCTTGACGGCGACAATGTCGATGTTCGCGGCGCTAGAGGCTGGAGACGCCTGCTTTTCGTCGGTGGACATGGCCGTGGGGGGAAGAAGAGAAGAGCAACGGACACTCGGCTGTTTGACGGCGCGGGTTCCTTATATGCCTGGCTTCTGAATCTGAGAAGTGCATGCGCTCGCATCATTTTTTTTGCAAATGATCGTCGACTATCATTATCAGATAAAATGTGCGTTCCGTCAAGCTGGATACTTAACCGCGTAGCCTCCAGCGGCGTCAGCGGTCGAATGCATGAGGCTGTCGATACTGGCTTAGCCAAGGGTCGTCGCCGGATCGAGAGGGCACTGGACAGAGAGCCAAGTCGTCAAGGAGGAAGTTTTTTTTCGAGCATGTGCTCCCTGACATAAGTATGGCACCAGCATCTCCGTAATCAGATTAAGCCGGCCGCGTTTCATTGGGTTTCCCAGGTCCGGAGCGTTGTGGTCGTGAATCAGGCACTGGCGAAAGAAATTGGAATCAATGACTGAAGCGGTCCTCCGCTCGTAATTAGCCAACTCGACAATCGCTGGGCGGCCACCAGAGAACCACGCTTGACTCTGCAGTTCACACGACATGAGAGGTCTTCGCTGTCAGCGCCGCCAAGACCGTGGACCTGAATTCGAGGAGGCCCTTGGTTGTTTGAGGGAGTGAGATGGAGCACCGCACTTGATTACTACTGGGCTACTGAAGTACTGACGCCGCTGCTGGCGTCAAACTTGTGTGTTTTTTATTGGTTTCTGTCGTTTGCACCCAAATGACCGGCTCAGCTCGGAGTCTCGGACGCGGTACGGGTTTTGCAGGCCAGAACCGTTCTGAGAATCTGTCGACCGGCAGAAGTGATAGCGGTTACAGAGGTTATCGACTCCTTTGTGCAGCCTCATGCGATTAAACATGATCCAAGGAGCAAACAGCATTCCAAAACTTGCAAGTCGGCGGAGAGAATTAATGAGAGAGCGACGTCACACTCTGCCCGCACGACCACGTGGCAACCTGTGGCAACCAGCCTATAACAGCTCAACAAAGGGTATATGCTCATGCTCATGCGAGCTGCCAAGTCGATATTGATACGATGCGATACATGCAACAATGTCCAACCAAGTCCCAAGAGAAACGGCCAGTCGTCCTTCTCAGAGAAGAACCACAACAAGCCGATGCGACATAGCATCCAAAACCCGCTCTCCTCGCCCGCGTCCGGCCGCACCATGCTGGGCTAGACCAATGCATATGGTAGTTACAGAATGGTGGAAATCAGGGGAGCGAACGGATAGCAACACAGCGATTGCCCTCGCGAGGGTCTGGAATGTCGAGAGGAGAAGAAAAGCAGGCCATGCGTAGGGCATCAGGATGTCGGCGGTGACGGCGACGGCTGCGACGATGGGGAAGGATGGACGGCTGGTGGCTAGTCGGTGGGTGAGCCTGATGACTAGAGAAAGGAGTGATAGCAAGACATACCTTCGTCAATGAAACAGGTGTGCGCGAATAGTCAGTCTTCTCGTGCATTTCGCCCTGCCTCCGGCGAGCAGCATTGCGCGCACTCCAGTAGCGGTCTTCTTCTTTCCGTTGCCGCCGTTTGCGACGAGCCCAGATGGCAGTCCCGACCACAAGCGTTATGAGGCACACTGGTCAGATGGAGTTAGTCTGACGCCAGTGAAGAAGCGGTATGAGGGACGCACGTAATGCGACGATGACCCCAATCTCCCATGCTGCAGAGAGGTGGCGGGAGGCCTGGCGGCTAGGCTCTAGTTCAGACGTAGTGAACTCAGTGTCCGTATTGGCGTCACTATGGTTGTGGGGGTAAGTGGCTTATACGCATCAATGGCGGGAAGGGCGCACCTGCGCTGTGTAAGGAAGTACATCGAGGGCGGGAAATGGCGGTAGGGGGGGAGAAGGGTGTGTGGGAGCAGCGAGACGATGGCGAAAGCCTTAAATTGAGTGGCCAAGATGGCGCCAAGCTGTCTTCGGGTTTAGGTACAAGGCTTTTCCATTGGCTTGCCCGCTCCGTGCATTCCCTGTTGACCCCTTGGCACAGCAACCTGGGGCTTAGACAATATCAATGCCTCGCGAAGCAAACGGCCTTCAGATAGGATCGCAGACACCCAAAGTCGGGGTGTTTTTCAAGGGATGCTGGGCGGTTAAGCGAGTGGCACTTGGTGGCCAAGAACAGGCCAAGCCCATGCCTTGACATCACACGCGCGCGGCAACCCCTCGGCTTGTAAAACACATTTGATCAAGCCCCGGCAGCTGCCCAGCAAATCCTTGTCGCCGCGTCGGCTTGGGCAGCCCGAGAGTTTGGCTCAGATTGGTACCAATGTCCTGGTTGACGACGTCGAGTAGATATTGTCCAAGACACTCTTGGTTGGTGGACAATACTGTGGCTTGTAAGCGGCTGTATTCATGAATCAATACACCTACAAAAAGTGCGCAAATATCGCGACTTGAGTGGCCAAGACGAGCCAAGATTCATCATCTCCACGGGTATTCGGAATCGGACCGACATCAGCCTGAGTGACGCGGATTAGTCAGATGGCGACAGCTTGATCCGCCTTTCACCATCGATTCGCGAAGGGCGCTCAGGAAACAGCTAGCTTGTGAGCGCTCACAGCTGTCGTCTGTTGCGAGTGGAGCCCACGCGTGGGTGGAGGCAGTTCCGTGCCAACCAATACTCTGCGCTCATATCTCACGAGGCACTGGTCAAGAAGCAGGATTCGAATTCGTCTAATAAACCTCAAGGGTACTCGTCAGTATCGGCTTCCGAGTTTTCTTCAACAGAATGAGGGACAGAGCGCTCACTGGCACTACTAGCTGTTCAACGAATTCAAGCAACCGACATCCTAGGATAATAATAAGTCCTAGCCCCAAAACACATCAGCTTCGGAACTCTCCATCCGTCCACGAGCGCATGGGACAGCCCTATATCTTATCGTCGAAAATAGCCTCATCACCAAAGACGCGTGCATCCTGGCCGTCGTCAGCTGCTTCTGCAAGCCAATCTCGGACTACGGAAAAGAGGAAGAAGTCTTGATAAACGTGGCCCCATCTTCACGACCATGTCCCCACCATGTCCCTCTTTCCCCTTCTCCTCGCCGCTCTGCCAACAGTCTCGAGCTGGGCCGTGAATACCTCTCTGACAGAGCGGGCCTTAACTTCAGCCATATCGTCAGGCTGTCCGGCCAATAGTCCGACTTCATGTGGGAGCACGACCTCTAGCAACACATGCTGCTTCGAGTCGCCCGGAGGATTGTTACTGCAAACCCAGTTCTGGGATGCGACGCCTGTGTCTACCGGCCCAAATAACAGCTGGACAATCCATGGTGCGTGTAGTTACTCCTTCTTTGTGGCCCCTTCTCTAACTCGTAACAAGGACTGTGGCCGGACAATTGCGACGGGACCTTCAGCGAGAACTGCGATTCCTCGCGCGACTACACCGGCATATCCACGCTCCTCACCAACCAGGGTGCTGCCTCGACGCTTTCGTTCATGAATACCTTTTGGAAGAATCTGCCCTCTGATGGGACGGACGAGTCGCTCTGGGAGGCACGCACGTTCTTTTTCTCCATCTATTTTCACGCTGATATCCTCTAACAGCACGAATGGGCGACCCATGGCACGTGCTACAGCACTCTGAAGACCAGCTGTCTGCCCTCCGGAAGCTCGAAAGGGGCGGAAGCTGTCGCATTCTTCGAGACCACCGTCAAACTCTTCCAAACACTGCCCACATTTGATTGGCTCTCCGCCGCGGGGATCGTCCCCTCTTCATCGACAACTTACACGTTGTCTGCTTTGCAAGCTGCTGTTCGGGCAAAGTGGGGGTTCACGCCCGCGTTCCAATGTAGCGGCTCGACATTGAACGGGGTATTCTACTACTTCAACCTGAAGGGCAGCGTCATCGATGGAACTTTCGTGCCGATTAACGCTGCCACGGCCTCGACTTGCTCGAGCACGGGTATCAAGTACGCGCCAAAGACGACCGGGAGCAGCGGTGGAGGCGGTGGTGGTAGCACCGGAGTGCGTCAACATTTTTTGTCCCTTTTGCAGTGACTTACTTCTGTAGACCCTCCCCGCCAAAGCCACACTTGTCGCCTCCTCCGTTGGGGGCATCCTCTCTCTTGGCACGTGGTCCACGCAGACGCTCGCCACCTTCACGATATCCGGCACTGTTGACTCGTTCACAATGACCTCCTCCAAGGGCAACTGCGGCGTCGCGAGCGGTACCTTCGCATGCGGCTCTGGCGTTTCCCTCACCTCCTTTTCCGCCGTATCCAGTGGCGGAAAACTGTTGTTGGCGAGCGGCGGATCGACGAGCTGGACAAGCGACGCCACGCCGAGTGGGTCGACGGTGCAGACGGTGTTCACTGGCTCGGGCCATGCTCAGGATTATACCCTGGCTATTACGTCGACATAAGGGGAATCGGTGTATGCTTAATATACCTTCAATTGATCACTTTTCTGCATCGGCGTCAAACAATGAGTATAACGGTGTCCATGAAAACGGCGATACTGCGGCCGACGCCTCGCCGGATGTTTTCTTGTAAAGCGAGATCTCCAGCCTGAGCTGCAGAGTTCTAGCGACTCAGGTGGGTTGCGGTCGAAAGATGAACAAGTTGTAGCATTCACAGTACTTTCCGGAAGTAATAATAATAGTAAGCCCATACGGTCCAATATGTGGGTGCCGGGGGGGAGTACATTTGCGATTTTAACCTTTCGCGAGGCTAACTTGAGAGCGCGGAACGTGTGTGCTAAAATGGGGCGACGCTAAGTAGAGATGGAGATTATCAACCCCGCGCTCGAAGTCACATACTAATAGCCTAAAGCGCGGAACGGCACACGCCCCACCTTCACCCAGTCCTCCATGACCGCGACCCGCTTCAAAGCCTCTGTGTTCCTCGCCATTTTGGCCTTCGTCAACGCGCGAGACACTCAAATCCCATTGACACACGGCGGGTGTCCCGCCAATGGCCCGCTTTCGTGCAGCGACGATGCCACCAGCGCAGCTGGAAGTTGCTGTTTGGAGGCTCCTGGAGTATGCTTGCCGTCGTCTCTGTTTGGCGAGATTCTCACTGATATTTCAGGGTCTTCTATTGCAGACCCAGGCAAGTATGGGTATGATGAAATATTTCCTCTTTAATGCCCCGTAGTTTTGGGATACCAGTCCTGCGACAGGCCCGAGCGACAGCTGGACCATCCACGGTGTGTTTTTACACTCTCGCTATGCAGTCAAATAACGCGAGGGTAGGGCTGTGGCCGGACAAGTGTGTCTTCTTGCTGGTCTTGAATTCGCCCTGATTGGGTCAATTGCAGCTGCGATTTGACATTCAAGGAGAATTGCGACCGTTCGCGGGCGTACAAGAACATTGCGGGTGTAGGTTATTCTAGCGTCATCTGTTCTGGCTCATCAACGTCAACATCAATGCACAGTTGCTTGAAGCGCAAGGCGCACAGGACACTCTCGACTTCATGAAAACTGTATGTGGCCCGTCGTTCTTTGTGGCTCGCAAGTGATATGGAGGGGTATGTAGTACTGGGTCGACATCAACGGGAAGGACGAGACCTTTTGGGAGGTGGGCGACTTTTGGCCATGCTCGGCCTTGCTACATTCTGACTGGCTCGGGATGTGCAGCATGAATGGTCGACGCATGGGACTTGCTACAGGTGAACGATGTCCATCATATTGTTGCTTCTCCTTCTTGACATCGCAATAGCACACTAAGTCCATCGTGTCTGCCGGAAGGAAGTCCGAAAGGAGCAGAGGTATCTACCCGGGATACCCTTGAAACAATTATGGCTCACTCCCCTCTAGGCCGTGGCCTTCTTCCAACTCGTCGTGAATCTCTTCCAGGTAGGCGCCCAATTCTGCCTAGCCACTTGAATTTGATCGAACGCGCTAGACTCTGCCAACGTATACCTGGCTGGCGAACCACGGAATAACACCCTCCAGCAGCGGCACGCACACGCTTCAAAGCCTGAAGGACGCGTTGCGGGCGGAAGCCGGTGTCCGTTCCGCTGTTCTCCGTCCGCACCAATCCTGATGCTGATCATCTACAGGTGGTCCCCGCGCTTGACTGCCAGGGCAAAACGCTGGATTCCGTGTCATGGTACTTTAATCTCCGCGGCTCGTTGTTGGACGCAACGCCTGGGCTTGTGGCGATTGGTAATGAATGATCATTCAAGAAAGCTTGGGGCGTCTAACGACACGATATAGATGCTCCAGAGGAAGGGAATTGTCCACAGAGTGGGATTCGGTATCCGATAAAGGGAGGAAATGGAGGCCACAGTGGAAAGGAAACACCAGTGAGCGAGGCTATTCAGTGAAACGATGATGGTGCTAATGGCTGACAGTCTCGTCATAAGCGGCGCAAGGAAAAGTCGCAACGTGAAGAACTATGATGCCTAGATATAGATATATGCATTCAATTCGAGCTCATAGTGTAATTGCGGGAACAAATTTACCTCAGTGGTTCATCGTTTCTTCCTGCGTTTAGGCTCCCTCTCCTCAGTCTCAGTTCCCGATCCACCCACCAACCTCATAACGGCTTGTTGTCGCACTTTTTCGGGTACCCGTTCCCAATAGACCTCTTCTCGCGTTCCGGTTATCAGTTCTGCCTTGATAGCGCCAGCGGCGTCAGTGTAGAACTTGACAAGGGCATTCGCATGGAGCGGACTGGTCAGTCGGACATGACACTGTGAAAGGTAAATACAATGAAAATAAGGATGAAAGGAGCCAAGTACCGAATCAACACCCTTGGTGTAGTCGACATAATCGATTGCTTCGTCCACTGTTCCAGCATCGTACCCTAAAGCCGTCGAGAATAACACCCGGAGTGCGGTTTTGTTGGTGCCATGGTCGAGGTTACGAATAAAGACAAGGCAATTCGGAGGGTAAGATGGAAGGGTGATGGAAAGAGACGGTGATGAAGTTGGAATGCGGGGTTCATCTCGGTCGATATCGTGTTGCTTCGGAGCAAACCTGGTTGGGTGAGCTAGCTGTTGTTGGTATCGTAGGTATTCTGCGTTGAGTCCCTCCCATATCGTTTTCGAACAGGCGCGAAAGCCAAAGCGGAAGGCCTCCTTTTTGTTCTCGGCCTCGGTTTCATGCAAGCTTTGCAGTCCCGTCCATGGCCATGATTCCACCAACGAGATGGCATCTTTCACGGTTTTGAACGTGACGAGGGCGAAAGATTTCAGCTTGGGTGGCTCATCGTCGGAATGTGAGCCAGGAGAAACGATATTCTGGATTCTCGTGCAATCTGAGCTGGGGGTAGATGGCCCTGGCCCTTCTTGAGGCAGAAGAAGACTCGATATAAAACGACATACTCCAGCAAGCGTCTTGCACTTGACAGGCAAATTCTCCTAGTCTCAGAGTTAAACGGATGATAGGCAAGCGACGATTACGCACAACATAAACGGTTCTGTCATCCCAGCCCTTCCTCGTTGTAGGGTAGTCTCCTTCACCACCGCTGTCGAACGCTGGTCGAATCTCGAAACTGCCTGCTTTGCGCTTGTGGTCTGCAGAGGGGATGGTCATACGCAGGTCAACAAGACTTGTTCCGTGCGTCCGTAGAGCCTTTGCTATTTGAGTCTCTGACGCCTCGAGGGAGGAAAGCGGAGATGGCGGCGCGAGGATGTAGCTAAGAGGGAAAACTAAAAAACTTGTCATGTCCGTCACATTTTGCTCGAGCGGTGCACGCACAATTATCGTTGGCGCGGACACGCGTGCAGCGCTCAATGTCCATTCGAAGCTCCGGGTTCATCCATAGCCAATATTTGGAGAGCGACAAAGCGAGAAGAAGAGGGACGTCGTTCTCTTCGAAACGGGCATCGCTGGCTGGTTGGGGAGCTGAGAGTTCCTGAATGAGTGTGGATGCCGGCGGGTTGTTTCGATGGGACGGAGCGGTGGAGTGGGGCGTGGGCGGCTTGCGTTTAGAAGCAAACTGACGAGGTAAGAAAGCAAAGGTGTCGGTCATGAAAAAACTCGGCGCGGTCACGGGATGATACTTTCTTCCACAACTGGACGGAAATCTTTGGAGGATCTGAGACACTAACTACTTCTGCACATATTTTGAGCTAGTATAAGAAACTGGTAGGCTCCATTGTCCTTGCTTGCATTGTCAATGTTACTACTATTAGTACAGTAACTACAGTTTACTTGATCTTACCTTGATGCCTATATCGACAGTGGCCCACACCTTGGTAAGGCTTTGCATCATAGCATTACTGACCGCGAAAGCTCGGTGGTGAATAAGTATCGGGCGGCGCCCAGGTTACTTATCAGTATTCATCCCACGACTTGCAGCATGGCACTGCCATGACGATCGCTGATGCATTTTTGGCGGCGCTCGATCCGGTGCCTTTTCTTCTTTCTCGCCCTCATGTCTGGCTCTTGGGGGCGACCAGCAGGCGGCTCTGGTAGCCGTCGCCGGTTTTTCTCCTCTCCACGCAGTTCTTTGGTTTCTCGGGCCATTGGCGATGCTCAGAGTTTGGTGCTTAATTCAACATTGGTCGTTCGTGGATTTGCCTCAGATGGGGTAACGGGGACTGGTGCGTCTACTTGCTCGATTCAGCTCTCCGATTTGTCTCTCAGCTTTTGGTAGGCGTCACACCCAGCCTGGTATCAAGCAACAACTTCATCAACTTCTGCGCTAATACTCCGCTCACAAATGGCAAACAAGTCTTGGGTGGCTCATGCAACCCCGTACCTATGGGGGAATTTCCGGACACGGACAAGCTCCCCTCGGTCCGAATATTCGATCCCACCAACGGGAAATTCCTCCGCGCGAATACCACCTTCTCCCTCTCCCTCAATGTCAACAGTCTCCGCTCGGGTGTCTTCACAAACCCAAATGAAAACTTTCTTGGCGCTCCCCAGCAAGTCGGGACCGGTGGTCTTGTGCAGGGCCACCATCACCTCGTCATTGAGGAAATTGACGCCAACTCAACAGCGCCGACCGACGCGCGCAATTTTGCGTTTTTCGCTATCATCTCGCAGGCGGCAAGCCAGGCGGGCATCATCGAGAGAAGTATCACGGGCGGGCTTCCAGAGGGCTATTATCGTATCACTGTGACTTCGCGCGCAAGTAACCACCAACCTGTCCTGTCTTCAGCGGTACAGACGGGGTCATTAGACGATGTCGCTTATGTGCGCTTGCTACATGTTGTTGGCTGGTACTGACTGGTTTTCTGCAGATTACGGTGACAGCGGACGGCTCTCCAGGTAGCACTCCCCGCATCAAGAGAAAAACTGTGCTCCATGACCAAACAAGACATTACCCCCGACGGAAGCTCAACCTCAGAGATGATTCACAAACGTCTTTGACATTGTTGTCAACCGTTGTTTCTCCCGGTCTTTTGAATAATGGGATGGACAAGCTCGTTCAGCCTGGTTCGTGCTAACTCATTGACACATTTGAATGCTGACCATGATCTTTAGGACAATCCGCCTCCGCCACCTCCAGCAACAACTTCATCAACTTCTGCGGGTCCTCTACACTGCCTCTTATCGACCTCTCTGTCACGGCCCGGTCTGCATTCTGTAATCCTGCGCCAATGGGGTTACTACCATCTTCCGACAAGATAGTGCGTTTTCTTGTATGAAAGAATGCGTCGTATTGACTTCTTCTTCTTCAGCCAACAGCACGTATAACTTACCCCCGCAACGGAGACGTCATTCTCCCCAACGCCCCAATGACTATTGGCGTGGCCGTCGCCAACTTCGCGTCTGGCAACATTGCCAATGACCGGAACTATGCGTCTGCCCCACAACAACTCGATGCATCTGGGCTTGTTAGAGGGCACCCATATGTTGTGCTCGACCTGCTCGACTCGCCCACACAAATCACACCGACAACGCCGTCCAAGTTCTCGCTTTTCAAGGGATTTAGCGCGCGGGCAGACGACACGGGCGTGGTAACGACGTCGCTGGGGACCGGATTGGGTGCTGGGTTTTATCGCATGACGGTGGGCTTGAAGACGACGAATGGGGTGCCCGTTTTCGCGCCGGTGCTGCAGCATGGGGCTATTGGAGATGCGATTTATGTTGGTCGCGGCCTTTTTTCATTGCTGTCAGTCAGACTAATCACTTCCAGTTCACGGTCGCTCCTGGTGGCAAGCTCCCCACAAACCAGACTGCAATTGTTGGCGCACGAACAGACTTTGGCCAAACCACGCTGGGGTCGTTTGGATTGCCCTCGCAAACGAGTAGTGGTGCGCCGCAGAGGAGTGGAAGTGGCCTTCCGTTCGTGTCTTCGCCATCCACTGTCCTTGTCACTGATCTTTTTTCTTCACAGTGTGGTTGCGACTAGTGCCTATCTGGGACTTCGCATCGCTGTCGGAGCAGCACTTGGCGGAGCGGCTCTCCTCGCTCTGATTATTCTCGGCATATGGCTACTGATGCGTCGACGAAAGAAGAAGAAGACACGAGAGCAGATGCTGCAGTGGCGACCCGGCGGGACGATTGATGGCAGAAGCGAGCTGGGGCTGCCTCCGCCGACACCGTTTGTGGCGGGGATACCAAGAAGGGAGCGGGAGGAGGATGTTAGGTCGGAGGACTCGGTGACGGTGTACATGCCCATGTCGACCTCGCCCCCGACAAAGGCACAGATAATGGCGGGCCTACCCCCGCCCCCTGTGGCGGCAAAGCGGCCCGCGAGGCAGCATTCGGGCCGGTCGGTCGCGCCGTCTTATCATACCAATGCAACGTTTATTCGATGAGATATACCAATTTGTATGTTTGTAATGCTATCGGATGTGTCCAAGGAGAAGAAGCAAGACCCTGAAGACACCTATTTAGATATTTAGAAGGCAGAAAGAAACCTGGAGCGTGCAGAACTGAAAACTCATAGAAATGATTGATCACATTGGGGGGGTTCCACTATGAAGCAGGATTTATTTGGGAGAAAACAGATTCAAAGTTTTATCATTTCTGCTGTCACCTACAAAAGGAAAATTCCAAACCTTGACTGGTAAGCCCAAGACACTCTGGGGTTTCAGCCAAAAAAATGGTCCCATAAGCAGAATTTATACATAAGAAATAATGGTGCAAGACAATGGCCTTTTTGCTGATTGATATGCAATAAAAGTTGCAAAAATTGTATCTGATTCACAAAAAAGAATGAATATTTGGCTATCAAATTTTGTATACATTGTGACTACCCCCTTCTTAACCATGCTTTGTGGACAATAAGTGCACCTTATTCCAGCTGAAATATTTTTTTAAAAAAATGGTGTCACATTAGTATTGCCCCAATTTGTCATATATAAGGTGATTTGTCATATATAGTGGCAATTTGTCACTTATTTCTGATATATTAGGTACACTTTGGTGGATTTATTTACTACAAATCATAGCCACATAATTATCAGCTGATATTGGCTTTGAGTCAAGTCCAATCTGATGACTTAATATATCCCCCCATTTCTCACAAATCAAGTCTACTTTCCTGGGGTTTTATGTGTTATCTTTCTAAGTTGTTAAAATAAAGATATATATCTTTTTTGTCCACTATTTATCATAAATAAATCCTACTTCAGGGCCTATTTTTGGGCAGAAACCCCAAATGCGAGGGGAAATGCCTTCTGTCAGGGGAACCCCCCTTTCGGCCCCTCGGAGACGCATGCGACTCCGGTCCGATTCCGGTTCCGACTCTGGTCCGGCCCTCCATCTCGCCCGCACAATCACCGATCCGTCAACACCCTCCCGATGGTCGCCCTGGGACCTTGCCTGCAATGCCGCCCAAGCCTTCTGTGCCCGACAGCGGCAGCTACGGACAAGCAGTATATAGTCAGCTCCCTAGCAGGCGGACCCTTAGAGTTTCTTCTCTTTGGATCCTTCCCTGCTAGGTCAGCTTCATTTGTATTCGCTTACCAATGTTCACGCTTTGGATCCTCCCCTGCTAGGACCTTGATCTCAGGCCTCCGGGGTTGCCCTTACACCTTTGAGAGCAAATAGCCATCAAACTGCTGCCAGACCACTGCGGGTCCCTTTGACAATGCACCATCATCAGCCTGCCATCAGTTTTGCTCCCAGTATAAGCCATCTCTGTTTCCAATAATTGTATTGCTTCCCTGCGTGCAAGGAGGTGCCAATGGCTCTGACAATCTAATTTGAACCTTACACTAATAATGACAAAGGACCACTGTATAGGGCCCTCTCTACTTGACTTTGACCCCACTTGCCTAGCTTGCGGCCTGACAAGTTGTCTGTTCAGTTCCAGGCGTATGTTTCCAAGGACTTGTAGTCTTCTGCAGTCTTCTGCAGGGCCCTGCACCTGGCCTGTCAGGGCTCAGGGCTCAGGCCTAATGTTCAGTAAGCCCTGAGCCCTGGGCTTTGGCCCTGACAGGCCTGACGCCTTGGCAACAGTCATCAATGTGAGTTGAGGGTCACATCGGCTTCCTGCCAGATGGCTTTGAGATATGTCAGAATGACAGTTCACTGGCAGAGATACTGGCTGGATATGGATGCATCACTAATGTTGGGACATCACCGACATGCTGGAACATTGATGTGCCATCACAAGTACTATTTCCCGCTGATCCTTATGTGAACAGAGTGTTGGGTGGGCACAATAGAATAGCCAGAGAGTGTAAGGGCAACCCTGGAGACTCCGACGAAAGCCTAGCAGGGGAGGATCCAAAGCGTGAATAAAAGCTACAGGAAATACACGGAGGGACCGACCTAGTAGGGGAGGATCCAAAGAGAAGAAACTCTAAGGGTCCGCCTGCTAGGGCGCCAACTATATACTGGTCGTCCGTAACTGCCGACGTAGAGCGCAGAAGGCCTGAGCGGCGTCGCAGGCTCTGTCCCAAGGTGATCGTTGGGAGGGTCTTGACGGATCGGTGATTGTGCGGGCGAAGGAGGCCGTGGACGATGGTCGGGGTGGGTCGGAGCGTCCGAGGGGGCGCCGGTCGGATGCGCCTCGGATGCGTTCGGAGCGTCCGAAGGAGGCCGAAGCGGGGGTTCCCCTGACAGAGAGCAGTTATACTTGCTAGGGATAGTGAGTGAGTAATACATGTGTATAATCATGACAACTACTTACACTGTTCCCAGGGAGGGCCTAATCCTGAGCCCAGGGCCGGGCCGGGCCGGGGCCGGGCCGGGCTCAGAGCTTGGGCTTGAGTTTTTAGTCAGCCAGGACCCTTGATAATTGGGACCAATGTCGAATCCCAAAATAAGCCAAATTTTGACTTTTGTCCGAACTTTTCCTTGGACCCCTTGCCAAAAATCTGTCCAAAAATGGCTCCGGTACCCCTCCGATCTCCAAGAATGTCCGAAACTGCCTCCGACGTATCAAAAAAATGATACAAATTTTGCCATAAGAAGTACAGAATTCGCTCAAGTTGCGGCGCTTCTGAAGCAAAAAATGACCAGAAGCTATCTGTAGCCGACAATCAAGCCTAAATTGCATTTTTTAAGGCTATGACTGTGTCCGAACTTGACGCCGTCTTCCACCCAATCCTGAATTGCAATGTCTGAAATTGCCCATGACCTGTCTATATTTCGGCTCTGATGTGTCCGATTTTGGCACCTACCTGACACCGAGCTCAGCCTAAATTTGTCCAAACTTGGGATCCGACATTGGTCCCAATTATCAGGGGTCCTAGTCAGCCCAAGCCCTGAAAGCCCAGTCCAAAACAGGGCTGGGCTACCCGACCTAGGAGAGCCTTGCATGGCCTGACCCAAAGCCTAACTGCTTTGCTGGCCCAATGAACCCTCTGTTCTGTTCTGGGTGTATATTTCCAAGGAGAGCCTTGCCCAACCTAAAGTTGGACAGCAACACTGTATAATATTATGATCTGGTAAATCCCCTCTAGTTATGCATCTATGAGAAATTACCTTATTGGGGGATGATGCATGTCATATTACTTATCTGACTACATTGCTAGAATATAGAGATGTTGTACAGAATATTGCAGGAGTCTTTGAGAACTTTAGACCAATACTATAAGTGACAGAATTAGTAAGTACTGTCACTCCTCTGGTAGGAGGTTACCAATGATAGTAGTCTCACCAACTCCTTCAACTACTTAATCCAATAAAGACTCGTAGTTTTATTAATTTAAATCTCACAGATAGCTATTCAGAATAATATATTATAGTCTCTCAGTCTCCAGCCATAATAATGATATAATTGTATATAATCATATGATGTGATACTGGTTTCCACCAATGGCTATGAAAGAACCATAATAACAGCAATAATAATATAGGATAATAATAATTATAAATCATGATATAATCTTAAGGCCAGTACTTACCAATACTTAGTACAGTTTTTGTACTAAACTTATTTGAATATCCCTGCTGAATGACTCAGCCTGAATCCACTACTACTTGCCAATCTATGTAGTGACTGTAATGAAAATACTTACTCAAATTTGTAACGTGGTCATGATAAACAAATATGGACTTGGCGTATCGTCCCCCGCGAGATTGTGTTTCCACTGCTCCGCCGTGTATGCTTCCAAACCAAGGATTGATTCAACGCCTTCAAGTTGTGCAATCCCGACTTCTGCTGCGGTTTGTGACCAAAACGGAGTTGAAGTAGGCCGATTTTGGGTCCGGTCTCGCGGCACGGGCACTGGCAGAAAAGAACGACCCGGATAGATATCCTTCCGCTTTAGACAGTAAACCACCCGTGTCGTTCCTGCGCCAGCCTCCACCCCGGGTGCATATCTGGGAATGTCATCTGCGCTGATGGCGAGACGCAATGTCCCTGCAACAGCACAGCCCAGGCCGCCAAGACGCGCCATCAGGTCGCGGTATATTGTGCTTGCGCGCCAGACACCGCTGGCCTGGAATGTGTGCCATCCACACAGCATATAGATCCGCGTCGTCGGCGACCTGCTGTCCAGTTGATCGTCGATATCGATGTCGCTCGTGACGGGGACGAAAAACCGCACGGGAAAGGCGGAGAATGCGGCGGTGTGCTGGGCGACACGCTGGAGCAAATGCAGCAGCGCGGACGAGTCCGAGAGGTGTGGCGGCGCCAGCTGGAGGGTGACGAGCTCGGTTATTGGCATTGGGCGAGTATCGAAAAGGTGACTTGAGCGCGATTTGGTAAAGCGGGCTCAGGCGGATGGGTTGATTCGGCCGGCGTTTGAGGGAAGGTTGTCCAGCTTTTTAAACCCGGGCGACTATGAAAGGGGATGAACGCCCCCGACGGGGCCGATGGGTCCGTCCTGCATGACCCCGGGTACCGAGTCTTTCCATGCAACAACTGTAGTTGGGAAGATTTTCGAAACGGCGGCGGGCGGTCCGATGACGGTAAGTTGCGTGAAAAGGAATCACGAAGCAGCTGGATTGAAGGATGCACTTTGCAGACAATCAGTTAACGAGATCGAACACCGGACCTGGCTCGAAAGAGGAAACAGGCACTTTACCCGCTTCGGAATAGAAGTGGAATATTTTTTCCCGTTGGCGCAGCTCGGGGACGGAATCGGTGCGAATAATCGTCATGTTTCATTTTTTTGAGGCCTTGCTGGGAGTAAAACTCCTGACATGTACTAGTACTCTAGCTGATGACTGCCGCAATCGCATGTGCGAGCATACTGTACTATCGTTAGAAGAACGATGTGAAGGGCAAGAGAGGACGCGCCTATGCAGAGTAAAAACGGGGTGGAGCGAGTTAAGCCAGCTGTGGAAGTGGGTAATGAGTGTTGATATGACAGCCTCGATGCACGCACAAGTAAGTGGAGACAGGTCCGCAAGGTGCAATCTGGGTGGAAATGTTCGGCGTTCCATTCTGGTAGGCGTCGCAGTATCCAGTAGTATTCGCGAATTTGAAGCTGGGGGAGTCAAAAATCGGGCTGCTCGATCGAAGACACGACTCACACGCTGGCTTCATCCAACAAAGTATTGAACACGGGCTGCGTATCGAATACCGTCGCCTCGAAGCCGGGGTATTTCCGGGAACCAACAAACGACTGTGCAGTAGTGCGCAGCTGCACGTTGTAGTTCGCAATGTCTTGTGCCAGGAGGCTGGTCGAAGCGGCCTGATTTTGTGCAACGAAGAGCGGGGCGCGATTGATCGGCGGAACGGTCAGAAAAAGGAAGGAGCGGGCGCCGAAGGAGTAGAGCTCGTCGATCTAGAAAGTCTACATGAAATACTCTTCCAAAGTCAATGACCAGCGCACCTGGGTTGCGAGACGGTTCATGAGGACCTTGTTGAATGCTGATTGGGTCGTGTTTGTCTGGAAAAAGTGAGGTTTATGGCGACGAGATGGAGAGATCATCGAACCCAAGACCAAGCATTACCCTACGGAGAAGTTAATGTCTTTTGCGGACGATGTTACGGTCATTGAGTTAACTCACAACGTCGTTTATACCAATCCAAACCGCAAAAAGCCTACGGGTTCGGTGAGTAACAGAGCTGGTTCACGACTGCAACTAGCCAGACGCACGCATTGGAAGAGTCCCATGTAGCACCGGGTGGCTTTGACGACAGCATGGCCTTGAATTGGGCGACCTGGTCGACAACCGACCTGTGAAGGCGTGTCATGATGGAGAACAAGTCGCGTGGAGTTGGGGACAAACAGAACAGTCGGCTGGTATGGAGTAACGAGCTTGGAGTCTATGGTCGCGCCACCGAATGCAAGATTGAAAACCTACGTGTTTGGGCGGTAAGTGAAGGAGCATAGTAGGGGAATGCGTGGACGCGCCTTTGTTCCCGCAACATTATATGTATCCCGAAGAGTCTGCACCCAGTTGGGCCCGTTTGAAGAGACCTGTCGCATGGAAATATTAGAAATATCGCTTGTTCGTGCGTCGGAACGCACCCAGCCTGGGTCCGTCGAGTTGACCCCCGCAGAAACGTTGAATCCTGACATCCCAGAAGATTGAGCACCGTGGCAGACTTGGTAGCGGCGGGGGTTTCTAACCGGTTGTCGTGTACGAATCGCCAAACACGAAGAGGTACTTGGTGTTCCCCCAGGTGAGCTTGGCCTGCGACGTGGCGGTCAGGGCGCACAGTGAGAGGAGAGGTAGAAGGCGCATAGAGTCGTGGGTGAGCGTATGGTGTCATCGCGGGCTGGCGGTGGATTAAGAAGGAGTGGGGAATGGGGACCGAGAAATCGCCGTGACGACAGTGAAGGTCATGGGGCCGATGTATGTAGCGTTCTTTCTTCGGAGAGAAGGACGGGGCTGTTCGTCGCTTGATTATGAGTAGAGGAAGCTCGGTGTTTGGTAGGAGGAGAACCAGAAATGCTCATGTGACCGTCACGGTGACTAAGCCTTCCTCTTGACTCATCTCGCGGTTCCCGAATCTTCGCAGCGCCGCTCATTTCTGCCTTAAATAACGCCTATGGGCAAAGATACCCCGCCAGTGCCGTTACCAGAGGGGCAAAATACGTCAATTCTCACACTTCCCACTGAGATCCTCATTCAAATCTTCCTGTACTACATTCCTATCTACCCGGAGTGCCCGCCTCTTTTCGGACGTCACTCCCCCTCAATACTGACGAACGTCTGCCGCTGGTGGCGCACAACTGCTCTTGACATGCCCAAACTTTGGCGGGCAATCCATGTCGACTTGACGCTTTCGGACAAACCAACAAACTTGTATCAGAAGGGCATTGTGGAAACTGCGCGGACATGGCTTGTTCGGTCTGGGGGCTCTCCTATCTCGGTTTCGTTAACGTGCCACCAAATTCACGCAATCGACGCGCAAGACCTGAATATGCCCGCAACAGAGATCCTTCTCATGGAGTGTGCGCGATGGGAATACGCCATCATGCGCCTTCCATCTCACCTATCCAAAAAGCTTTATCTCAAGCAACGTTTCATGCCCTTACTCGTGGCCATGCGCCTCACCTCTGTCGGTATCACTTCAGAACAGGCTCTTGGACAAATTCACGCTCCCCGCCTCCATACATTCGACAGCCGACTGAGCCAGGATCTTCACTACTTCAAGCTGTTCAGCAGCGACGTGTGGAGCCACCTAACGACGTTGAAACTGAGGGATATTCCACTGGATTCGGCGTGGCCGATCCTCCAGGGCACACCCGCATTAAGACATTGTTGGCTTGAGCTGTGGACGCCAGGCCGCGGAATCAACGACTACACTGGCACAATCTTGCGAGTTCTTTTACATCTTGAAACCTTGATCGTCACCTCACCCACCACCATACTCCCACCATGCGAACCGTTTTTGCGGGGCTTCGTACTGCCTTCACTCCGTCGTTTTGCCATCCGTTTGGCGCTGATGTCTGACCTCGATCCGCCTGGCAGCCTGACCGATCCACTGGGCATAGAGTTGCTTGTGCACGTTCTCCAATGCTGGATGTGCGAACTGCAAGTGCTATCCATCTTGAAACTTCCACTTGATGGTACTTTGGACCAACCGATCCAGGAAGCCTTCCAGAACATCGCATATTTGGAGTTGAACCGCAGCAATAATGCATGGTACCCAAATCCCGAGTTCTGGGGAGTTGACTGGTTTTCATAGAGAGTACAGTTTTCGGTCTTTTCATCAGATCTGGGGGAAATGACTGAAAATTGGCCTCGGTAAATACTTGTGTACAACCCTGCAGTGTGTTATTGGTATTTATTCTGTTCGGCGTCTACCGAGCGGCGCTTGATGGACAAGCCTCGCTCCTCCGTCCCGTCCTTGTCCCTTCCGCTCCGCTTTCCGGTCACTGCTGATGTATCGGATCGGATGGGGCGGTTACTCAGCATCAATTGCATAAGTCGGCGCCAAGTAGACCGCAGTTAGCAAGGTTGCCAGCAGCCGAAGGCGGATAGGAAATGGCAAATCATGCGTATTGGAAATTTTTGACAGAAATGCCGTTGGGGGCGGGGATCTGGGGAAAGGTTAAGGGCTTCCCCGCGTGTTATGCGTGAAGCGTATATCTTCCCCGCATCGAACCAAGACGCGAATGGCTCTCACTATGACCAGCCTCCCTCCCAAAATTCTCGCGTCAATCTTCGAGAATTGCTTGCCGCGCCGCCCTCAGGCATCCTCCCCATACCAAGCGCCGCTGCTGTTCATGCAAATATGTCGAGAATGGCGCGAGATAGCCGTCGGGTGCCCGAGTTTATGGGCATCCTTCGTGTTTGCGACGTCTGGCTCTGTCGAACTGCTCAAATTATACCTCAAACGATCCGGGACACACACACTGACCATCCATATATCGACGACGGATGAGCGACGAGGAAATGCCTATATGGCCGCGATTTACCCGCATGTTGTGCGATGGCGGGACGTTTCGCTGAGCTTGCCCATAACCTCGTTGGAGGCCTTGCGCGGCAGTGATAGAACATTATTCCCCGAGCTGGTCACACTTTCTGTCTCCATCTTCGACACCCCTGACGATGAGGGCTACCCGTTCCCCATCCTGATCCCCTCAGCTCCCAAAATCCGCGCCCTCGCTTTCCACGCATTCTCCATGTCGACCATAGTTGCCCCGTTTGGCCAGCTGAGCAGCCTCTCCTTCATCACGCTCCCCGACGTTTCCGCTATCCTCGCCATCCTCGCGCATTGCCCAACGCTACAGCAATTCACGTGTCCGACTTTCCACAACGGCCCAACCAAATACGACCCACTCGTGGTTCCCACCCTCACCCACTGGATGCTCTCCGCGATCCATGTACCCGCCGAAACGTTGGATTTTCTAACGCTTCCGTCCCTACAGCGCGTCACGCTCGAGTCTTTCAGCGCAAACGATTTGCCATACGGCACAGGGCTGTTAAACCAGCTGCTGGTGCGCTCTGGCTGTCTTCTCTGCTCCCTCGTGCTGCGTTTGGGGCCGGAAACCAACCCCGAAAGTCTTCGCCCGCTGCTCTTCTGGAGCCCCATCATCCATCTTTTCCTCGACTTTGTCTTTTTCTCAGACGTCGTCGAGCCGTTTGTCGCTGTTCTGGCGGGCGAGGGCATCGCGCCCCACTTGCAGCAGCTGGACATAAGGCACTTTGGCGCGGGGCAGTTTAGTGCGCCGCTCGGCCTTCGGGTGCTGCTTAACCGCGCTTGCAACGGCTTGCGCTCGCTCCGCCTGCATTTGGACACGGGTTATGCGCGGGGCCCGCTTGCAAGGCCTGCAAGAACGATGGCCGAGACGGAGATTGGGCGGTTGAAGGCACTGGCGGAGGTCGGGCTCGAGGTCGTGGTGACGTCACAGCAGTGGATGGGGTGGGCGAAGCTGGTGACGCTGCTGGGGCCGCCGCCAGAGTCTCTTTGGTGGGAGGATTTTTGTTAGCTAAGACGGTCCGGGACTGAAAGGGAATGTAAAAATGTACTAACTGATATCGTACCGTAAGTATATACCTTTTATATGGGCATTCTTTATTGGGGTCTTACTTAGGATGGCGAGATTTTGAGCTGGAGCAATCTCACTCGAACTTGAAGAGCGACCAGAGAACTTGAAGTTGAAGCAGCCCATTCAGGCGAGTGTCCCCGGGCCTGTACTAGTAGTCTTAGTGGACGATAGTACTTTGGTCGCCACCGGTAGCCTTAATGACTTGTAGCGCACGGGCGAGCAAGGTGTAAAGAGTGGCGAGAGAAAGCGAAAGTTGTTTCGAGTTGTTTGAAAGAACGTGACAAGATTGCAATCATTTCTTCTTCTTCTTCCTCCAGCCTCCTTGAATGGTCTTTCAAAGCCACAGGCCTTTCATCTATCACGATGGGCGACAGCCACGGCAGCCTCGTATTCTTCCGTGAAGGTTCCCTCCTACCAAAAAGGATGGCAGCGACGATGACAGGAGAACGGGGTTACGACCTTCAAATTGGCTTCAATGCCTCAAATTTGCCGGAGGAGGATATTAGTGGAGTCGGGCGGAAGGGACATGAGCAAAGCTAAAGAAGCTGGATGCACACAGAAAGTACGTGGCTTGCTTTTTTGCCTCTTTTGTGCGAATGACCCCATCGTCAGATCCCTCCAATACCTGCAGCGCCGACCGCGCCATAACAGGCGCCAGTTTCTTCGACAGCCCACACAAACCTTCGGAGTAAAGGCGAGATTGGGATTGGGTGGGTGCTGCGTCAAGTTTCTCCACGCGTGTTGACCTTGTCATTGGAGAAGAGACTTACTAGCGCAATACTTCAAGTTCTTGTCTCACAAACGGTCCCTACCATAAGCCTTCTCGAAATTATTCGCACATGCCTCCCCTCACCAAGCGAGAGCAATTTCTCCCTACCATGGTCATACATCAAAAGGCGCAAGTAGCGAATTCACGGCCAAGGCGTTTCTTCGACAACCTCCCAGTCCCCAGTCCTCTGTACCCCACGAAGATTGTCGATATGGGCAACAATTGTATGAGCCATGTCGAGCCGCTCCCCGAAACAGGATTCTCCCAGCGCTTCACCAGCCTGGCCAAATCGGCTGGTCCCCCCATCTCACCCGGTTTTCAGATCATATTGCGCCATGAAAATATAAAACTACTGCGGCACTGGAAAAATATCTCCACAAGGTCTGCTCGGTTAATTCGGTTATCCCGCACTTGACCTGTAAACCAGGCCCTGGAGTTATATCAACGCCCCAAGCCCAAACGTGTTTCTGAACTCTCAATATCGAATGAAAAGCTGGTTCTCACTCAGTCCGATATGTACGCGTGCAGTTTTGGCGTCGACACGGCCGGAAATCCCGTCGCATTGGACTCCCAACAAATTTGCTGGTTACCTGAACTCGAGCTTTATACCCTATTGTGGACTACGGGTTTCGCCTGGCTCGTCGCGGAGCAGTTGTGTACGGCCGAAGAATGTGCAGCTTCAGTCGATCGCGGCGATTTATGTGCGTTGGTTGTGCGAGTGTAGTATTCTGGACCGGGGCCAATCACACTCTTGGTATGATTCTTCACGAAACTCAAGCCAAGCTGAGAGCTCCGCCTTCTAGATTTGGAGGAGGACGACAACGAATTGCATAACACTACTTGGGTGGCGCAAACATATTCCAGCTAACCACCACTCCTCTTTGACTTCGTCAAATGGACGCACTGAACTCTGACCTCAGAGAGAGACGAATGCATACCTTAACTTTACTACTGAAATCCAAGAGCGCGTCCGACGGACAAAAGCAATTCTCCTCCTTGTAGCCGCCGAGCATGAGTAATATCAATAATTCGATGTAGTCGTTCATAACTTAGTGCCATATTAATCCAGTTTCGTCAGATTGTCGGCGCTACGCTTGAGCAGAGCAAAGCAAACGAATACTAGAATTGGAGTCCTTGTGCAAAAATAGGAAAATGCACGTGCCCATCAGAAACTCGTTTGTCGACCACCCTTGCGACCAACTTGCGACCACCACCGACAAGTTCCATCCCTCTCGAGTGGCACGAATGCCATGAGTGCCGGTAAAGCGAGCGGCATCTGTGCCATTGACAAGAGTTCCATCCACCATATCACCTCCGGCCAAGTTGTCATTGACCTACAAACCGCCGTCAAGGAGTTAGTCGAAAACAGTCTCGATGCTGGGGCAACGACGCTTGGTATGTCTTGGGCGTGTCCCTTCAACTTCCTTCTAACCTCTACAGACATCCGCTTTAAGAATTACGGCCTGAATTCGATTGAGTTGGTGGACAATGGGAGTGGGATCGAGGAAGGCGACTGGGATGCGATAGGTGCCGTGTTTTTTTCGTCTACCATGCCATGCCTGACTGCCTACTTGTAGGCCTGAAGCACCATACTTCGAAACTCGCTACTCTCGCGGACCTTGACACTGTACAAACATTCGGCTTCCGTGGAGAAGCCCTTTCCTCCCTTTGCGCGTTGTGCGAGTCAGTCACTGTTTCCACGACCACGACGCCGCCTATGGGGACCACCATTGATCTCGACTCCACCGGGAAAGTCAAGAGTAAGAGCAAAACCGCCAGACAAGTCTGTGTTTATACTCCATTTTCTCGACCGCTAATCGTCTTCCAGCGTGGAACAACAGTAACACTGAACAGACTCTTCTCCCCGCTCCCCGTTAGACGGAAAGAGCTAGAAAGACACGCGAAGCGAGAGTTTGGGAAGGCTGTTGCGCTCCTGCATGCATATGCTCTGGGCCCTTGTGCACGAAAGGGCGTCAAGATGGCGGTAAGCAACCAGCCAGACAAAGGGCGCGTATTGTTTCTCCGTCTCACGAATCTACTTGACGGAGGTCAAGCCAGAAATCTACACAATTCCGGACGACTGGGACTCAAAGCATTCGCGATGCTGTAACAGCAGTATGGGGGACGCGAGCGTTGGACAACGTTGTGGATCTCGACATTACATTCACCATTGAGCGCGACAAGCATGCAGTCAAACGGTATGTGGCCCACTATGCGAGTTTATTGATTTCTAATAATTACGCAGTCTCTCCACCAAGACCTCAACCGCATCCCAAACCCCAATCCAGGCGTCATTACGTGGACTTGTTTCTGCTTTTGCGCCTGGCTCTGGACGTCCAGGGCCCGACCGACAAATCTTCTACGTCAACGGCCGACCATGCTTCCTCCCCAAAGTCCTTATCCCCCATAGCTACGATTTATTACTTACTAACACACTGAAAATAGGTTCAAAAGACCATAACGGAGGTCTACCGAACGTTTAACGCTCCCGGCATGCAAGCTCCCATGGTGATTGCCGATTTGGTGCTACCAACAGGTACCTTTGGCTCGTTCTAGGCAGCGGTCGCTTACTACTCGGTAGACGCTTATGATGTCAATGTGTCCCCCGACAAACGAACGATATACGTTCACCATGAAATCGGGCTCGTTGAAGCGCTCAAGGTGTGTTACTATTCAAGGTCATCAAATTGAGTCTAAATGTACTGAAGGCGGCTCTGGAGGCAGCTTTTGCCCCGAGTCGATCTACATTTGGCGTTTCGTCAACCCAAAGTAATACTGCGGAAGCCCGGGCACCAAATAGAACCAGAACTCAGCCGAAAAGTGAGGGGCAAAGCCACAACAAGCCAATTCTGTTGGATAATGAAGAAGATGGCGATGAGGAGGGGGATGAAGACAAAGAAGAGCGTCCAGGCTTACTGCACCATATCGAGGGTGGCGCCAAGGCTTCCCGGGTAAAAGCCAGCCAAGCCACGACCAACCATAGTCCTTTCCTCAAGCCCATCTCGACTGTAGCTTTTTCGGCGCGTAATACGAAAACGACAACAAAGACTTCGACATCTTCGAAAGGCACCGGAACCTCCTTGCAAACGAAACTGCCATTTGCATCTACCACCGTCAAAACGAGTGCTTCGAGTTGGACATCGCAGGTTATGGCCTCGCCTCCAGCGGCAGATGAACAAGGAGCGCTTCAAACTCCTCCTCCTGCAACAGTCTCCCCACGAGTGAGCTCCCCGGATTCTCGACCCGAGGGCAATGAATCGATCGCCTCGTTGCAGATGGACACTTCCAAAACAACTTGGGGCCGGACATTGGGTCTAGAGAGTAGGATGAAGCGGAGAGAAGGCTCCCTATTGGGGTCGGAAGAAAAGGATAAAAGTGACCTCGAGAGGCCTTTGAAGCGACAAAAGTCGGAATTTTCTGATTCTTACGATGATTTGGGTCCCGAAGAACGACAGGAGATGGGGCTTGACCCCGAGGCTGATGCCGAAGAGACAGCCTCTTCCATAGCACCACATTCTCCCCTTCCGAAACAGACCACTATGTCGTTGAGCCAGCAGCCGAGAACGCCTTCTGCAACGCGAAACGGACCGCAACAGCAGCTGAGGACGATGCTCGCTACCTCGGCTGGTTTTGGGGCGAGTCAACAGAAACGAGCGGTGTCAGAGGAAGGGGAGGATGAACTTCAATCTAGTGGGGAGGAAAATGGATATGGACAGCAACATATGGAGGTCGACCAATCTTCTCAGCTGATTGATTTGAGCATGGATAGCGACTCAAACGATGACGAAGAAACGATTCCATTCAACCCATCCACTCCTACCCTTGCTAGCGCACCAGTGCTCCCCCAGAAGTTGTCCGCGCGCTCGAAGAAGATGGGACGGGGGAGATAGTCTTGCGAATCGAGCTCCACAACCTCATGGCTCGCTGGGAGAGGTTAAAGATGGAGTTGGAGGAGAGAGGAGAGCGGGACGTTATGCCCGCCGTTATCAATCCACACGAAGTCCTGAAAGCAGCTGGACTCGGCAGTGGAGCTACTGATATCGATGTTGCTGCTCAGGCACTTTCGCGAACGATCAGCAAGTCTGACTTTAGTTCGATGGACATTCTCGGGCAGTTCAATCTCGGCTTCGTGGTCGTTCGAAGGCAAGTTGCTGCAAGTGCGGGGTCTCCTCCGATGGACGACCTGTTTATCGTTGATCAACATGCTGCTGACGAAAAGTACAATTTCGAGACTTTGCAGCAAACGACGCGGATCAAGTCGCAGAAGCTATTTAGGTGCGTGTTTTATGTTTATCTGTTGCAGTTGTTGCTCACTGACATTATGCAGACCACGACCGCTGGAATTAACCGCAAGTGACGAGATGCTTGCGTTGGAGAAAATCGAGGTGTTGCGGCAGAATGGGTTTGAGGTCGAGATTCAGACGGAGGCTGTCGAACTTGGCAATAAAGAAGAAGCGGCGGAGACGCCAGCAACGACTCCTAAGCTGGCGTTGGTAGCACAGCCGGTGAGCAAGGACACGGTTTTCGATATGAAAGGTTGGTCAATTCTTTCAATAGCATTCTCCATGCTAATCACTTTTGTAGACCTCGAGGGACTCATTCATCGTATGCGTGACGCCACCGCTGGCACGACTCCTCGCTGCGCGAAAGCCCGCGCGATGTTTGCCATGCGGGCCTGTCGGAGGAGTGTCATGATTGGGATGCCCCTGACCGTGTCGCAAATGACCTCAGTTAGTGTTATTCTCTAACTTGAAGTCTTTTAAGCTGATTGTGTGTAGGTTATCCGACATATGGGGACGATGGACCAGCCGTGGAACTGCCCGCATGGGCGACCGACAATGCGCCATCTGGTGGATATTCAGCCGAGTAATTTAGTGCGGAAAAGGAGCGTGAATTGGGAGGACTTTTCCCTGAGCTACGTATGAACAAATAGCGAGTCATATTCATCTAGAGTATTTTAACGAGGGCTTAGGATATCTACTATCAGAGCTGTATTAATAATTCCGTTCCAATGCAAGTTATTTCTCCCGTCAGCATTTAGCTTTCGAGCTTAGTAAGGATTATGTCACCACAAATTTGCTTCTTCATCTCCACAGATGCAGCTTTTGTGAATTATGATAAAGAGAACTTCCTTCGTAACCACTACTTACTGCCGTGTCTCATTGCTTCAAGATTAATTATTACAACCCTTACTTCTAATCATTAGTGGGCCGTCGCTGAGCTCCACAGGTCCTGGTATGCTTACAATTCTATTGCTCTACTGTTATGCGACGAACAAAACAGGCGATAGCGTTTAGTACGACAGGATCGACTTGATAGCCTCCTGCTTCTCGAGGCGGACCCACTCAGGGTACGCGGTGACCTCCTTCCACCATCTGAGCACGTTGGGGCGCTTCTCGTCGTACATGACGCGGATATCAGCGTAGCGGGTGAGGAGCGGGCCGTGGGAGAGGTGGAAAAGATCGACCAGGGAGAGTTTCTGTAAGATAGTCAGAATAACCATTACAAAACGAGGAGAGAACATACGTCTCCAGCGATGTACTTCTGCTTGCTGAGGATGGTCTCGTAGACGTCGAGCTTGGCCTCGAGTTCCTTCTGGGCCTCAGCGAGGGCCTCGGGCTCCACGGTGCGGCCGTAGAAGCTGCGAGAAAAGGGTCAGAGAAAGATTGGCGAGGACCAACACCACTCACGGGTAGAAGACGACGAAAGTTACGAGCTTGAGCATCGCGGCGTGGAAGTGGGATGTCTCGACTGACCAGGCCTGGTCGAACAGCGCCTCCGCCTTGATGTCGCCGGGCGTGGGGGTGAGCTCGCTGCCGGGGTACTTCTTGTCGAGGTAGCGGCAGATGGCGCGGGATTCATAGAGGATGAAGCCGTCGTCGTCCTGAAAAAAGACTATTAGAACAGATCGGGGAAGCGGGTTGTAAGACGCACGATGTAAGGGACCTGGCCAAAGGGCTGTTTGGCGAGGAGCTCGGGCGATTTGGGCTGGCCGGCCGGGGGAACGGTGACGATGTGCTCGAAGGGGATCTTGCGGCTGGCAAGGAAGACGGCGACAACGGAGCCGACACCGGCGACGCGATCAGCGCAGTAGAGTTTGAGGACCATTTTCGATTGGAGGCAGGGGAAAGTGCGATGGGCTGGACATCGTCAAAGAGGGACTATTTATGTGGACAGCACTGTCATAAAAGCAAGTCAGCGAGCAGCGGAAGGGGTTTGCTGTGGTTGAGACACTCACGACAACAGCGCTAATGGCGGGAAGGGCCAACAAGCTGGCCCTGCTGACAAACGCTGACAACGAAATTTTCGTGCGTGACACATAGTGGTCGCGTCATCACTTTCAGAAATTGCTTTTGAAGTCTTGCAAGTCCTGAGCGTCCGGAGTTCGTTATGACTCGAGACTCGGATAATTTCTGCGTGCCTGCAAATGCAGGAGATGTCTTGCCAGCGATATGATAGACGGGCTGTATAAGCTAGCAGCGTTGAGTTTTTTCCTCGCCCGCCAGGGCCTTCTTGTCTCGCATCTTGTTGCTTCAGAAGGCTGTCAGGCTACAGTATTCTCATTCGCTCTGAACGCGAAAAGACATCTTTGTTCAGATGGCGTCGATAAACGGTCGAATCTTGACATGTACATCGTGTTATCGCCTTCAAGCCCTCACATCACCCAGATTCCTTCCGCTTTACAGCTTCTTGGTCTGCTCGCCATACTGCCTGAATGCTTGACCGACTCGGACGCAGAGCTTTTGCATAGAGCAACTGAGGTTCTTTGCGGTTGGATGCTACAAGCTGCGTGTCTTGAAAAACTCTTGGAATCAGGAGCTTGGCACGAGAGAGACCCTAGGCTACCATATACTTAGCACAGGTCGCCATCCGCGTCGGAGATTCGTTCAAGTGTTGTCTTAGTGAGAAAGAGGAAAACGCACAGATATCAGGCTGTAGGGGTTGCGCATGTGGCTTCGACTTGAAAGCGATGAATCGCGGTCCGCGCCTTTGGAGTTTGCGTCCCACGGCGGGAGGGAATGACATTCCTGTCAGCGAAAGAGCGAAAGTCAGGACGATTATGTCAGCGCCGTTGGCTTGTTTTCCGACTTCGTCACTGAATCGCAGAGTCGACGCAGACTCGCGCGCGCTGTTCGAAGCTCGACGGTATGGACATGGAGCCTTTAAAAAGCACATAACTGAACCATTGTAGCTTGGGATTTCACCCTTCTCCACACACATTCAAAAGCTTTCAACTTGCTTTCAACCCAGCGCAAAATAAGGAGACGGGGAGAAAACCTTATTCCTCGGGAGTATGGACGCATTTCGACACCCTCAGGATGGCCTGGCATATATTGCCTCTCTTTCATCTGCGAATTCGATGTATTCTGAACTCGAAGACGAATGACTTTGGAAGCCAAACCGTGTCTGTGAGGGCACAACTTCAAGCTGTCTAGTCTCTTGGAGCCCCAGAATAACCCTCCCTTCAGATTCAGAGCTGATTCCCTGTGGGGAAAGACACAAGTCGCCCACAATCAAAGCGCTTTCGGATACCGCCAGGCAGCACAAAGCACGTCCAGCCTCGTGTATCGCCCGGGCCATTGTGACAACACGTGAAGGAAACGCAATGCACTGGCGGGTTCGGTGGAGTGGCATATAAAGGCGGTGGGCTTATTGGAGAAGTTGAGCCGCCCCCATCCTCTGTCCTTGTTCTCGCACTACCACCACACAACACGCCCTGCGATTCGACGATCTGAGGATGCTGAACTTGACCTCTGTTGCCCCCGCGAGTCCTTTCTTCAACGTGCGCCGCTGTTTTCTGTTCTTCACGTTGTTGCTCATCGCATCTTTAGAGGACTAACGCATTCCGCCAACAGCAAGACACGGACGAAAACATGTCGCAGATGGTGTCCAAGGAGAATGAACGGTTCTCTAATGGACATCGTCGTCTGCCACCCTCAGTTTACGACGGCTTTCCCCAACGAAGTCCCACTCCCAATGACGCCCCCTCCCCGCCACAATCCCCTCTTGGTGTCGTTGGCTTTTACCCTGTCCATTATCATCTTGCCAGAATCCCACGTCGCATCCTGCGCTTGGTGCCTGCACCCCCAAAACGACCATAAAACTGGACATTCACTATACCAACGAAGCTGGGGAGCTGGCCATCCTATACGTCGACTACCAGGACGAGTTTACCGAACGCGACATAGACTGTGAGGCGCTCGTCCCACGAACAATCCTCGACGATGCTCTTGGGCTTTATTACTCGGACATCAACTACGCGCGCGTCAACAAGTGGGAGCTGGCGTTCCATAACTATGGCGCCAGTCATGTCTTCACGCGCGTCGTGAGGACGGGCGAGACGGTCGGGGTCGTTTATGACCCCGAGGATTGGCAGCTCTAGAGTCTCGTCATCCACAATTTTTTATACCCATCACAACAACAACTCGCCCCAATTCCTTCGCGTATTCCCTCATCTGCCTGCTTTTCGCCCTCTTGCCTTGACGCCCTGAAAACCCTCCAAAAACATCCATAAAACCTCGATAAACCCCCCAAAAAACTCCTTCATCCCGCCTCACAGTCTCGGCCTGTACTTGTAGGAAACTCAGACTGACATTTTTTAGCGCTGGAGCTACACATATTGTAGTAGAAGTACTGGATAGCAGTTGCGTGAACTGGACCCGCGCTGGCTAGACGTAATACCGGATATTATTTAGATGGAATACGATTCTGTTTGCTTGTTGACGAACTAGTACTTCGGCGCGACTACTTTTTTTCTTTGAGTCACAGGTCCCGTGAGTGTGACTACTCGTTTCCTAGCTCTCACGACGATTCACAACTTGAACGATACAACTTGGAGCAGGTTTGCTTGACTCACCACATTACATAGTATGACTTGGGCTTCAATAATAGGGTGACTGCTATACATATATGGTCAGCCCGGCGCTGGCGGCCTGCTACATCTGCCATCAAGGTCACCCACGCAACCTCCACAGCCTTGTCTATGACTTCCACTCGCACAATACTTGCTTCAAGTTCTTGTCGCGAAAACATGATTGTGTTATGGTCCCTAGTACCTGCCCTACACCGACTATCCGAACATGCCTCCCCTTCCCAATAAGCGAGAGCAATTTCTCCCTGCGGTCATACCCATTGCCCTCCTGCTGCTTAAAAGGCTCCAGTGGCGTCAAGGCATTTCTTCGGCAAGCTACCAGTCCTCCGTGCCCCACGGAGATATGGGCAACAAGTGCATGAGCGATGTCGAGGTGCTCTCTGAACCAGGATTCTACCAGCGCTTCACCGAGAGCGTCTGCTCCTGGACTCAAAGCACCCGCCGATATTCAAGTTCTCCGTTTTATTCAACCGGAAAACCTCGTCGTGGTCGACAAACACTTCGGTTCCCCAGATGGTGACATTGAAGTTCCCGTCCAGATTCACGACGAGTCCCTTCTCAGCGTCGAGCTCTGCGTTCGTCATTACTCAATCCTAGCCTTTTCGCTTGCGGTTCCAAAAGTTTACTTACTCTGCCGCTTTCCTGGCACACCTCAATTCGATTTCTACAACTTTATATCGTATACCTCCCTTGGACTTGTTTCTTTACCATTTTTCTACAATTCCCCATCTTTCCTCAACATCCCTGTTTATATTTTCACATATGTATTCCGTTTCGAATCCTACATACAAGTAGTATGCACAAATTTCCGAGTCTGATCAGTTCCCCACCCATAACACACTCAACTTGAAGCCTCATAATCACCAGCCTCGAGCCTTCCGCATAGCCAACGCCTCTTTCTCCTTGATTTTGTCTTCCGCCCATCCCCAATGCGGATTTTCACCACCACTGTCACCTTCAGAAACATCGTGGTCCGCCTCTGCGTCCCGTGGGCCAAGCCCTACCCGGAACGGCACGAGTCGCGGATCGCGGGGGAGTATATTGGCCCACATTTTCCGAGGAATATAGACTTGGAAAACACAGACGCGGAGGGCGGACAGGCGACGGGCCTCCTCCCACATTGCAACTAGTTGGTGTGTGCTGCCTGCGCGTGCAGCGATATGGGTGACATGGCCCAGTTGGTCCGGGCGGGCACGGAGGAGAGTAAAAAGGAGCGAATATGGCACAGAGGGCCAGGCGGAAGCGACGTGTAGATGGGTCAGGCGGCTCCATAGTTGGGGGTCTGGCTCGTCGTGTCTTTTCTCTGGCGGTGTTGAATCGCCAGCGGCATGGTAGGACTGCAACGCGGTCCGCAACAAGGATTCCCGGTGTTTGGATTGGCGGTTCCCGACTGCTCCAAAAATCGACAGGCGTAGAGGTCGAATGTTCATCTCCGGTCGCAAGAGCGCCTCTATTTCTTGCTCGCGCACTGTAAGGGTTTCGATGTTGGGACAGCGCTTGCTGACAACAGCCCAGAAGTCGTCAAACAGCTTTGGAGTCGGGACTTCGAGGGCTAAGGCTTTGACCTCGGCGAGGATATGTCTGCCCTTCGTGCAGAGCGTCGTGCAGAACATGCGAATAGCAGGGCGAGATTGCAGCTTAACGGAGTTGTAGAGCACCGTCTCTGCCGCACGACCGACAGCTTTAGAGGTGAGCGCGAGGGAAAGCGTCGTAGGGAGGTCGTCTTTGGCGGCAAGGCGGACTATTAGGAAGAGAATGTCGTCTGGCAGGAGCGCAGCAACAAGACTAATATTGGTGGGTTCCGGCTGGACGGGAATCCTGTCATTTAGTCGGTTAGCGGAACGGCGGTAACTTTGGGAAAATTGTACCATTGAATCTGGTTCATGTTCTGCGGTCGGGGGCTCAATAGAGAAAAGCTCATGGACGTCAGAAAGCAAGAGGATTCGAAGGATTCTATTTGCAGTGCTGTGCCAATCATGTCAGCGAGGATACGACATCGGGGGATTTGGTTGAAGATACTCTCCGCGGCCTAGAGTCAGGTATGTTTAGTTTCTGCTGCCTTCAGCAAGGAGTAGATCCAATTTTCGTGGTTTTCGGAGAGAGAAGTGGGAAAATGACGTGTCACATCTCACGTGCTGTGACTCGTGACGCGTCAACTGTCGTCAGGCCGCGGGTGTCGCAGCGACTCTTTCCTCTCATATACTTGCAGGCCATGTCCAAGCGCCCAATAATTTTCCGCCCCCGACACTAGTTCATGCTAAGTATTGGACCCCCATGTCTGCCAGGCACATGCACACCCTTCCCAACGAAATCCTATCCCACATCTTCCTCCAATACCTGCCTGCATACCCTCTCTGTCCTCCACTCTACGGGCCGGAGTCTCCGTCCTTCCTAATGACGGTCTGTCGACACTGGCAAGCCATCGCGCTACAGACTCCCGAGCTCTGGCGTGCTATTGAAGTTGGCAGCGCTTGGCGGCGGAGGCTCGCACCACCGTCGCTGCTGCCAACAATCGAGACATGGCTGGTCCGTTCCGCCTCGTGCATGCTTTCGGTCAATCTTCCAGACGACCCCAGCCTCTATCCGGCCACGGTCCTCCGTGCCCTTCTGGCCCACAGCAGCCGAATGGAGTATCTGTTTTGCACTGTGGACAACGACCAGGTGGCCATATATCTGGGTCCCGCGCTTCCCCACTTGCGCGAGCTCAGCATCGGTGGCTGGAAAGGGTGGAACGACCCCCTCGTTGTGAAGATGAAGCCCTCAAGCGCGCCATTGTTACACACACTGTTCTTATTCGAGGTTGATCTCGTAGCTTCCAACTTCCCGTGGGCCCAGTTGACGACACTGACGCTGGTAGGAAGCCCGGAATCAGCCTACCTCCAAGTCTTGCGCCAAACCCCCCGTCTCATTCATTGCCGACTCTCCGTCGTATCTGGAGAAGATCCAACCGCAGCACCACCAACCAGTCGCATCATCCTCCCTCATCTGCGCACTCTTGCCGTCCACCACGACGACCATGATCCCAACAGAGACTATCTGCTAGATGCCTTAACCACCCCCGCCCTGCGGCGCCTGCAACTCCGGGCCCCGATTTTGGGGGAAGATCCCATCCAGAACTTGCGTGTATTCATCGCTCATTGCGGCTGCAAGCTGGACGTTTTGCGCGTTCTGCCTGCGAGCTCCCGTGGGGTTCAAGTTGACAATGTGCCTATCGAGGAATACTCCAAGGCATTTCCCGAGATTCGTGTTGTCATGCCGCGAGCGGAATATTGGACTCCGGATGACAGGTGGCTCAATGAGGACAAATAAATATTATTTGTCCGTAGGCCCGGTCTTGAGCTGTATCAAGCTCAGTGTTGCTACTAATAAGTAAAGCACAAATAGAGTCGAGCAATTCATTCCAATGTAAACGTGGAGAAAGGAAAATGTGGATATACTTTACAGTAGCTAACTACTAGCACTACTAGTACTCACCGTCGATGATCAACTTGAAGATAGTACACACTATGATATAGCAGCTGACTGAGCTTACCTACACTGTTCCAGTACGGTTTTAGAGTCCCAAAGATCCTCCACAGCCAATGGCCATTCATCCCGTTTGAGGTATAGTCGTCGAACCGAGGGTAATGCAGCCAGGATGTCGTCCATAAGCAGAACTCGGGAGCTGTAACAGTCCGACATCGCCAGCTTCGTGAGCGATCCACCGCAACCCAGTGTTGTGACCAAGCGCAAGAGGCCTTGCACGTACGTCACGGTGGCTCCCGGTGCGAACACAGAGATGAAGTCATCTGGAAAGCCAAGACATCGGAGGGCGGGGAGGGTGAGTGCATTGATGAGGACGCTGGCTTCGTCGTCTTCAGATCCACCCTCCAGAATCATGGTCTCTAGATTCGGCAGGCAGATCGCGGGCATGCGGGCGGTTGCAGGATTCCAGATGTCCAGCCATAGTTTGACCAGCGCCTGTGTCTGGGAGAGAATCGGGGCGGCATCAGCGAGCGCAATGTCCCGCAGTTTGAGCGTGGTCAGATTCCGCCAGACATCCGAGGTGATCATCTTGAGGTAATAGGAATCGTCCGTCAGCTGCCCGATGAAGGTCTGCAGCGCTGGCACGTGAAGGAGGCCCAGGTGGGGCTCGGTGTCGTTGCTGCGGACATCGACGTTAATTCCGACGAGCATAGGCATGTCTCTACGTTCGCCCTTAGCCTGCATCTGGACCGGTAAGGCAGCGGGTACCATGATGTTGGCGTATTGCCAGTGTGAGGAATAAGAAAGCAGCATTGCAAAGGCCTCAGCAAGGATGAGTGTTCTGTTCGTTGGACACCGAAAGACGATAGAGAGCGGGAGTGGATAGGATCTCTCCAGCCACGTTTGGGCAATGTCGAGACGCGTTTGTCGGGTCATTCCGAGGGCAATGTCTTTGATGAGGTCGAGCTTAACAGCGCGCCATAGCGCTGGCGTCCCATGCGCCACGCTTCTCCACCGAGAACAGACTTGGGCAAGCGTTGTTGGGGAGCCATCGCCACGGAAAGGCGGGCATGTAGGATATGTAGGAATGTAGCGCTCGAAGACTTCAGCTAGTAGCTCGTTTGCGAGCTTGGCATCGGGGCTCATTCCGGTGGTATCTGGTCTGAGTGAGCGCAAGAAACACGCACGAAGATCTTCATGATCATGATTTTTTTTTTGATGACGGTTATAAGTCACGGTCACGGCGGTCACATTTGGCTCTTTCTTTCGAAACCGTCTACTTACCTCCGTATTGCTCTCATTGTCTGCGATACATCGCCTGTTGCTGATGCCCCCAACACTTCCCCCTATCTCGGCGGCCAAAACACGTCTCGCGCCACTCGATGCAGAACCTGATGGTGCAGGAAGAAAGAGCTTACTGCAACTCATTCGTGGCTTCAATATGTTCTCCGTGCTCCCAGATGAGATGGTCCTCGCGATCTTCGCCCAATACCATCCTCGCTATCCGGACTGCGCGCCGCAGAAAGGTGACGGCTCTCCCATCCAGCTGATGCTAGTGTGTCGACGATGGCGGGACTTGGTCATCAACACGTCGAACTTTTGGAGGGGCCTCTGGATTAATGAAGAATGGTCTCGGTACAGGGTTCCGACGGAGAGCGCGAGAGAGGAGCAAGACAAGATAGATCTATGGCTTTCCCGCGCAAAGGACCACCTGCTGTCTGTCCGCCTCACCAGCGAGCCGTCAGCGCGGGGTCACAACTACATCGTGGAGGCCCTTTCCAGGTCCCGTGAGCGCTGGGAATACGCCGAGCTCGTCATCTGGGGCGAGAGCGATCTTCCGCTTCTGATTGGCCCTGCCCCGCATCTCCGCGAGCTTGCGCTTGATATAGCGGGTGAGGTCCCCGTGGATGGCACACCGTTCTTTGCATACGACATGACGCCCGTTCTGGAAAGGGTAGTTGTCTGCCTGAGCTCGCCCGGGTTCTCCCTGACACTCTCCACGGACAATTTTGTGTTGTCGCAGACGCGCTGGAGGGAACTGCCGTCGGTTACTTTCATTCGCGATCAGATGGCGCAGATACGCCCCTTCTTGACTAGCCTTTGTGCATTCGATTCGTTGGTTCACTGTCGGATGGTGGGCTCGGGCCCGTTCCACGGTTACGAAAACTTGAATGTAGAGGAACCGACCAAAGTCTGCCACAGGCTCCAATCCTTGATTCTGCAAGGCCATTCGCTCGGCCAGGGATTCAGAGAAGAACGAGAGCCCACCATGACAGGATATCTGGAAACATTCGTCACGCCTTCCCTCCTCAGGCTGCAGGTGCCAGAACCATTTCTCCTCCCCGACCCTGTGGAGACAATCCGACGTTTCATCGGGAAATCCAAGTGCACCCTGCGCGAGTTGTGCATTACTAGTAGTAGTGCGGAACCGGTCGAGGCGACTTTACGGAACTATCTGACGGCGTTCCCATCAATTCCCTCAATTGTGGTCAAGGAGGAAGACGATACATGGCAGGATCCGCAGCACTATATCCCTGGCCCGGGGCTTCTGGAGGGGGGAGTTGTTTACTAAAGTCTTTGGGAACGAGGCTGGGGTGAATACAGGACATGTGAACTGCAAACAGTGTGATATTTAATCAAGTTTGGAGTACTGGGACGACGTTATAACGTTGTTACGTTGAAGTTTGGGTCTGTGATCTTGTTGTCGCCGAAACACGTCCCTTTTGGGAGGAAATTATTATCTCGGATGGTAAGTATCTCCTAGTACTAGTTCTGGACTAAATGTACGCAAAGCATAGGCACTGGCAGGCAATATTAGACTTGACTAGTATTACCACTGGGAGTTGATGAGAGTGTGGAGGACCAGAAAGGTGGATAATCTATTAGTAAACTATTTACAGCAGCGTCTTGGAGCTCCAGAAGTCTCTCAAAGCCAACAGCCACTCTTTCGGTTTGAGGTGCAGCTGCCGAAGCGAGGGCAACGCAACCTGAATGTCATCCGCATACGTGCTCCAAACATTCCACTCGGTCACAATCGCCAACTGTGTGAGTGATTCGCGACAGCCGAGTTTCTGGACCAGACTGACGAGGCTGTTTATATGGGTGTCCGAGTCTGCCGGGGCGAATCCGACAATGAAGGCATCCAAGATGCCGAGCTGCTGAAGGGCCGGAAGGGTGAGCGAGGTTAACAGGGTGTTGGTATCGCCGGCCTGCCCGTGGCCCTTAAGGATCAAGGTCTCTAGATTTGGTAGTTGTATGTCTGGGAAATCATCGACGGGCCTGTGGTTCCATATGTCCAGCCAGCAGTGGACCAATGCATGAGTTTGGGAGAGAAGAGGCGCGATATCTTGGAGCGGGATGTCGTTCAGTTCGAGCGTGGTCAGGTTCTGCCAGACCTCGGAGGCGAGCATCTCGCAGTAATATGAATCGTCCGTCAGCCGCCCCACGAAAGTTTTCAGGTTTGGAGGCCTCAATCTGCCAAGATGGGGCTCGGTATCGGCACTGTGCACGTACACTTGGAGTTCGAGAAGCATAGGCATAGCGCGCCATTCTCCGCCAGCCTGCTCTTCGACCGGGATAGACGCAGGCACCATGATATCGGCGTATTGCCACCGTGAGCAATGGGAAAGTAGTGTCGCAAACGCGTCTGACAGAATGGGAGTCATCGTATGGGTGGGGCAGTGAAAGACGATGGAGAGTGGGAGCGAGCGGGATCTCTCCAGCCATGCTTCGGCAATGTCGAGACGTTTCCGCGCAGCAGTCCCAGTGATGTGATTCTTGTTGCTTGGGTCCAAGTCCAGCTTGATAGCGCGCCAGAGTCGCGGTGTCCCATGTGCTACGCTTTTCCAACGAGGGCAAACTTGTGCAAGAGTTGTCGGAGAGCCGAGACCACGGAAAGGCGGGCAGGCGGGATATGGAGGCAGGCAGTGCTCGAAGATCTCTCCCAAGAGCTCGTCGGGAAGGCTGAAGTGTGAGTTCATGAAGCAAGATGCATGGTCTTCATGTCGTTTAGTCATCATAACAAATGTTGATCGCCGGCTGACCAATCGATCAATACAGCATGTGGTCGCTCACCTCTTGCCGCCAACGACGATGGCGGGCGCGCTGAGCATCGACACCTTTAGCGCGTGGGTGTCTATAGCGGGTGTGTCAGCGCCGACATATGGCTTGCGCTACCGCGACTCTGAGGCGAGCTGCTGGGTGCCGTCGCAGGAGGGAAAGGTGTGTTACTTTGCTTTCTTGTCAACAAGTATTCATTTTAGACAGAAATTCTCAGTGAACTGGAGCAACGCTTTCCGCGAACGGGCCATCTATGCAGAGCTGTGGATCGACGGCGTTTCGTGCAGCACCCACTTTATGCTTGACGCGACCAACTACCCGGGCGACGCGAGCGCAATTGGCGTGTCATATGCGACAACATCTGACTACACAAGAAGGGACTTTGAGTTCAGCAAGATTGTGGTCACTGGTGCGGCCCATTTCCCTCTTATTCCCGTTGCTAATCTTAATATTCCCAGACGACGACGCATACTTGCATACCCTCGCCTCCCCGCCTGCCTTTGGGACGATCCGGCTTGAGCTCTGGGAGACAAGCATCACCAATATCCACCGCGCGCCCTACGCCCACAGCTACGGCGGGCACGTGCTCGAGGCACAGGTCATCCACGAGACGTCGAAGAAGGCCGGGGCCCACCATGTCAGATTCGGCGGGGAGTACGCCGCCCCGCAGCAGCTTGTCAACATAGTCAGCGGTGGGAAGCATGGTGTTGAGCCGCTGGCGACGTTTGTGTTCAATTATCGGCCAGCGGGTGCGTTTAACTTGCCATTCTCCTCCCCCTTTGTGACGATTGCCAGGCATACTCATGGCGGCGGGCATCATGCCCCGCAAGCCGGCACGACTCGCGCTGCAGTCGGGCTCACGCGCCAATGTTATTGGCCGGGTTAAGCAGCAGGCTGAGGTAGATGTGGACGAGCAGATAAATGACCTGGAGGTATGCTTTCTTGCCTCCAAGTTTGTTTTCTTCTCCTAAGGTCGCTCGGTAGGCCCAACTTGCGACACTCAAAGCGCGTAGGTTTCAGAAGCAGGGGCCGAGCGACGGGTGGCGCACTGACCCGCGCACCGGGCGCGTATTGCCGGTGTTCGATTGCACGGATTTGTAAAGGGGTTTGCTCGCTTTGCTTGTTTCCTTCGGGGGGACAAAGGAAGACAAAATGTACCCATGTACTTACTATATATGTATTGCTATGGCTAAAATTGATTGTGCCTAATTCATAAGATTGCTTAAGAAGTTGTTGCAAACTTACTTATTAACACCAGGGGTTCTTGGCGCTTGCGCGGCGGTGTGAACTATAGTACCTGACACATTAATTAGTTTGTCACCCTGAAATTGAATCAAGGCAGTTGTTGGCCCACTGTCCAAATTGTTTCTGCCAGTGATTGCCCGAGGGCCTGAGGGTCCTATGAAAAATAGGCCCTCAGGGCCCTATCCAGAGGCCCTCAGGTCAACGGAAACGAGTTACTATTAGAGGGCCTTAATAGGCCCTATTGATTGGATCATCTGTGTCATAATAAATGTGTCATGATCATCTATCAATGAAATTTTTATCAGTCTTCTTCTTCACACTGCCCACATGGCCAATCTCTGAGATTGGTAAAATCCTTCCATGTTATGGCCAAGGCAAACACATCACACTACCACAACTACTGCAAAGTAACCGACATGCAAGCAGAGGCTAAGTATCTAAATTGTCACAAACAACACCAATTCAGAGGATGCCAGTTGGCCAGTGAAGGCAAGCAAGAAGCACTGTGAAAAGATATCGTAAAGATGATGCAATTCGAAGACTGGGGTACAAGATGAAATCTACTCTACTTATATACACTACTACCATGTGTTTACCATGCCTAATACGAGAGGCAAAGACGTCATACTTTAGCCATGCCTTTACGTGCTGTTTGCCTCATGTTCAACTCCACGCTGTCAATCAACATCAGCATTGACATCTGATGATCCAATCACCATCTTATCGTCCATCTTATCTCCTCCTTGTCTTATCTTATCAACCAGGGCCAAAATAAAAGGTTTAAAAGGCGAAGAAAAAGGGTTTTTGAACCCAGGGTTTGACATAAATGATCTTACAGATGCCATAAAAGATGCATAACTTGATGATGGAGCCATTTACAATGGTGAATTTGATTATTAAATAATTTCCTTTTTTGGTAATGGCCCTATGTAGGGGCCCTATAAGTTAAGGCCTTAGGCCATATGAGGCCCTAATAATTTGGGGGCCCCAAAATAGGGGCCCTAGGGCGATCACTGGTTTCTGCACAGGTCAGAGCTCTGTCAGACTCCAGAGATGTAATATCCCCAAACTATAGGGGTAATATTATGCCTGCCCTAATCATTTGCCTATATTTGTTCACTTGTCAGGTTTCCTCTACAATGTGAGGGCAACCCTGGAGGCCTGAGATCAAGGTCCTAGCAGGGGAGGATCCAAGGAGAAGAAACTTTAAAGGTTGACCTACTAGATAGCTAACTATATATTCCATAGGCTACTAGGGTGCTGCAGTGTAATGATTCCCTAGCCAATACTTACAGGTGTTTCTAACAGTTTTTAAAAACAGGGGTGTTTATAAACAGTTTTTAAAACAAGGGAGATTACTTGATATATCTTAGTGTCTATATGATTATTCAGTATTACTACTGCTATGGCCTGGTAACACCCTATCACTAAACTACCCCTTGATAGCAACAGCATTTTCTACATCAGCCATACTGTATCAATTTATTCAATTCGGCGGTCACGTGTCACACCGGACCTCCGGCGCCGAAATATTTTGGCGTGTGACAACTTATTATTCAGATGCCGAATGTCAGATGGCCATCAGAGCATCAAAATTTTCCTTTCAGTGCCAATGGTACGCAGTTTTTCACTGCCGAATTGAATAAATTGTTTCAGTATATCCAGAAGAAAATTACTGTCAGGGGAACCCCCGCTTCGGCCTCTTTCGGACTGTCCAAGCGCATCTGAGGCGCATCCGACCGGCGTCCCCTTGGAGGCTCCGACCTACCCTGACCCTCGTCCTCGGCCTCCTTCACCCACACAAGCACCGATCTGTCAAGACCCTCCCAATGATCACCTTGGGATAGAGCCTGCGACGCCGCTCAGGCCTTCTATGCTCTACGTCGGCAGTTACGGACGACCAGTATATAGTTGGCACCCTAGCAGGCGGACCCTTAGAGTTTCTTCTCTTTGGATCCTCCCCTGCTAGGTTGGTCCCTCCGTCTATTTCCTGTAGCTTTTATTCACGCTTTGGATCCTCCCTTGCTAGGCTTTTGTTGGAGTCTCCAGGGTTGCCCTTACAGCAGAAGAAACTCTCTATGGGATTAACCGGTCAAGATTGCAAGGTTCGGCGCTGACTCAGGCTCGGAGTACAAGTCTGTACCCCCCTTCGTCACTGCCCCTGCCACTTGACCCCTCCTCCTCCTCTGCTCTTGTCATCTTTATGCCCGCTATGTCTACCGGAGCTGCTTCGGACGCTGACACACGCATGGATGCACTTGAGGCGAAATTAGACAACCTTACCAATATCCTCACCCATCTTGCCTTCCCAGGCTTCCACTGCCGCACCACCTTCGGCAGCTCCTGCACCGACTTCAGCATCTCCGAATGCCCCTGACGCGGTGATGAGTGCGGAGTGGGGACAGCAAATGAGCTCTCTAACCAACCAAACCAACAAAAACAACCAAAACTCCACTTTTCGTAGAGAGAAAGATGTATAATGTCGAGTAGGAAAAGTCACAAAACCCAAAAATCGTCAACTCCTTGTGCGAGTACAGGCCCCTGTGAACAGAGCCTTGGTACAGATGTGTAAGGTTGTAGGGTAGATACGAGTTTCTTGCGAAAAACGTTGATTTGTCGTGCCCCAAAGCGTACTATCGACGAAACTCAGCAATAGAGAAGCGCCAATACGATGCCCGGAGAGTTTATACTCGTTGGATCAGGACTAACTGCCTTAAACCCTCTGAGTTGTCTCGAGTCAGGAACTAACTGCCTTAAACTCTCGACCAGCAACCGAAACCCAATAAACAGCAACCGGAACTCTTGTATTCAGCAACCGAAACCCTCAACCAATAATCCTTCCGACGCGATAATACTATTTCGAAAGAGCTAGCAAGATAGATTGACGAGCTAGATCCCCAGATGCACCTAGTAGAGCGGGGCAATCTGTGAACCTGCCAAATACAAAACAGAGATATAAATACTAAACAGAAATTGATAGAATCAGGGAAAATCTCGAGTAAGAAAAGTCGTCCATGTGCATAATTGTATAGGTATCGTTTCGCCATACGGCCCAGAGTCGAAAATCCAGGTCCAGATGACTGGTATCGCGTGTATTGGAGTCAATGACCTGTGTAAATCTTCCGTGTTCGCGACCATCTAGTTTGTCTTGTGAAGAATCCCTCGATTTTGAGTAGGATAAGTGGATAGCTCTGCTTCCCAGCTTTCGATTGACACCCATAACTCGTATCCTGTGCGTATGGCCTCAGCGGTGGTTGTCCCAACTCTCCTGGCGCATTTCCAATGTTCAGATGATCAGTTCCTCGACAGTGTTTTAGAGTCGCCGTTGATCACAAGTCCAGGCCCCAATCAATTGAGTAGGTTTTCGCCGTTTAACCGTCCCTTGGCACTCTCGATCCTCCAGCATGATCCGAAACCACGTTCCAATGATGTCAGTCGTCGATACCAACAGAGATAGGGGTGTCCCTTATCTAGGAGAAGTCGATCTCGAGTCTCCACTGAGCGCCAAACCGAATATGCCTTTTAGAATACACTCCCTTTGGGTATTTTGCATAGAATTGGATAGATTCTAGCGAGGAACGGGCTCTGTGAACTTTTCCTAGTCAAGATTTTGGAATCACTGAGAGCGATTTGATAGATTTTGACTGGAGTTTGACTGGTTCTTGTGCAGGTAATTCCCTAGTTGACCATTCGGGACTCATGTCAACTCTGAGACGTGCGCTGAGCAACAAAATCGACAAAAATAGTCGTTTCCTGGTCTGTCCCAGACTGCGGCTTATCAGCGGATGCATTATTTGGTGACATTACCGTCGCCTCAAAATTGGTCCTATGACCAAACCCCCATTCGCATTTAACGGAGATCGCAAACGGGGCCATGCCTTTCTATACGCAGTCAAGACTTACGCTCGGCTTGCCCCCGAGGCCTTCATAGTCAACGGAGAGCCAAGCAAAGAAAAGGCCATCCGCTACACCATATCCTATATGGCGGAAGGACCTGCTCAGCAATGGGCGGAGCATCATGGGAGCAAACCCCCCTTCCCCTTCCCTCAGTGGAACCTATTCCTCTCTGAGTTCTGCCTTTGATTCGTCAAGAAGAATGAGCAAGACCTCACGCTTGCTAAGTGCAGGTTATCACGTGGGAACGCGGACGTCTATGGACATACCAATGACTTCGAGGACTTGATGGACCTTGCCAGATTCGAAGACATGTTGGTTAAGGTGACCAAGTACCACCATGGACTTGACCCCGTGATCAACGATGGTATTACATCTTCAAACGACCCCCCAGACCTCTGTGACTATCTGAGCTGGCGCACTCGGGCTTTCCACCAATACCAAGCCTTGGTGCGAGCGAAGCTCATCAAAGGAACAACCCCACGGATGCCTTCGGGCGCTCCGCGTGGTGAATTCCCTATCGCCCATTCGGTAACTCTGTTCCCCATCCGCCCGGTGGCCGCACCCGTGCCACCTGCGGCCCGCGCCCCCATCTCGGTACCTCCGGCTCCTGTCCCAATAGAGTTGGATCATACTAGGGCTCAGGGTGCCCCATGTTGAGCGTGCTTCAGATGCGGCGACCCCAATCACTTGGCTCGGGACTGTCTGCTCTCTGCTGATGTCCACCACATGAACATTCTTGACGAGATTGAGTGGTGCTAGGGAGCTTGAAGGGGAAGTGCAGGTCAAGCATATCAAGAGCTTGGACAAAGCTCCCTTTTTGGTGCCGGGGAACGTGTGTTCACTCCATACACTACAAGATCTTCAAAGGTGCAACATGATAACAAAGAGAAAAACTCACGAAGTACGGATGAACATATGCAACGCCAGAAACAACTTCACTGCCATCTGCTTTGGCGCTC